TTTCTTAGATAAGTCCCTTTAACATTTCATATAATAAGGGCTTGATGATGATGAACTCCTTTAACTTGACCTTATCTGGGAAGCACTTTATCTGCCCTTCCATTCTAAATGATAGCTTTGCTGGATAGAGCAATCTTGGATGTAAGTCCTTGCCTTTCATGACTTGGAATACTTCTTTCCAGCCCCTTCTTGCCTGCAAGGTTTCTTTGGAGAAATCAGCTGATAGTCTTATGGGAACTCCTTTGTAGGTAACTGTCTCCTTTTCTCTTGCTGCTTTTAAGATTCTCTCTTTCTCTTTAACCTTGGCTACTGTAATTATGATGTGCCTTGGTGTGTGCTTCTTTGGGTCCAAATTGTTTGGGACTCTCTGAACTTCCTGAACTTCCTGGAAGTCTGTTTCCTTTGCCAGACTAGGGAAGTTCTTCATTATGTTTCAAATAAGTTTTCCATTTCTCACTCTTTCTCTTTTCCCTCTAGCACCCCTGTGATTCAGAAGTTGGAATATTTAAAGTGTCCTGCAGATTCCTAAGGCTCTCCTCATTTTTTTGAATTCCTGTTTCCTCATTCTGTTCTGGTTTATTTCTTCCTTCTGCTCTGAAGCATTGATCTGAGTCCCGGTTTCCTCCCTTCCCTGTTGGTTCCCTGTATATTTTTCTTTATTTCATTTTGCATGGCCTTTACTTTTTCCTCTATTTTGTGATCATACTCAACCATTTCTGTGAGCATTATGATTACCAGTGTTTTGAACTCTGCATCTGATAGGTTGGCTATCTCTTTGTCACTTAGTTGTTTTACTGGAGTTTTTATCTGTTTTTTCATTCGGGCCATATTTCTTCTTGGAACTCCTGTTATGTTGTAAGGGGCAGAGCCTTAGGTATTCACCAGGGCAGAGCAACCCATGTAGCTGTGCTGTGGTGCTATATGTGGGGGAGGAGTCCGAGAGAGAACAGTGCCTCTTGCTGGGCTCTTGGTATCTTTCAGTCACTTCCCTCACTACCCACAAGCAAATTGGGTCCTTCTGGTGCTGTTCCAGGGTGGGCATATTTGTGTACATTCTAGGACCTTGTGGGTCTCTCCAGTGAACTCTCCTGTGAGGATGGGAGTTTCCCCCACCCTCACAACTCCCATAGCTCTTAACAACCAGAGGTTTTGAGGTTTTCTCAAAACCTCAAAGGTTTTCCCTTGCTGGATCCCTGGATTGCGCAGTCTGTCTCACTCCCCAGTTTTTCCTCCCAGTTTATCTGTATGCAAATGTGGGACTGCCAGCCACTACCTTGCCTCATGTCCTCTCTGCTCCAGCTACCCATCTCCACCCTTCCTACCTGTCTGAATAAATGTTTCTTCTTCAACTGCTTGGTTGCCAAACTTCCATATAATTTGATTTTCTGGCAGTTCTGGTTATTTTTTGTTTTTAAATTTGTTGCTGTCCTTCTTTTGGTTGTGCGAGGAGCAAAATGTATCTACGCACACCTCCATCTTGGCAGGAAGTCCCCAAAAATGTTTTTGAATTCCAGTTATATGCCACATATTAACAAGATGCTTGAACATGTGGAGATAGATAATTTGCACATAATTCCATGTTCTTTTTAAACATACAGTCTAGTGAGAAAAACTGACACAAACTGATACAAACAATTAATTGATTATACTTGAGTTCTGTGCTTCAGGGAAGAGGACAGGGGGTTTGAGAGGACCACATCCTCTGGGGCTTCCAAATTCAAAGTTGTTCTGAAGGATGAAATGGCCCAGGATAATCAAGGGTTGATTGCAAGGGAATGGAGATCAAAAGAACATTTCAGGTAAAGAACCTTAAACAAGGATAGGTAGTGAGAATATAGAGGATAAGGAAAGTGACGGGCTGATGGTAATATCATTGTATCTATAATAATCATCCTTGTGGTGAGAGTGATTTCTTCAGGGTAAAATGAGCAATCAGTCCATTTCCATCCAAATTCTCCAGAATGTGGAAAGAAGATAGTAATGTGAAGACAGTGTTCAGAGCCTTTGAAGAAAGTCACTGTAAACATTCACACTGTTGTGAAGCTCTGTTCATTTTGGAACTCAAGCAAAAGCATTGTTGTAAGCCCTTGGGCAAAACTAATCTACCTCACATCTCACTCTCCCTTGTAAAATGCCCCTCAGGGTCAACATTCAGCTTCTGTGCAGTGAATTTGGTTGGCAGTCCAGGCTGCTGAGCTACAGGTAATTAAGAAGAGAATGTTCTCTCTCTTATCTAATCATGCCATTCTCTGCACCTTGTGGAGCCTTTGGAAATTCTTTTCCACGGTCCTCTCTGTAATTAGCAGCAGCGGTTGCACTTTCGTTCATTCTCTTGCAGGTCGCCCTCTGCGTCCCCCACAATTCAGTAATCAAGGAATGGCTTCCTAGGTCAGCTGGTAGAGCCAGCCTAATTAGCTTAGATCTGAACCTGAGATTCAGATAAAATAAGGCTAATGTGGCAAATGAATTTCAACAGTACAGAGCTCACAGTCTGGTCTTTCAAATTCTGTTAAACATTGTGGGCCATGTCCCACCAAACTCCATGATGCTGGTGACTGTCGGAAGAGCTGAGTTGAAGCCAGCATGCTGGTGAAGACTGGCTGACCCACCAGGAAGGGTCTCCATCCTGACAACTAAAAGAATCAGAGTACAATATTTAAAGAAGCTGATTAACGGGGGAATTTTCCTTCTAATTTTAACATGGAAAATTTCAGATTTAGCTTCATTATTCTTAAAATTAAAAATGACAACTGAGGAGGTAGATGTATGTGTTCCTTCATAATTTTGGGGACCAAAGATCATTGAAAGCAGTGAACTATGAGTTTATCTATGACTAAGAAGATTTGCTTTCAAGTATATTGAGTCTCCTGGTGTTGTTCTCTAAGTGTTCCTCCTGTGATTAAACTTTATCAAATATAGATGTTACTTTCAACTAATAGGAAAGTGTGGCCTTAGGATTTCTCACCGTCACTTCACTCGAGCTTTTCTACAAATTGCACAATGTCACTCACTCTCTCCTTGGTTTCTGTCTGTGTTGGTGCTTTCTGCCATACCATTATTATAATTCTTTTACCCTTCTGGCACCTTGTGAAGACCTTCCTCACATGGATTCCCATTTGATAAAAACAAATTCCTTTCTTGATGTTGCTCATTGAATGAAACTTGAAACAAAACTTCTTTACAAAAATTTTAGCCTCCTAAAGGAGTGAACTATAAAGCAGTGAATGCACACTGATGGATTTAAATTTAGTTAGTGAAACTTTTTCTGAATCAAGTCACACAATTCTAAAACCTAGAGGTATATATTTACAATCTTGAATTTTATTTGAAATGCAAAACATTGAATGATTTTAAGGAAAAAAAAAGGATGTCAGCAAGCCAACCTCGGGAACAGGAAAGATTGCAGCAGGGACATAGGGCAGGCTTTCGAGGGCTGTGAGACCCATCAAATGTGTACAAGTATGGAAAGCTGCACATGGTGAGGAACTGAGGCCTCCTGCCTGCATCCACATGAGCGAGCGTGCAAGCTGATACTCCATGTCCAGCCAGGGCCTCAGAAGACTGCAGCACAGGCCTGCATCTTGGCCGGCATCTCACAGGATTTCTCTAGCCAGGACCACCTCACTTAGTCACTCCAATATTCCTGACCTACAGAAGTTGTAAGATAACAAATACTATTGTTTTAGCCTGCTAAGTTTCAAGATATTTTTTATGCAACATTAAGTAATTAATACAACAGCACATCAGGATGCAACCTCTATTATGGAGCTCAATTCTCCAAGAAATATCTACTAACAATTTTGTAGAAGAGTTTTTCTTCAGGCTTCATCCAAGCACAACATCAAAAAGTCTTGTCTTTGAGTATTGGCCAAGAGATAAATTCTCAGACACAAATTCATATTGTATTTGAGACAGAAGATGTGTTTTATGAAGTTGTTTGACAGCTGTCAAACTGCTTTTGACTCTAACTATCAGCCCTGAGAGGCATTGGCTGTTCCTTTCTACATGTGACAGTTTCATTGCTTAATCATGTCTTTAGGAAATGAGTCCCTGTCTTAGTCGCCTGCGGCTCCTCCAAAGAAAAATACCAGCAGAATATAATTCTCCAACCTTTAGCTTCTTATAGTGCTATTTTTAGTATCAGTGTAACCAAGGCAACCTGACCAAGTAGATTTTTACCATGGAAAACTGGTTTCAGGAATGCTCGGCGGTCTATCCACACGAACTTGGTTGTTCCGGGGCGGGTGCTAGACTAGGAGACCGGCTCAGGAGCCCACATGTCACTTCTCCACAGGGTAACTGAGGCGCATCAGCTGCAGTTACCATTTTACCTCCTCTCAAAAAAAGGAAGGAAATCCCTGTTACCTGACCCTTACAGGGTCAACAAATATATAAAGTTCTTTTATTTTCTGAGTCACTGGTGAATTAATCAGTAGTTAGTGATAGACTGGGTGCTGTATTTCTTGGCCTCTGAGGTCCTAAAGAAAAAGTGAAATACTCTGAATAGCACAAAATCCTGAACTTAAAAGCAGGATTCTGTTCTATATTGGTTCATTGGAATACTTCAAATAAACAACTTCTGACCTAATCTTTCAAAGCCTACCTTTCTTTCCGTATTACAGCCTAACCTTAAAAATGTGTGGCAAGCTCAGTCAATTACTGTTCTCCCAGCCTCATCAATTAGAAATAAATTCTCGGGCTCTGGCTGGTGTGGCTCAGTGGATTGAGCACTGGTCTGTGAACCAAAAGGTCGCAGGTTCAATTCCCAGTCAGGGCACATGCCTGGGTTGTGGGCCAGGTGCCCAGTTGGGGTGGGCAGGAAGGGAGTGATATATCTCTCACACGATGTTTGAGGATGTTTGAGGCAGCCAATGTTTCTCTCACACATTGATGTTTCTCTCCCTCTCTTCCCCTCTCTCTAATAATAAATACATAAAATCTTTTCTAAAAAATTCTAGGGCTGTCCTTTCTAATGAGAAGGAAATAACTCTTTTCCTCAGGTGAAAGTGTGGAAGAAAATGCTAGTGTCGTGGTCAAGCTGCTCATCAGACGCCCAGAGTGCTTTGGTCCAGCCCTGAGGGGTGAAGGGGGGAATGGCCTGTTGGCCGCCATGCAGGGAGCCATCAGGATCTCAGAGAACCCAGCCCTCGACCTCCCCTCGCAGGGATACAAGAGAGAAGTGTAAGTGAACAGAATCGCCTTTGGCACAGATACAATTGGTGAGCGCCCAGATATTGTCAATGCATGAATGATTAAAGATGTGCCAGTAACTGCCCCCTGGTAGAGAAAGCATAGGTTCTTTACAGTGACAACATTTTAAATCACTTTGTCAAGCACATTGTTGTTCTCACTCTCTAATGCCTTCACCCACTTCCATTTTTCTTACTCCACTGAGACCTACTGGCAAACCAAGAAGTTTGGCAAGCTCTTTTAGCCAACACAGCCCCTCCTGGCCCCCACACAGCATCACCACAGGAGGGAGCTGTAGAGCAGCTAAAAGGCCTGAATGGCCAAGGTTACAGTCCTTGTCTCACTCAGCTCTATTCTCTTCAATATTCTAAACCTCGGTGTCTCATCTCACACCTCACTTTTAATCCTTCCTCTTCTGAAAGTATTTTGATTTGATTCTTTAGGTAAAGAAGAGAACTGCAGAATATGAAAAATGGCAGCCTCACTAATCTTGGTATTTAAAGGTTAAGGAGATGGTGCATTGGCAGATTGCCTTGTGACTTTCTTTTCACTACGTCTTGTGACCCTTCCCCTTTCTGTAACCACAGCCTCTAGATTAGACCTCAGAATCTAGAGAATGGCTATAACTCAGCAGAGAGACCTCTCCAGTAGTTGGTGGGGTTTGTTTGTTTGTTTCTTGGCCATTTGTTCTGGCAGGTGACCTACTAGAGCTAGAAAGAACGTAAGGTGTCTCTACTTCCTCATGTTATGTAAGAAAAAACTGAAGCCCAGGGTTATATAGCTTGTTAGCAACAGAACAAGAACATGGACATAGCCCTCCTGACTCCTTGTCCAATGTGCTTTCCATGTATGCTCAGGGAGGAAAGAGGAATGAATGGTAGGAACTATGGGGGTTATGGTTCCTCTCCGTGAGTGTATATGGTCTGAACACTCAGCTAATGTCAGTACATGTGCCGTAAAGTTCTTGGGACCCTAGGAATGTCATGAACAAGTGTTTGGGACCTTTCGACTGGGCGACTAGAACCACCTGGTTGGCTCCTGGAGAAAAGAGAGGTGTCCACGGGAAAGGGTGCGTGATGCCCAGGGTGAGCAGAGCGTCTCCAGATCCAGCAGCTCGCCAGGCTCCCTCACACCTCCTTGTGTTGGTTCTTTCTCAGCAGCACGGAGGATGGTGAAGACGAAGAAGAGATCGTGCACATGGGCAATGCAATTATGTCATTTTATTCGGCTCTTATAGATCTGCTGGGCCGCTGTGCTCCTGAAATGCACGTAAGTATTCGACTTCTCAGAGTGCAACTTTGAAGAGCTTGATCTGAGAGCCCTGTAGATTTCCCGAATGTAATTTCTTCTTCTGTCTGGCACTTGCTGACATGCCTTTCTCTCAGTTCGTTTTTAGCTCCCATTAAAAGTAGTTTCCGTCTCTGGTACCTGATTCTGCAGCTTTCTAAGGAATGTACACACATTCCTTACATGCCGTTGGGTCGGCTGTGACTCCTGGTGACCCATGGCTGAGAGATAGATGTCCACAGTGTCCTGTTCAGCAGCCCTGTGCAAATCCTGTAAACTCAGACCCGTGGCTTCTTTATGGAGTCAGTCCATCTCATATCTGGTCTTCCTCTTTCCCTCTGCCTTGTTTTCCCCACATTGTTGTCTTTTCCAAAGAGCCCTGCCTCCCACAATGTTGTCTTTTCCAAAGAGCCCTGCCTCCCACAATGTTGTCTTTTCCAAAGAGCCCTGCCTCCCACGATGTGCTCAACATGGGACTAGAGAACGGCTCCTGGGCAAACCCCTGTGTGGTGTGGTTTCCCTGTGACACCAGTTGGGCATCCCCTCCATATATCCTGTTTCAGATGCCCCCCCCCCAAATTATGGGCCATATGCCTCAATTTGGTCAAAAGGTGACCAACTTGATTCTTTTTTCTATGACTTTATCCCTTTTTTTAATTTTTCAATTATAGTTTACATTCAGTATTATTTTGTATTTGTTTCAAATGTATAGCATAGTGGTTAGACAATCATATACTTTACAAAGTATTCCCCTTGATATTTCAAGTACCCACCATGCACTATACATAGTTATTATGATATTAGTGCCTACATTCCCTGTGCTGTATTTTACATCCCCATGCCTGTTCCGTAACTACCAATCCTCACTTCTCAATCCCTTCACCTTTTTCACCCATCCCTCCAACACTCCTCCCCTCTGGCAACCGTCATACTGTATCTGTGAGTCTGTATCTGTGAGTCTGTTTCTGTTTTCCAAATTGATTATTGATTGTGGACATCAGGCTACTCATATAGAAAATCCTTTTTTCTTAATGACCATGTTTTTAAGCACCAGAAAAATAGTTTCTTTCCATGGTTCATGTTTATTCCTGGAGGTAAGCTTTCCAGACATGCCAAAAAGGATGCTTCTATTTTTATGGGATGTCTTCCCAGACTTCCTCTTTTGACCTTAAAAGTTGTAGGGTTTTTTTCTCTTCCCTTTTTTACCTCTCCTGGGGCCTGAGAGAAAGTGACCTTATTTCATATAATGTCTTACATCATGTGTGAAAGAGGAAAGAACTGCTTCTTACATGATAACAGAAAAAATAGCCTTTTAAATTTTCTTTAAAAACGTGGTAATTGTTTGAAAGAACTGCTTGATTTGCTCATTCAAGGCTCTGACACCTGCCTGCCTCTCCGTGCAGGGCTCATGGAATTGGAATTATTACAGAGCATTTCCCAAAAGCACTTATTTACAAGGTGGATTAGGTTGATGTAGACTGTAGTAACTGGTGTTGGTAAAACTGGGTGTTTGGTCACTGCCAAGTTAACAGTAGATGTGTTATATTTTTTTAATGCTGATGAAAAACAGCACCCATTAAAGTAGTGGCTTTCAAACTTTTTTACCAAAATAATTTATTTTGCCCATAGTAAGAAATATAATTTACATTGTCACCTAATATACATATATTCCAGAAACAAAATTAATCTTTACTACAGATATTGCACTGCAATTTTTTCTCTTCTCTAGTAATGTATTTCATGCTCTTTAAAGTGCTCACAACCCACTAACTTGATTTTCCAGCCCTCTGATTGGTCCTGACCTGTACTTTAGGGCACCTCATTAAAGCCTCCACTCTTGCCTCTCTTCCAGTACGTCATGGGTCTTGCCTAATACACAGTGTAGCCTGTTTACAAATCCATCAAAAAATGTTTAGGAAAACTATTCCAACATGGAAGAATCTAGATCAAACATATGTGGTTGGTAGAAAGTCTAAATCTTGATAAGGGAAGCTGATCCTTAGACTTCTGTTTTCTACTATGACAAACCAGCATTTCCCACATGGGCTCATCTTCTGTTTCTGTGTCTTAAACAAATAAAGGAAGTTTGAAAGGGAGCCAGGGAAATACTAGGGTGTTTTGCAGTCTTCAGGGTGGGATGTCAGTTCCCCTGCTCACCTGTCATCACTTCGGAAAGCAAGTTACAGTCTGCTCATTCTCAGGAAGATGGCAGCGTGGGATGGCTAAGCCATCAGAGCCCCATCTGGGAAGGAGTTTCTTCTCCCTACTGCTCCTCTGGTGTGACACTCTACACATATACACACACACCTTCTCAGACCCCCTCCCCGGGCTCCGGCTCTGTGAGTGGTGGTAGGAGGGGAGATGCCATCATCAGTGACGGCTGGCCCTCTACACACAGGAATGAGAGGTGGCAGCTGAGTGAGTGCACAACGATCTTTCCCTGAGGCCCCTGAGCGTCATATCCCAGCATGCCCTGCAGCTGACCTGGGGTCGTTTCAATTCTGAGCTCCTGGCACTTCAGTTCTCTGCTGTGTCTTTGCCTAGAAGCATGCTTGTTGCCCCCATGTATAGGAGGTTGTGCACCTGTACATGCTGATTGGCCCACTCATGGCTGTATGGTTCATGTCATCCACCCCAGAATAACTCCACTGAGATTCTGTTTCTCTAGGACATAAGTGGCAAACACAAGTCCTGAGGGCCAAATCTGGCCCTCCACCTTGTTTTATCCAGCCTGGCACCTTGTTTCTACCCAGCGGCAGTGCCAAGCTCCTTGCCTCTAGTTAAGGAGTAGCTACATTTATCCAGTCCTAAAATTACATTCGGTCCTTTGAGGGCAACCATGAAGCTGATGTGGCCCCCAGTGAAAATCAGTTGACACCCCTGTTCTATGACATTCTCTACACCCCTCTTGCCTACCTCCAGTCCCAGCACTAATCATCCTTTTTGGAAACTAAAATGCATAAGTCTTTCTATATTTAGTGACATTCCAGACTCTGGAATTGTGGCCACATTGTCAACACTCCTGTCATGGCCATGGAGAGCTCCCTGTATTGCAGTCACACCAAGAATTACCCACAGGCACCACATTTACTGCTGAGACTTGATACCATAACTGCATGACCATTGTAATCCCAGCAAAGGAATCAAGTGACCTCCCTGGAAAGTTATTCCCTCAATAGCACCTCTTCCAGGAAATCAAGAGAAAGCCCTTCCTTTCCCCCTGTAGTCATAAGTGTCCATCACAATTAGAGACATTTAGAAGTGTCCCCAGCCCTGAAAGAGAATTCGTTTGCTGCGAGAGGTTTGGAGGTGGGGTGGAACGGGGGTGTGGGAACTTCCTTTATCTTTTTTTCCAACCCTGCATTGCAGCTTATCCAGACAGGAAAAGGAGAAGCCATCCGGATCAGGTCAATCCTACGCTCCCTGGTCCCCACTGAGGACTTGGTTGGAATCATCAGCATCCCCTTGAAACTGCCCTCCCTGAACAAAGGTAAGAGAAGCAACTCGGGCCGAGTGTGGCCAGTCCCTGCTGGGGCCGTTCGGTCAGGGCCAGGACGGCCTCCCAGTCCTCCAACACTCTCGTCCTCTGGGAGGAGGCTGATGGAATGGGACCAAGGAAAGCTCTCAGCATGGCCTTCCTTCTTTGCCCGTGTGTCCCTGAGATTGTGTAGCCACCTGGGGCAACAGTAGGGCCCCACATAGGCTCCCTTCGGCCACAGTCCTGTGTACCTCATGGCCGTGGATCATAAGTAGATTTTCCCCAATGCTACCTGTGACACCTGGCAACAATCAGTGTTAACTTTGTGCAACTTATACCCTCCCAGGAACATTCAGTTTCTCTGCCTCACTCCACCTGCTGTCCAGACAGTTTCATCCAGGCAGGTGGAGGAACTGAAAAGATAGCATGACTCTGACTGTTAGTGTTTCCCAAACTGGTGTTCTGTGGAACATTTTTGTGGAAGATATTCATTGGTGTACAGGGGTTTGGAATTAAGTAAGTTTGAGAAATGCTGTGGAATGTATCACATTTTTTCTAGCCATAATGAGATATAACTGATGTATAACATGTATGTTTAAGGTATACAGTGTGATGATTTGATGCACTTATATATTGCAAAACATTTAACACATTAAGGTTAGTTAACATCTCCTTTACCTCATGTAATTACCATTTTTTGTTCTTATGGTGAGAACATTTACATTCTGCTCTCACAGCAACTTCAAGCATACAATACAGTATTAACTGTAGTCCCTGTGCTGTACATCACATCCCCAGAACTTGAAAGCAAAAGTTTCTAACTGTTTGACCAATGTCTCCCCACCTCCCCCAATCCCTGGTAACTGTCACTCTACTCTGTTTCCGTGAGCACAGTGTTTTAGAGTCCATGTGTAGGTGAGGTCACACAGTATTTGTCTGCTCTGTCTGACCCATGTCACTTAGCATAATATCCCCCAAATCCTTCCATACTGTTGCAACTGACAGGATTTCCTTCTTTTTTATGGCTCAGTATTCCACTGTGTGTGTGCCGCATTTTCTTTATCTACTCATCCATCAGCAAGTATTTGGATTGTTTCCATGTCTTGGCTGTTGTAAATAATGCCACCATGGACATAGGGGTGCAGATATCTCTTCAAGATAATCATTGTATTTCCTTTAATATATACCTAGAAGTGGGATCATATGATAGTTTTATTTTTAATTTTTTGAGCAACCTCCATACTATTTTCCATGCTGGCTGTGCCAGTCTGCGTTCCACCAACAGTGCTCCAGGTTCCCCTTTTCTCCACATCCTCGCCAGCATGTGTCAGCCCTCGTCTCTTTGGTAATGTCCATTTATAAGTATGAGATGATATCTCATGGTTTTGATTTGTACCTCCCTGATGGTTTGTGATGTTGAGCACCTTTTCCTGTACCTAGGGATGGTTTTTGTGTCTTCTTTGGAAGAATGTCTATCAGGTCTTTTGCTCATTTTTAATGGAATTATTTGCTTTTTGCTATTGCATTGTATGAGTTCCTTATAATTTTTTTTATATTAACATTTTGTCAGGTACATGGCCTGCAAATGTTTTCTCCTATTATATAGGTTGCCTTTTCATTTTGTTGATTATTCCTATGCAGAAGGGTTTTTTAAATTATTTTCATGGAGTCCCACCTGTTGATTTTTGCTTTTATTACTTGTGCTTTTGATGTCAAAGTGAAAAGGTCATCACCAAGATCAATGTCAAGGAGCTTAAGCCTATGTTTTCTTCTAAGAGATTTACATTTCAGGTCTTGTTCCCTTAATCCATTTTGAGTTACTTTTTGTGAATGGTGTAAGATAAGGGTTAATTTTATTCTTCTGCATATGAATATCAATTTTTCCAGCACCATTTATTGATGAGACTATCCTTTCTCCATTGAGTATCCTTGGCTTCTTTGTCAAATATTTCTTGACTGTATATGTATAGCTTTATTTCTGGGCTCTCAATTCTGTTCCATTGATCTCTGTGTCTGTTTTTATACCAATTGTGTACTGTTTTGATTGCTCTAGTTTTTTATAATATAGTTCAAAATCAGGAAGTGTGATGTCTCCAGCTTTGTTCTTTCTCAAGATTGCTTTAGCCATTCAGGGTCTTTTGTCATACTGTAGGAATTTTAGGATTGTTTTTTCTATTTTTGTGACGTTGGAATTTTGTACAGATTGCATTGAATCTATAGATTGCTTTGGGTATTTGGACACTTAAATAATATATTAACTCTTTAGATCCATGAACACAAGATTTCTTTCCATTTATTCATGTCTTTCATCAGTGCCTTATAGTTTTGGTATATAAATATTTCACTTCCTTGGTTAAATTTATTTCTAGGTATTTTTTTAAGGATTTTATTTATTTATTTTTAGGGAGGGAAGGGAGGGGGAGAGAGAGAGAGACAGACAGACAGACAGACAGACATCAATGTGTGGTTGCTGGGCGTTCTGGCCTGCAACCCAGGAATGTACCCTGGCTGGGAATTGAACCTGGGACACTTTGGTTCCCAGCCCGCACTCAATCCACTGAGCTATGCCAGCCAGGGCTTATTTCTAGGTATTTTGATACTCTTGTAAATATGATTGTTTTCTTTATTTCTTTTCCATATAGTTCATTATTAGATTATAGAAACACAGCTGATTTTTGCATGTTCACTTTGTATCCTGAGTCTTTACTGAATTTGCTTACTTGTTCAAACAATTTTTGGTGAGGACAAGATCACATTATCATCAAACAGAGACAATTTTACTTTTCCTTTTAAATTTGGGTACTTTTTATTTCTTTTTATCTAATTGCACTGACTAGGATTTCCAGTACTGTTTTGAATAGGAATGGTAATAGTGGGCACCCTGTATTAACCTAAGAAAATTCCCATCTTAGAGGGAAGCTTTCAGGCTTTCAACATTGAGAATGTTAGTTGTGGGTTTGTCTATATGGCCTTTATTTTGTTGACAAATGTTTCTTCTCTATGTAATTTATTGAGAGTCTTTATCATGAAAAGATGTTGAATTTTGTCAAATGCTTTTTTGTAACTGTTTAAATGATCACATGATTTTTGTCTTTCATTCTATTAATGATACATCACATTTATTGATTTGTGTCTAATGAACCATCCTGGCATCCCAGGGATAAATCCCACTTGATCATGGTGCATGATTCTTTTAATGTGATATTGAATTTGGTGTGCTAGTATTTTGTTCAGAAATTTTGCAGGTACAGTTGACCCTTGAACAAGATAGAGTTGAGCTGCCTGTATCTATTTATACATTGATTTTTCCAATAAATATATAGTTGGCCCTCTGTACCCATGGGTTTTGCACCCACAGGTTCAACTACCATGGGCCAAAGACATTTTCTGATTCACAGTTGGAAATCTGTGGGTGGGGAGGGCTGACTGCATGCATTGTTACATACTATTTTATGTAAGGGACTCTAGCATATGCAGATTTGGGTATACTTGACTCCCTTATATCCATGGGGTTCCTAGAGAAAATTCCCTACAGATACGAAGAGACAACTTCAGCTAAGGTTTAAGGGAGTCAGAAGTTATTGTGGACTTTCAACTGTGTGGGGGTATTGGCACCCCTGCTCCCTGCATTGTTCAAGGATCAACTGTATATTTATCAGGAATATTGGCCTGTAGTTTTTCTTTTTATGTAGTGTCCTTACCTGGCTTTGGTATGAGGATACTGCTGGCCTCATAAAATGAGATTGGGAATGTTCCCTCCTCTTCAGCTTTTTGGAAGAGTTTGAGAAGGATTGGTGTGAATTCTTTAAATATTTGTTGGAATCTACCCATGAAGTCATCTGGTTCTAGCCTTTTCATATTGGGAGGGTTTTGATTGCTGATTTAATTTCCTTACTCATTATTGGTCTATTCAGATTTTCTACTTATTCATGATTCATTCTCAGTGGATTGTATGCTTCTAGGAAGTTATCGATTTCTTCTAGGTTGTCCAATTTGTTGGACATGGTAGTCTTTTCTGATCATTTGTGTTTATGTGATATCAGTTTAATGTCTCTTCTTTCATCTCTAATTTCACTTATCGAGTGATCTCTCTTTTGCTTGGCAAGCTACAGGTTTTTTTTTTAATTTTGTTTATCTTTTCAAAAACTCATCTATCAGTTTTGTTGATCATTTTTATTGTTTTTATATTCTGTATTTCATTTGTTTCTGCTCTGGTCTTGGTAATTTTCCTTCTTTACAATATTCTTGACCTGACTGTACACTTAACTTTACCAGTGTGTTATATGTTTTTATAGGTTTTTATGTTGTTAATTAGCATCCTTTCATTTCAGCTCGAAGAACTTCTTTCAGCATTTTTTATAAGGAAGGTCTAGTGATGATGATTTTCCTCAGCTTTGTTTGGGAAAGTATTTTCTTGCCATTATTTCTGAATGAAAACTTTGTTGGTGCAAGTATTCTTGGTTGACAGTTTTTCTCCTTCATCACTGTGCATGCATAACCCCACTCTCTCCTGGCCTGCTGGTTTCTGCTGAGAAAGGTACTGATAGTCTTACAGGGGGGTTCCCTTGTATGAGAAAAATTTTTTTTTCTTGATGCTTTTGAAATTCTTTCTTTGTCTTTGATTTTAGACAGTTTTGTTATAATTGATCTTAGAGAAGATCATTTAGGATTGAAATTTGGGGGTGACCTATTACTTTCATAAATTGGATGCCCATATATCTCCCCAGGTTTGAGAAGTTCTCAGTGATCATTTCTTTAGGTTTCTACTTCTTTTTCTTCTCTTCCACTCTGGGACTCCAGTGATGTGTGGATTGTTTCTCTTTCTGGTGTCCCATTAGTCCCATAGTCTTTCTTCATACCTTTTTATTCCTTTTTCTTTTTCTTCCTCTTACTGGATAATTTCAAATGTTCTTTGAGTTTGCTGATTTTTCTGCTTGTTTTAGTGTGCTGTTGAAGTGTTCTGTTGAATTCTTCCATTCAGTCATTATATTCCTCAGCTTCAAAATTTCTATTTGTTGTTACACTTTCATATTTCCTCTTTGTTGAACTTGTTTTGTTCTCATATTGTTTTCCTGATTTCATTAAATTGTTTTTCAGTGTTGTTTTGTAGCTCTCCAAGCATCTTTAAAATAATTATTTGGAACTGTCAGGCAGTTCATGTATCTTCATTTTTTTAGGGTCAGTTACTACAAGTTTACTTTGTCCCTATTGTGGTGTCATGTGTCCTTTTTTGTGACACTGTGGCCTTGAATAGGTATACACACATTTCCAGATGATGTGGACTGACTTTGGCAAGGAAAGACCTTCCCCTTGTGGATGGGGCATGTTAGGGTGTGCTATGACCCCAGGTCTAGTGAAGCAAGGGGCCAACTGCAGGGGTGTGTAGCAGCTTTGAGCCTAGGGGGAGGGGTGATGCCATCTCAGGGCCACAGAGGTCTACAACACTGACAACTGTGTGGTCCTTGGCAAGAGCTGCCAGGAATCCTCAGTCACTGCAAAAGCTGTTCAGGTCCTTAGCAGGCCTCCAGGTCTGGCAACTAGGTCCCAGGGCAGGCAGTGGGGGTGGTCAGAGCCAGTAGTATACACAGACTCAGCTGCAGGGACCAACTACAGGTGCCTGTATAGCGGCACAGGCCAATTGCATACACACACATAGTGACAATGGCCAGGGCCAACAGCAAGGCCAAGGGCTACCTGGAGGTGCAGTAGCAGCTGTGGGAACCCTGGCTGCCAGCGTGCTTTCCTGTGGCTTCCAAGTCTTGCCACAGGTGCATAGCAGCAGGGGCCAGTGACAAGACGCTGGCCAGTGGTATACAAGTTCACCACTGGAGGTGCTAGCTACAGGTGAGCCCAGACAGGGCTGGAGCAGGCCCTACGAGCAGCTCTGGGGTCCCTGGCTGTTGGTATACACTGCCATGGTGGCAGGGCCTCACCACAATGCACGGCAATAAAGGCCAGGGGTGGGAGTCTGTTCCCCGGTGCACATATGGTGACGGGTGTCCGAGGCAGGGGTCTAACCTGGCATCTTGAACTTACACAGCTGCAGAGGCTGCCAGTGGAAATCCTGGGTTCCAGCAGTGAGGGTAATAGGAGTGCAGAGAGACTCAGGCTACAGGCATCTGCAAACATGAAAAACCTATAAAATCTGCCAGGGTTTTGTGGTGGCTAGGCCAGCTGTTGGCTTCTTCGGTGGCAAAGCTGCTGAGGTTCTCTGCACAGCAGGTCCCTGGGAACCACATTGGCTCCTGCTGCGTGGCTGGTGCAGGTAGCCCCTGCCTGCCCTTCTTATTCTTAAGCATGTCCAGACATCCCAGCTTTGCTGGCCCCTAGTGGGTTGAAGGCAAAGTAGGTCCTTCTTCTGGTGTCCCAAAAGGCTGGAGGAGCTGACCGCTCACCCTGCTCTCCACTTTCCAGCAGCAGAAGTTCCCTCATGACACTGAGCAGGGCCGGTCTGGGGCACGGGAGGATGCAGGCAAAATAAAGCTGTTCTTCCTTCCCTTTTTGTACCATCACTCCCAGGTGTTTTGTTCCACTGTATTGCTGAAGTTTCTTAAGTGGACTCCAGAGTTCTCCCAGTACTATTTTTATTCATGGGTAGCTGTCTGATTGTGTATCTTTGTGGGGTACAGAGCCTGGGACCTCCTATTCTTCAGTCTTGGTGACATCACTCTCAAAAATATCGCATTTTTATAAAACTTCATCAATCACATTGGATTATAGAACCTCTGAGAAAATTTAGGATGAAGAAAATAAATGTTGAACTCCGTGTTTCCCAAACTTTTTTGAGCACAAAACACTTACTGATACGCCATAAAAATAATGTTCCTCAGCACACCAGGTGCATGGGTCCTAGAGGTTAACTCAGCCTTGGCTGTGCGGATCCAGCTCCCCCTAGTGCCCACGAGAGGAGCAGCAGGCGGCTTCCAGTTGGGAAAGTCCCTTCCCTCCTGGCTCTCCCAGCACCCGAGGCTGATCCCTGGACCACACTGAGTCTTTGTGGCTCCCAGGGTGCTTGTGAAGTACGGAATTTAAATATGCCCTAACTATAGATTGATCATTTGCAGGCTGTCTTTCCTAGTTTTTTTTATGTTAGCAAAATAGGAGGAGGAAGACAGTTTTTCTTTTTTATCCGATTTCAAAATGCTGTCTTTATTTTCCAAGTAAAGCAATTTTTATTTTCTTCATGGTATTTCCCACTTCATCTTTGAACATGTTCATTCAGATAAGGTTAGAATTATTGGGCAATCTGATCTATATTCCAGCTAAATCAGATAATAGTTTTTAAATACTGGAAGATTTCCTCAGTTTTGTGCTATTTATGATGTAATAGCTACAGACATAACACACTTTTAAATTTATTCTGCCTTACATTTTCTCTCTCCCTTTCATGTGTCTTCAACAACAAAGCTGTAGATCAAGCACAGACTCCTGCATCTGCCCATTTCTGTGGTGTAAATACTCTCACCAGGGTCACTTTCACGCTACCAACCTCATATCACTGAGCATGGGGTTGGCACACGGCACACCAGTGTACTGCATTTCCAACATACAAATACAATAGATGTAAACAACCTCAAGATAGTAATGAGGAAGTAATGAATTTTGAGTATTTGTTACATTTTAACATTCACTTTATTGTATGTTTTATTTTTTTAATAATGAGCATGTCTAACAACTCACAACATTCCTGAAATTTTAACAGCCAGCTCTTCCAAGCCAACCTAAGCTGGATGCAGCACAATATTATATTGTTCCCCAAATTCCTGTTGCTTGTTCGGAGAACAAGCCACAGACGACAAACTATGTGTTGCCTCTGAGGCTGTGGAGACAGCACAGGGGGACATGACTGTCTCTGTGTCTTCCAGACGGGTCCGTCAGCGAGCCGGACGTGGCCGCCCACTTCTGCCCAGACCACAAGGCACCCATGGTGCTGTTCCTGGACCGTGTGTATGGCATTAAGGATCAAACGTTTCTGCTCCACTTGCTGGAGGTCGGATTTTTACCTGACTTAAGAACTTCTGCCTCTCTAGATACAGTAAGTATCTAAAATAAGAAAAAAATAGTTTTCCCACCAGTGTAAATTAGTGTCTTTGGATTCAGCAGTGACTATTCACTAATATACTCACCGATTACACACTAGTAGCTTGTTTTAAAGGGTAAGAAAACAGAGTCCCCAAGAAATGGGAGATCTTAATTTATTGGGCCAGCAACTTAGATGTATATAAACTTGACCTCAAATATTCAACCAGTTCCCTCTATTCCAAGGTTTCTCAACATTTATAATATTTTGGGGGGAAAAGGTATCCTGTGAATTACAGGATGTTTAGTGGCATCCTGGCCTCTACCCACCACCCCCAAACCAATTCTAGATTTCACCACATGTCTCCTGTGCGGCAAACATCATCACATGAAAAGTAGGGCTCTATCACTTATGAGAGAGGCTGGCTGGCCTCACTAGAGGCTGGCAATACTCTTCCCACTCTTAGTCCCTAAGTTTAATACACTGTCAAGCAAGATAGTCCGAAGCCGACAGACTTCAGGTATGACAAGGTTAAGACAAGAGGTCAAGGGCAAATCCAAGTTTGGAAGTCAGGTGTGAGGTACAGTAACCCATTATCAACAGACATGAAGGCAGGAGGCCCCAGAGTTGAAGAGCACAGATGCCTGATGCCCCAAGTCAGGGCTAAACAGAGACCCGATGCACCAGGAGTACTGGGCCCAAGAAGATAGACTGTTCAAATCAGCTTAAGTCTAAGAACATTTTATCAGTTTAGAGTTTGTTTTTTCTTAAGAGCCAGAAGCGTATCTTCTTGATCAGCCATAAAGTTGCCCAAAGGCGCCACCTGTTGTCCAGCCCAGATAGCAGTCTGAGTTCTGGGCTGGGTGTCACATAGCCAACACCTGGACAGGACTGGGTTCCATTTGAATGGATTGCCTGCAAGTGCAAAGCAGTATGATCCTCATTGCCCTCCCCCTGCCCAGGTCTGCATGAGAGCTCCGTCCCCGTCTCTGGCTTGGGACTAAGCAATGGTATATGACGCGTGCCCACCTGCCTGCAGTGAGCACAGAACGCTGCAGATGGTTCGTCAAAGCACGAGAAAGAACATACACAGACAACCAGGTTCTGTGGGGGAATGGGGACAGAACAGCCACTCCTCACATGGGGAGTGCCTTGGCCACCCTTTCTCCTGGAGGGCGCCATGGCCACTTCTCATGTGGGGAGCGCCTTGTGCCCATACCCAAGCAGCTTTTTATTGAGAAAACAGACTTAGTTTGTGGATTCACAGTTTGGCAGAAAAGATCAAAAGATGTAAACAACTTACAAAGGTGGGGGCAGCACTCCTGCTGAGAAGCTGGGCAAGTTTTGGGGTTTTTAACATATTGCTTAAAGAGCTAGTTTTGGTTTCCTGTCTGTGCTTTTAAATTCCAAGATAATAACATCCTCCAGCAAACAGATCTCACAGGATCTTGCATATTCTATGTTCCAGGCCTGATTACCCCGGGGGCCCGCCATTTCTGGTCTGGGCTGTTTTGCCCCTGCAGGTCTCAGGAGACAAAGGCAGCTAGGAGACTTGGATTTCTCACATCCAAGAGCAAAGACTCAGGCTTTGACAAAGCCAAAGGGGGCAGGGGTTGATGTCTGATCACCCCTTCATTTCCACAGCCCCGTGAGTCCCTGTCATTCCTTCGTGAACTCGTCTGTCTTAGGTTCATTCTCTATCCAAGAGAATTGTTACCCGTCATTGACTGCCGTTCAAGCCAGGGAAATAACTTTTGTGTCCTTCAGCGGCTCCTGGTCCAGAGGTCTTTCACTCAGCCTAAGTCACTGGGGGTTACAGCTTCCTGAGACCACGCAGGGCGGCCCCCAACAGGTATATCCATGAAGGTGTTAGGGTGATCCTTTTGGATAATTAAAACAATGCTCCCACAGCTTGTTTTCAGCTTTTCAATAAATTCCTTGGTTTAAAACCTAATGATTTTTTAACTTGTGGGATATTCCCAAGGTTACTGATCAAAGCATTCAATTTTTTATACATGAAATAAATAGCAAATGCTGTTCTAGCATTTGGTGTCCGAGCCACATGCTTGTCTTAGCACCGTCTACAAAAGCAGTTTTATATTCAGTTTCTCAGCACACACATTTTCATGCATTCTTGTCTGAAAACTTTTAAGCCACTGTAATAGAAGCTAGGTCCTTCTTCATTTTAATTACTCTGTTAAAGTGATAAATGTGAAGGATTCAGTACAATAACTCAAACTCCTAGAAAACAAGGTTTTGATAATTAAGAGGAACACCCAGGAATGTGTACAGTTCAAAGAAAACAGTTTATCAGATTGTAACTTACAGATATAATTATTGTGATGATCACAGAAAATGATGATAATATTTCATCTCTGTGAATCGCAAGGTTTCTTTTAAAGTTTTGCAGTTTTCAGAGATGATAGTTAAATATGCTGTGGCTACCCTGGCTGGGTGGCTCAGTTAGTTGGAGCATCATCCCATATACCAAAAGGTTGTGGGTTCGAACCCCAATCAGGGCAAATACCTAGATTGTATGTTTGGTCCCTGGGTAGGGAACATACAGGAGGCAACTGATCGATGATTCTCTCTTACATCAATATTTCCCTCTCTCTCTCTCTCTCTCCATTCCTCTCTCTCTAAAACATCAATAAATGTATCCTCAGATAAAGATTCAATCATAAATCAAATGCTTTAGCTAAATTTAGTGTCACTAAGCGGGCCTCCCTTGAATCTGGCCTGTCTAAATACACCGGAGAGCACGTGGGGAGTGAGAATCACAGCAGGTGTAGAGAAGGGCCTGCATTTCTATTTCTTGGACAGTTGCTCCCATGTAAAATGAGATCTGCCCTCATATCACTTATTAGATTGTGAATTGTTCACGATGCTCATAAATTAAATGATGGGGCTCAGAATTCCTCCACTCTCTGCAAAACCAGCGAAATGAGAGCTGGCTTGGCCTTTACTCACTAATTCCAGAACCACAAGAGAACAACGTGTGAGTTTCCCTAAGATGAGAGAAAAGAGCTGCAACAGGAAAGATAATGCAGTTGAGCTTTGCAGACATCAAGGAGATTGGATTAGACTGGCCATCACGTGATTTTAACAGTTTAGAAATCTCTGAGGAGAGTGGATGTTTGTGGATCATTTAGAATGAGTTAGGACCAGCCAATCTTTGCTTTTCACTTGTTTATTTTTTAAAACAAGATTTTTTTCTCATTTAAAATGCAAAAGAACAATCAGTCTGCTGAGAAGGTACAAAGTTGTTACTTTGTTCCCGTGAAGCACTGATATGTGTGAGCTTCCCTGCCCGGCTTGGTGGGCGCTCAGTTCGTGGGGTGAGCTTTGCTCTCTTTCCAGGGGAGCTTGACCAGTCTCCCTGTGCCCTTCCCTAGGTTTCCCTGAGCACCACGGAGGCTGCGCTGGCACTGAATCGGTACATATGTTCTGCTGTGCTCCCGCTCCTCACAAGATGTGCCCCTCTCTTTGCTGGAACAGAACACTACACCTCTCTGATCGATTCTACACTCCAGACAATATACAGGCTTTCCAAGGGACGTTCCCTCACCAAAGCTCAGAGGGACACCATAGAAGAATGTTTGCTTGCTATTTGCAAGTAAGTACCCCGACCCTGTTTTTCTCCTGTGTGTATGCATCCATGGCAGCTGCATTTAATCGTGTAATCAATCTAAAAACCAGCGCATCCAGTCTGAGGAAGCTTCCAGCCTGTGCCGTACACCAGCCCTCCCCCAGACATCTCCTCTGAGGATGCCCTTTGTCCCAGGCTCTTTCTGATCCTTGTGGAGGAGGGTGGCGGTGCAGCTCAGCCTCTAGCCCTCAGGGTTGGGGGACCAGGAGATGAAACTGTCTTTCAGGCCTGTAGTATTCCAAAGAACTACTGTTTTAGTCCCTAAGACAGAGCTGGAAGCAGGATTTCCCCTCTAAATGAATGGGCCTTTTGCACAGAGGCCAGCCTTTATGACTTTGAATCAAAGCAACCTTCTTCTCGACCTCAGAGACTGGGAGCAAGGAGAAGGCATCTCCAGTGCCAGTGGGGAAAGCAGGGCAATAGTTTTCACCACTGCAAATGGGTACCAGAGCCTCCAAGGACAGAGCTGAAGTCACCCCATGAGCCTTGGCTCCTCAGGAAACTATGTCAGATCAGGTAGGGTCAGAGAAAGAAGGGCTCTTCCTGCAGCTGCTGATGCAGGACCAGGGCTCCTGCTTTAAGCGTGTTTTCCACCTTAGCTGCACATGAGAATCACCTGGGGAAATACCAGATTCATGCCTCAAGGCCCAGGTCATACCTCTGCCCCCAAATCCAGCCTCTGGGGAAGAAAACTCGAGCCTTTGAAGCTGCCAGGTGATTCCATAACGCAGCCCAGGTGGAGAAGCTCTGCTGCCAGTTGTCCCGGAGACAGGACCGGCACACAGCAGGTCTGGTCATGGCTCTTGGTGAAGAAGCTGTTTCCCAGCCACACAAGGTGACTGACTCTGTACTGAGGGGCTAGGGCCACCTAGGGGAAAAACAGTTGATTGTTGCTTTAGAACATCAAACTAAAAGACAATCTCACACTTGTATTTCAAATATAATCATGACCCTTACATTTATAGCACTTCATTAAAAATGGAGCTGCATCTGCTGTCTTTCTCTCTTCTAATGCCTACAGACTTCAATTTTTGGGTTGGCCAAAGAGTCTGTTCAGTTTTTTCTCTGAAGTAAATGACACATTTTTCATTTTCACCAATAACTGTATTGATTTGGATAGTCTGAGTATGTCGGCTATGTCCCAGGAGGTATAACATTGATTGTCCTCATTAATGTGTTGATTTGATCAACGGGTCAACTTCAACGGGTCTACCTGACTGTGGAGCATCCCAGTGAGAAACCTCCAGCATGACACTTTGCAAAAGTTTCTTTGCAAAACACTTCTGATACATTCAGTCAACCACCTTCATACACTGTACAAATCATTTTTGTGTTTCAGTTGTGTTTTTACCTTTCTTGAAATAATAAAGCATCATATGCTAAAAATGTGTATTATCTTCCATCTTCGATATTTAAGTGGCTACACAAAAATTCAACAATTTTGATAAGGTTTTTTAATCCATACTGATATGACAGCTGTCACAATACATTCTAACAAAATTGTTTGGAATGAAGTTAAAGAAAACTAAGCAAAACTAGAGCCATCATGCTGAAAAAAAAAACAAAAACAAAAACAAAGAAACATTTTGGCCACCCCAGGCCTTCGGGGACAGACTGTGTCAGGGGACAGGCTGTGTCGCTGTCCAGTGCTGTTTGCCTGGGTTTGGAGGAAAGGGCAGAGGGCGGGGCGCAGGGGCCTCCACCAGGGCCCCATAAAAGGGGCTTCTCTCTGAGGTCCCCCACCAAAATCAGGGCCTGTCCTGGGACGCTATTTCATTCATTGCAAGACCGCTATAACTGGCAGAGAATCAAGCTCATTAGAATGTTTGGTCCTGAAAGAGAGAGGGCAGGGTAGAAGCACTCACGGGCGTCTAGGAACCAACAGGGCCCCAGGTATCCGCTCTGCTGCTGCGAAAGGAAGAGCGACAGCCCGTTACTTGTGTGGATGGGTCTCTGCTTTTCTCCTCCACGGCCGCAGGGGAACGAAGGGCGAGGTCACACACACAGAAATGCTGTCGCTGTCGAGTCTGTAGCTGGCACCCGCAGCCGCCACAGACCTTGTTCTGCCTTTTGCTGGATTCGAGCTCAGTCCCGCGGAGGAGCCCTGTCTGCCCCCAGGAGCTCTCTCCCAGCATCAAAGGCGTGTCGGTGGGACTGATGAGAGCTGCCAGTGCTCTTAGAGAACCAGACCTGGGGGGAGTTAGAATTTTACATCAAACTAAATTTAACGAACAGCCCTGCTACTATACTCCGAGGAGCTTCCACGCCCCTCCTCTCGGTCCATACGAGCTCCAGGTACAGCGGACAAATTGGTATTCACCTAGTTACGTCATTATTTATTTTTAATAAGTCAGGAATTAAAGAGATTTATTTTCATGCCTTGATTGTATTCAAGTTAGTCCATCTCCGGTGATTCGACCAGTGAGCTAAACAGCAGTGTGAGAAGTTGAGGAACTTTACACAGTAAGTGCAGGAGTCGGCAGCGAGGCCGTTTACTACGGGCAGGTTTCCGCCGACCCTTCTCCCTGCAGGGCTTCGTGTCCCACGGGCAGCTGTAGGGACTGTAGTGGAGCAGTCGGGTCGTGTTGTCCGTCTCTGTTTGCGTCCACCCTCCTCCCTGTGGGTGCGTCCGAGGCTTTCCTTCCTGGCATTCGACACTTGGCCATCAAAGTTATCAACTTGGCCTCCACGGCTCCTTGGGCATCCGCAGGAGGGGTTCACGGGTCCATGAACTGAACTTCCATGCCAGACCGTGTGGACCGTGTGCACGCACTTTTCTCTGCAGAAGATCCAGAGGTTCCTCCAGGCTTTTAAAGAGTTTGGCCATCAAATGTGTGACAAGCTGGAGGGACCTGGAGGGCACTATGCTAAGTGAAGTAGGCTGAACAGAGAAAGACAAATACCACATGATTTCACGTACATGTAGAATCTAAAAAACAAAATAAATGGACAAACAAAACAGAAACAGACTCATAGATACAGAGAACGGGTAATTGTCAGAGCAGGGGGTGGGTTGGCGGTGGGGGGGCTGGGAAAAAAAGGGGAAGGGGTCAAGAAGCACAGATCCACAGTGGCAGAGAGGCTCGGGACATGAAGCACAGCACAGGAAATGCGGGCAGTAGCATCACTGGGTCAGGTGGTTACTAGACTTCAGGGGTCATTTCATAACTTACATAAATGTCTGATCACTGCGTTATACACCTAAAACTACTATAATATTGCATGTCAACTATAACTGAAAAAGAACTTTTTTAATCTAAGAAAGAGATTTAAAAGTTTGGCAATCTAAACATAAAGGCTAAATCAGTATTGCTTATCTCTCCTTTGTCTCATTGAGAGAGACAATAAATACCACAGCTGTGAACTCTTTAATACTTGGATAAATTATTCTCTAATTAGTTAGTGCATTTGCCCTTTAAAGGAGTGTTTTTGAGGATGGAGCCTTAACCCAAAGAAATAATCCCAGTAATGAGAATTTCAAAGATCACACAGTAACTCAGGGGGCCTTAAAATTCCCTTCAGATAATACCAGTAGGTGGCCTCAGATAGCTTCTGCTTGTTTGGAGTTCAAGGTGACTTGCGGTCCTTAGAAGACTGAGCACTGCCAAAGGAAAGGGAGGAGGCACGGAATGGTGGGAAGAAGGGGAAGGGATTAGTTAAAGGTCTGAATGACCCATGGACTTGGACAACAGCAGATTGGGGATTGACTGTGGGGGTGGGAGTGGGGGTGCTGGGCAGAGGAGAGCAAAGGGGGAAATTGGGACAACTGGAATAGAGTAAACAAGAATAAAAAGTAAAAGTGAATAAAATGTAGTCAATTATATATCTAAAATAATAATAATAAAAGCCCCTTCTTTCTGTTACATTCTTCGCACTTAATCAGTAGCTACACTTTGTGTAGACTCCAGAACGTCTTGTCGAGTGGCAACTGGAATGTAACCTCGGACACCTCAGTTTATTCGCTGCATGTCCCTCTTCCTGCATTTTAACTACGCTCAGTTCTTACAGTGTTTCGTCCTCAGCTGTGCTCTCCCCAAGATCTTGTGTTTTAGGAGCTCATTGTTTTGAGGCTTAGCCCTAATAGATGGTTATTGCTGAGTGTTTCTTTTATTCTTTCTTTATTATTTTCTCTTTTTTTTTTTCATCCTGCCCTTCTGTTTTTCTCACTGCAACCCGCAGTCACCTGAGGCCTTCCATGCTGCAGCAGCTCCTGCGGCGCCTGGTGTTCGACGTGCCCCAGCTCAACGAGCACTGCACAATGCCCCTGAAGGTGAGCCTCTCTCGCTTCTGAACGCAGCTCATGCGTGGCACAGGACGCTTGCCTTGCAAACTGTGATGTCTTCACAATTTGGGGAGCAAAATGCATCCTTCATGGGCTCTGCTCCTTTAAGTTGAGTGCCAACAAGATGCAACCCACAAAATGAACCCTTTCTTGAGTGTGTTGGGGTGAAGGGGAGTGGACCTTCCAGGTTCATGCCCTGCCCCAGCATTCTGCGATGGGGTCCACAAACTGCCCGTCACTTAGCGGAGGTTAGTCAGGGGACCTGGATTTGGGCTTTCCTGCCCTAATTAGCCTTTCAGAATGGGTTCAGTCTCAAAACGCTTTGAAAGCCTGTTGTTATTCATGTACAAAAACTTAAGTGTTCCTTCTCTCTTCCAGACTGTTTTGTAATTTTACTTTTTTTTTGTAACAGATCCTCTTTTCTTCTTTACTAATGAAAAGGAAGCTCTCTCTCCCCCCTCCCCCTCCCCTCTCCCCTCCCCCTCCCTCTCCCCCCCTCCCCCCTCTCCCCCTCTCCCTCTCTCCCTCTCCCCCCTCTCCTCCTCTCCCTGTCTCTCTTGTTTTCTCCTTTCTGGTTTTCTCATAAAGTACAAACATTTCATCACTAGCACTGTGAGCATCTTGGCCTGGGGAGGGGCACCAGAATCAGCCCCCACACCTGCACACAAGAGGGCAGTTTTTTCATCTTTTACCTTTGTGCCACCTGCAATATTAGCACATTCAAAAGTGTCAGCCACAGTCAAAAATTCTGCCTAGTGATTTTAACAGAATTTTTCCTTCTTTTCAGAAATAGTCCAAGCAAAGGTTTCAAGAAGCATTTTTACTGGGATAAACAGAATTCTCAGGAGCCTTTAGTTCAGTCCTTTCTCCACACCAGGCAGAGAACAGCTTGTTGTCAGGTTCTACCTCCCTCCATGGACTCACTCAGCTCTCTAACCCTAACTCTCCAGTTCTAATCTCAAAAAGTACCACAGCTGAGAACCACGGTTCTCACAGTTCAGCTTAACACTGCTTCCTCTGCAGGCCTGTGCTGTCAGCTGGATTCTGGCTCCCAAACAGGCATCTTGAATAGCCCTCAATGCACTCACTTTTACCTCTTAGTTCAGGGATTTTTCTTGGAGGATGGGGAACATTGGCAGTGTACTTCTGCCCTCTGCTGGCCATATGTGGAACTACTGTAACACAGCTGGGCCGTGGGAAGGGGGAAAGAAGGGAAGGAAGCCCTGGGCACTAATCCACCTAGAGAAAATCTTCGGACCCACAAGGTGCCTCCCACCACCCTGTCCCCATATCAGTGTCACCCAGCATCTTCCAGATTTATAAGCAAAGATCTCAGAAGAAATTCTTCCTACCCCTGACTGGCTGAAACAACACACAGAGACTACTTTCAGAAAGCAGAATTTTCTCATTTGGAGTAGAAATAGTTATCCATTTTTCAGTGAGGTCTAAGGGCACATTAGGAGGCACGAGAATTATTTAGACAGACTCAGTTCAGGCTGGAGCTCATCAGGCATGAAGCAGACCATTTCCGGTGGTGTCTGAGGGCCTCTGTAGATAACTCATCTGTTGCAAATGTTGGTTTGGCTCTCCTGATGGCCACTTGCTCTTTTCTTTTCCCCTGCTTGTCGGTGATGCCTGTGGATCCCCTCCCCCCTGCCCCACACCGTGCGATCCTGTTGCCGACCTTCCAGCTTCTGACGAATCACTACGAGCAGTGCTGGAAGTACTACTGTCTGCCTTCGGGGTGGGGGAGCTACGGCCTCGCTGTGGAGGAAGAGCTGCACCTGACAGAGAAGCTCTTCTGGGGGATCTTCGACTCCCTGTCCCACAAGGTGAGGGCAATACTTCCAGAGAGACAGGGAGGCCCTCCGGGGCCCAGGCTGCTACACATTGCAACGGCTGACCTCTGTTCAGCCTTGACCGTGGGCTAGGGGCTGCACTTCGCAAGCATGCTCTATCCATTCCTCCTCACCACCACTCCCTGAAATGGGAACTACTCTAATCCTCGTCTCACCAGGGAGCAACTGGTGAGTGGTCAGACACGCAGAGCTCACACAGGGGAGAGAGACCACCAGAGTAAATTACAAAAAGGTTTCCTGGTTTCAGTATGAGGACGGACCCCACCGCCATTCCGTGGCCCCAGCATTGTGTGGCCCTGTCAGCTGGTCTTCACCAGGTTCCAGCCTAGAGGAGACATCGGCACGTCTGCCCTGAGGTCAGGGCGTGGGATTTCCAGGAGACTTGAAGCCGCAGGGGGAAGGTTCTTCCTGGCCACCCGTTTGAGGAGGCTGAGGGAGAACTGGGGGCCTCGGAAGCCAGAGCCTTCCTGCACCGTCTGATTGGAATACACCTCCAACACTCGGACTGGCCTCCACCTCCCCTGACCCAGCTTACGTAGATTTTTGAGGTCCTCAGCTCTAAAGGCAGACCGTGAATAGGTCTGGTTTTCTTACAGAAGTCCGGAACATGTGTATATGTAGCATGTTCACCTGCACGTACATTGTCTTCACACCTTTATTCCTGTGGTTTCTAAAAGCAGACCAAAAGCTGCCCCTAACCCCACGTTTTTGGCTGAAATGCCTTCCTGGCTGGGTTCAGGGAAGAATGGACGTGCTCTTGAACAGGCTGCCGTGAGGTCAACATGGGGCCGTGTCAGCTGCGGAGGAGCCTGGCCCCGTTTCCTGCGCCCTGTGCAGTCACAGGCTGCGCCGCTGCCGCGAGCCTCTACGGCAGGCGAGTTCATAGACATTTCCGGCCCAGCGGGGACCTCTTTAACCCTTAGCTAGTCCTGAAATTAACTGTTTCAGAGATATTATTGTAAACCGTGATTTAACGTTTCTCAAGGACCCCTCGGTTTCCTCCAGAATGTGTCAGAGGGCTGCCGTGCTGCCGTGTTGGTCACCGGGGACGAGTGAACGCCTTGGTTCTGCCTGGAGGCCGCGGTTCCCACTCCTGCACTGACACGGTCTTCGGTTTTTCCCACAGAAGTACGACCCAGACCTCTTCCGGATGGCCCTGCCCTGTCTCAGCGCCATAGCCGGGGCCTTGCCGCCAGACTACTTAGACACCAGGATCTCGGCCACGCTGGAGAAACAGCTCTCGGTGGATGCAGATGGCAACTTCGACCCCAAGCCTATCAGCACCCTGAAGTGAGTCCAGAACCACCTCTGTGCTGGTTCTGCCTTTGGCCCCGTGCCCGGTGTTCTCTCTCCGAAGGCAGCGAGACAGTGAGAGTCCCTTCCTTCCCTCCAGCCAGCACTGCTGTCCTTTCTCTAGACACCACAAGTCACACCAGGCACTGGGGTTTGCCCTCAATTCCTGAAGGATCCATGCCTCCATACCTGGGTATATACTGTGTTGTAATATTTCCAGGCTTTTGTTTTAGAGGGTGGGTTTACTTTATTTATGATAAGAGGTGGGTGTTCTCCACAAAGAAATGTCATCTGAGGCATTGCCAGAAACCACCCTGACAAATGAGCCAATTAAGTTATTAATGAGTTTTTTGACAAAATCTTCACTCTTTGGGAGGTAGGCCTGTACCACTTCAGTAGCTCCTTTCGTCATGACGACCCCACAGATAACGCACAGCAGGGCCCCGACGAGGCCTCGGGGTGCGTGATGACAGAGCAGCACAGGGCCCCTGCCTGGGAGACAGGCCCCGCTCTCGGCCGTGCCAAGGGGCACTGACGCTCCAGAATAACCCTACCACAGCACCTTCGGCCTCTCCCTCCGATTCCCCAGCGCCTCTCACTGGAGGTGGTTAGGCCACGGACAAAACATACACCCGATTGTGGCTGGTGGCGGTTCTGCCTCAGCTATGATTATGTGTGGGGGGCGTGCCGTCCTTACCTCCAGGGGCCTGGTAGAAGAAGAGCTCCAAGACTTCCTCAGCATGAGCAGGGAGGTAAGACATCCTAGACGAGCCCCTTGGACTTGGGTTTTGTGGCAATAGCTCTCAAATGGCCTGAACCCTGTCCTGGGGCTGCCAGCTTTGATAATGTGTGAAATTCATCTTTGGGAGGTTAGGTACACAGTCCATCAGACCGAGCCTTGAACTGAGTGGATGGTGAGAAACAGAATTGAACCTACTCTGAGGAAGAGGTCAGGGGCCCAAGAGAAGGCAGGCATTTGCTTCAGACACCTCCACCCTCTGAAAATATGAGTGTGCTGAAGGATGCCAAATGGTGCGATCATGTGGATGCTTTTATAAACGTTATGAGACAACTTCATACTCTAGGAATTGGGTGCGAATAAGCGGTTCCATGTTAACTTGAGAGTTCTCATTTCCTCACCTACACCTTGATACCAGTCTGGTTCTGCAAGTAATGTGAGTCATAGAGACAAACTCTCACTAACTTGGGCAGAAAAGGACCTTATTGCAAGGATGGGGGGTCGTTATCAAAACCTAATGAAAGGCTGACTAGCCTGGCCTCAGTAAGGTCAGAAACCAAGACACAGTAGCCAGACGGACAGCCTTCAGGGGTCCCCATTGGGTGAATCCCCTTGAAAGGTTTGCTACCCTGGTCTCACCTGACTCAAGACCCTCATTCCTGGAAAAGGGAGTCTGAGCGGCCGGGACAGGGGCCCCTTCTCAGACAGTTCACACCTGACCGTGGGCAGTGCAAGATTTGTTCCTAAAGGAAAAGGGATGCGCTGTGACCAGCAGAAGGGACCCAAGCTGTCAGACTGCTACACTTCCAAATTTCTAGTATTTAAGTGTGAGTTGCTGAACCCAAAAAAGTAGACAACCACGATTTTTGTAACAGTTGGTCCTCTAGCTTCCCATTCCTGCCATTCCCAGAGCGCAGCCCCGGGGCGACAGGCCGGTGTCTTCAAATGGAGGGATTCTCACTGTGTAGCCTAGATGGGTTTGACCCAGGAGGCCAAGCGGTTCGGGGGCCAAGCGGTTCGGGGGCCAAGTGGTTCGGGGGCCAAGAGAACTCAGAGCAGCTGGAGGGAGGCCACCGACAGGGCAGAGCCTCCTGTGGCCGCGGGGCCATGCAGCGCCGTAGGTACACTCAGGAGGCTCCCTGTGTGTGGTGTCTAGCTCCAGCTCCGGGCTACCCAGTGGATCATATCCAACGTCTCCGTCTCGGCTGGTGGTGGTTCTGTCTCAGCTCTGATTGTTTCCACCACCAGCCAAACGGATGGCTGATTGTTGGTTCTGGACTTCTTTTCGGCACATCTGGCTGAGGTGCTTGGGGAGGTTGTAATTTGTTTTTTCCTTTTTTTCCCCCTTCTCATTTCAGTTTCTCCTTGCCTGAAAAATTGGAGTACATCGTCACCAAGTATGCTGAGCACTCACATGACAAATGGGCCTGTGAAAAGGTGGGCATTATCCTCCAGCTGTCGGTCGTCAGGGGAAACCAGCCCAAGAACACTGCAGGGTCCGTCCTGGAAATCTGCCTGGTCTGTCCAAGCAACAGACTCTGCCTGAGAGCGTTCATTATTTCCAAGTGGGGTCAGAGCAGGTCGGAGACGTAATCAGCAGCAGTCGGAGCTGCTGCTTTTTGTATTTCTCCAGCAAATGATCGATTCTGTTAGTCTTTAGTCTTTTCTCAAGATTGCATTTCCTGGAGCTTGCACCCAAGCACCTACTTGTATGTGTCTGATGCAAACGCTTAATGTAAGGTGGGAGGCTTTTATTACACTTTTCCTTTAAAATGTTTTTCTCTCTGGAAAATGGAAAATGAAATTGAAAGCCTTAACCTTGCGTTTTGCCAGGAAACTGGATTTTATTCTAGAGAAGGATGGCACACCTCTCCCTATGGCAGGCAGCGGTAGGAGTCCCAGACACTTCCTATTAATAAGCCTGTCCATCTGGTGTTTAAAATTCCTCAGCACATGAGGTCAGGCTGCCTAATAAGTTTAATTGCTCTGTCAGCCCTTTAATGCTGGCAGGCAGAGTGGAAGGAATGTGCCAAAGACACCCAGGGTTCCTATGCGCAGCCAGTTAAAGGTTGAGGCCAGAGCTCAGCTGCAGCTTCAGATGGAACCGTGGACTGAGGCCACAGCAAGGCCACAGGGACCGCCTGCGTGTGGCGGCTGCGTGTGGTGCTCCCTGGAGAGGGCACACATGTGCCCCTGGCTGAGCCCCTGCACTGGCCCAGGCTCAGCTCTGCTTCCACGGGAGCCAGCGATCACAGCAATCATCGTAACTGTAGACTGGGCTGAAACCTCACCGTTCAAGAGCAGGGCTTGGCAAAATGTTCCTGTAAAGGACCAGAGAGTAGACTTTGTGGCCAGTCTGCACTGCAGCTACTCCTCTCTGCAGTTAGGGCACAAAGCAGCCACAGACAATGTGTAAATGAGCGTGTGTGCCTGTGTGCCAGTGAAACTGTGTTCATAAAACAGACGGTCAACTGGAGTTGGCCCCAGGACTGCAGTCGGCCGGACCCCACTCAAGAGCTTGTTATTTTCTCAGCACTCTTTACATATGCTGTGTGGCCAGCCTGTGAAACAGGGAAAAACAGCACCCAGTCCACCCATAGCAATGGCCAGTCCATCACTAAGCCATGTGGGTTTACCTCCTTAGTCTCTCTGGGATCAAGAGACTCTCCCTATCCCAACCCCCGTGGCTTCAGTTCAGGCTATCGACCTCTTTGGCCCAGAGGATTGCGATTATCTCAGCAGTCTGCCCATGAGCATTTCCTCCTGCCTGTTCTTCACACTGCAGGCAGGCGATGGTTTCAGTGTGTGCACTTGGTCCTAGCCTACCGCCGTTCTCCATTACAGCCCCTTCTCCTCATTAAAGTTCCTTAAGAGCTTCTAACTATTTTTAATACAAAGGTCAAAATCTTTAGTGTGGCCTGACAGGCACTGCCTAACCTGGCCTCTGCTACCATCTCTAGCCTCATCTCTCGCTTCACCCTCTGCCCTCCAGCTGCATCCCCTTCTTCTCCCACCTCCCCTCCCCCGACACACACACACTACAGGTGCCTGAGACCCCCCAACCCCCCACTTCTGAGCCAGGTGCCTATCTGCACTCTGACATGCACACACGCTGCTCATCAATTCATCCCTCAAATACCCGTTCAGGTGTGATTTCCTCGGATGCCTCTTGCCCAGACTTTCAGCTGTGGGTCCTCTTGGCGCCTTGCTCTTTTCCATCATGGTGCCTTTATAGCAGCTTACGCAGTACTATTTACAACACTTGTATGTTTGTACCAGTTGTCAACTGCACGTTTGCTGGCGCGGTGTTTGGTTCCTCTCTCTCTTCCACTGCACTGTGCGCTTCATGTTTGTGAGGAAACGTGCTGGCTCCCCATGGCCAGGTGGGCATCAGTTATCTAACAAGAAAAAGAATATCGTCCCTGTCCTCAAGACCCTAACAGAGACCAGGCTGGTGATCGCCAGAGGGGAGCCAGAGTGGGGACTGGGCAAAAGGGGTGAAGGGACTGAGAAGTGCGGATCGGCGATTACAGAGCAGTCTCCGGCATGTAACATGCAGCGCGGGGAATGTAGTCGGTGATGTTGTGATGGCTGTGTATGCTGCCAGGTGTGTGCTGGAAATATCAGCAGGAACGCTAAAGTCTATGATTGTCTAATCACTGTGCTGAACACCTGAAACCAATGCACAATAATGCTGAAGGTAAACCACAATTGAAAAATGTTTTAAATTAATCAGAAATAAAAGAACTCTACAGTCCTGTGGTAGGAAGAGAATAGACCAGCCACGGTGGCACAGGTCGTTGGCACAGGCGTTCACTGCTATGGCAGGTATGAGCACAGGGCTAAAGCACCAGGGGCAGCCCCTAGTCCAACAGTGGGGACCAGGGGCGCTTCCTCCAGCTGGCGACATCTGCCATAGGTGATTGGGGATGGGGGAAGCAGGTGCAGATCCAGGGAGGCGAGGGGGAGTGTGGTGGCTCTAGGGGCCCATAGAGCACTGTGGCAGGTCCACAGAGTGGGGAGGGCAGCAGGGGGAGAGTGGGGAGACGCGTCCAGACAGGGCGGCCAGGCCCTCGCTGTGGCTCTAGAGGCCAGGAAGAGTTTGCATTTCACCATGATGGCAGCTGGAAATCAGACACTTTCAAAGCAGTGGAGTGCCCTGATCAGGGTGATTTTATAAATATCAACTCTCAGTGGTGTAGAAAATGGAGTATACAATGCACAATCTGTGTCAGGCATGCCAGAGGTACCCTTGGAAATATCGAAGCAGAGCTTAAAGAGGTTTGGAAATTAGGAGGGAGGTCTGGGCTGGACATACTGCTTTGTGATTAGTCCTCTTATGGACTCTGGGCTTCAATTCGATCACCCAGGGAGAATCTTTGAGTTGTGAGGTTATTTGTGGGAATCAGGGACTCTTATCTCTGTGTCCACAACGCCTGGGACAGAGTCGAACACCTACACTAGTAGACATTCAAGCAATGTTTGTTGAATGACTCTTGAAATTCATAAACTGCTATGACTCTAGGAAACATGCATTGCCACAGTTTTGCTGTGCAGTTGGCAAACAAGGAAAGCAGTGGTTGGAGGTCCTACCCTCGTGTACCTTTAGCCTTGACTTCAGTCCTCGCCTGTAAACGTAACACACTGACCTGAGAAGCACTGTTCTCTGGTCTTTGGAAACATCCTTCTTTCTGCAGCGAGCCTGAAACACAGGCGAGTAACTGGAGGGGACAGCAACTAAAACGAGAAGAAAGGAAGGAGCAGAGTTCGAAACCCGGGGGCAGGAAGCCTGACACCCTTAATGGATCAGTTAGACGTGTGGGGGAGAGGGCAATTTCCGAGCTCTGTCACATTCCATTATGCCATTTGTCTGGTGAAAATAGAAGCTAGGATTTGGGTCACATAGCAGGGCCCTTTGGGTGCCAAAGATATTTGAACTGAGAACATTTCTGCAGAGTCAGAATGGATGGAAATACGGAATTTCCCTGGACGAAAACGTGAAGACCCATCCGCTGATAAGGCCTTTCAAGACATTAACAGAGAAGGTAAGGGACGGGCCTCAGGTAACACTGAGTGGCCGCCCTGCTTGTCCTTCCTTGGGAGCTGTCTCAGATTGTCAGAGTTGAGGGCACATTCATCCTCCAGTTCCTTAGAACTTTTAAGGACTCCCTACACTCCTCTGGAGCTCCCCCTTGGGCACCTGTTCCTGGACGTTTCCAAGAGCCCGGCCTCAGGGTCTGTTCTGAGGCTCTGAGCGCCCTTTGGAGAGGGAAGCATGGGTCAGCACTTGGAGGCTGGGCCGGAATGCATGTGTACTTCGCTGGCAACTGAACTAGGAAGGCTTTTGTTAGATTGTTGAGGTGGAGAGAAGGGTGAATTGCTGGGGAAAATTCAAAGAGAAATAAGTGTCAATCATGGAAGATGAAGGAGAGAAGAGAGTCCCCAAGGAAATATGGGCAGGTCCCCTGGGTTTTTTCAATGAACAACTATACAGTTCAACCCCACGCTGAATTCCTATCTTGTGGTCAGTCCTTTGTAAGCTTCAGGTCTAGTGTCACCCATGAAGGACGGCACATGTATTTTTGTGTGCACACTGACCACCAATAAAATTGTACACAGCTCTAAAGAGAATTCTCAGTCTAAGACATTCTGTTTCCCAGGATCCAAGGAGAGTGTTGTGTGGACGCCTTGTGGTGAGTCCCTCTTACACAGCTTCTAGAACAAGCTAGAAAAGTCACTCTCTGTTCTTGCTCCTCGTTACCCACAAACTGTGGGTGACATCTGGTTCATTCCCTCTGGAGGCAGGAGATGGTAGGGTCTCACACTTAAAAGCATCAGAAAGACAGATTGCGTGTTTCGGGTGGGATGCTGCACAGGGGATCAGACCTGGTGAGAGGAAACAGGAACCAATGCGCACCCGTCCAGTGTGGGATCCGACCTCCACAGGGAGACAGGCCAGCCAGAGTGCTGAGGCGTGCCCTGCAAAGCTCTTCTGCTCGAATTTTCTTCCAGGAGAAGGAAATTTATCGCTGGCCAGCCAGAGAGTCCCTGAAAACCATGCTGGCTGTGGGCTGGACTGTGGAGAGGACCAAAGAAGGAGAAGCCCTTGTTCAACAACGGGAAAATGAGAAGCTTCGGAGCATGTCCCAGGCCAGCCAGGTAGGACAGAGGCCCACGCCGGGCCAGTCTAAACCCCGAAGAGCCTGGGGACGTTCTCCCCAGGGCTCCAGAGGCCAGGACCACCAGCCGCAAGCCTGGGGACCTCTTGGGATACATCTTTGGCAGCTGGTGTGGGGATGCTGGGAAGAATAAGGAAAATCAGGGCAGCCCCCGGTGATTCTGCCCTTGCTCTCCTAGGGCAACAGCTACAGCCCCGCCCCCCTGGACCTCTCCAACGTGGCGCTCTCCCGAGAGCTCCAGGTCAGTGCTGACTGCGCCGGAACAGGGCCACTTGCGCTCTGAACCCCGTCAAGTGCAGAATGTATTACCCTCCAAGGAGGTGTTTTGTTTTGTTGTTTTGTTTTGTTTTTAAGATCAAGGAGAAGGGAAAGAATGCCTAGAACATATCACCACAAAAATATAAATAATTGAAAAGGGCCCCTTTGGGCAGCGGCCACAGGGAAGGTCTCAGCAGAATTAACGAGTTATCTGAGAAAGTGGGGTGTTGTACGTCTGCCAGGGATGCCATAGAACGGGTAATCACTCTTTAAAAGGCAGAACAAATAAATTCTGTATCAAAACCCAAAACAGAACTAACAACGGCTAGGAGAAAATCTGTGAAAAGACGCCTGGGTTAAGGGGTGCTGTCCTGCCCCTGCGGGGCCGCCCGGCCACAAGGGCACTGGCATATCCTGCAGGGGGTCCACTCGGGTTCCCCGACGGTGCAGACACGCAGTCGTTGGAGGACTTAGGGAAGTCCTACCGAGAAGGTAGAACCGAGAAGATGAAACAGAGAGCATTCAGCTGCCTCCCCGGTCATCCCTGCCCCCCGGCTCGCACTGGTGGTCACTCGGGGCCCCAGCCAAGGCCAGTTACTCCTCGCAGAGTCCATCAGACCGGCCCTTCTCACTTCAGAGGAGGTTTCTGTCCAAAGTACACCGTTCCTGGTCACTGCTTTATGAATCGTTTTGCAATCGTTTTCCCCAAGACATGACTATTTTTAGCTTGCTAAGCTAAACACTTTCAGGGACTCTAGACTTTTCCTTCACCCCCACTTCCAGACCCCTAACCTCAGGTCAGGAGTGAGAGGCTGAGCTCCCGTGATGCATGGAGAACCACCAGGATGCACTTCCACATGGAAACGTGTGCTTCTCCTAAATGCATCAAACCGCCAGGATCATAAGTTACGAGGGAAGGGCAGAATCCGAAATTGTTTTCTGTGTGTACAGGAAGACATAAAACTAATGAGGTGCATAAGCACAGACTAAGTAATAAGGAGGGCAGACACTCAGTCGCGCGCCTCGCAGTTGACGTTTGGTGGAGCCTTGCCCGCCAGGCTGCCTGAAGCTGCCTGGCAGACAGCAGCCTGTTGCTCTCGCTTTGTCTCTGACGGCCCTCTCCCTGGGGACACAGGGAATGGTGGAGGTCATAGCTGAGAACTATCACAACATCTGGGCCAAGAAGAAGAAGCTGGAGCTGGAGAGCAAAGGTAAGCCTGGTTCACAGCACCCCCCGGAGGCTGGGCTGGGGAGCAACAGGTGTGTTTCCCTGGAATTGCAAAGAGCCAAATTTGTTGTCAGCTCTCACCTTACTGACCCCAGGTGGTGGCAGTCACCCTCTTTTGGTGCCATACGACACCCTGACCACCAAGGAGAAGTTTAGGGACCGAGAGAAGGCACAGGACCTCTTTAAATTCCTCCAAGTGAATGGCATTGTGGTTTCTAGGTAAGTCGTCTTCCAGGGGACGTCCATGGGGCTGGGCACCCTTATAGGTATGGCCTCTTCGTCTTCATAGGCTTCATTACCTGCCTACGAAAAGAAGGGGAAGGGTCGTCAGGGAACATGTATAAAGGACCCATGGACAAAGCCAAAGGGGGGAAGGATTGAGGGTGGGAGGTGGGGGTGGGCGGGGCGAGGGAGAGTGGTGGGAGGAAAATGGAGATAACTGTACTTGAACAACAACAACAATTAAAAACAAAGAACAATCCAAAAAATAATGAAGAAAAGAAACATTAAAAAAATGGATCAAAACAAGAGTCGCAGGTGAGTCTTGGGAAAAAAGAAAAGTTTTATTTTGCAGGATGAAGCCCTCTTTTCTGACATAAACAGAACCAGTCAATATCAGTTTTAAAAATCAATCACAACACAATATAAGTGAACAAAACAAAACAGAAACAGACTCATACCTACAGAGAACAGACCAAAGGTAGCCAGAAGGGAGGACCGTTGGGGGACTAGGTGAAAAGGGTGAGGGATTTGAGAAGAACAGATTGGCGGTTACAGAACAGCCATGGGGATGTAAAGCACAGCTCAGGGAGTGTGGTCAATAATGTGATACTGTGCACAGGGCCAGGCGGGTACTGAAAATATCAGGGGGAGCACTTTGCAAAGTATATGACTGTCTGACCACTGTGCTGTACACCTGAAACTAATACAAAATAATACTGTAAACTGTAATTGAAAAACCATTAACAAAGAAAAATCACTAACAGCAGTTATGACAAATTATACATGCATATCTTAAACATTTAATTTTAAGTTAAAACATGTCAATATGTATTTATTCACAAATCTTGTGCTATAGGCCAAGGCCTTCCTTTGTATGTTGTCCTATCCACTGGATTTACAGACCACATCCACAATGCATCCTCAAAGTTTTGCCATCGTGGCTTTATAAGGACAGTGAGAATTACCGCATGCACAAAACTGTGTGCGTGCAGTGTCTTCCAGATATTCTTTTCCATTTCGTCCCCTTCCTTTTACAGTTTTCTCACACATACCTACTTCAAAAACTATGTGTGTGGAAATTTGCTATCACAGGTCTTTGCAAAATATGCAACTTTGTTCTCATAGAATCAACAGTTCTCTTGACACTTAATTTCATTGTTGTATGTGGTATTTCATTAAGTTACACCATAACAGTAGTAAGCCCTGCTGACATAGATGGTCTCTGAATGAAGAAACTGATCCCTGGGAAGATGCAAGTGCAGGCGGTGGGGGGCATTGAATGAGTCATGGTCTCCTAAGGCGTTTTATCTGGACTTTGGCAGAATTATCTAAGTGAATGTTTTACATGAGAATGGTCTTGGCTGCTTGAGTCTTAAAAGTGGAGCCTATCTTCTTTCACTGGGCCAATGCCCGCAGTGGGCTGTGCTCTGTAGGGCCCTGTGTGCTGAGTCCTTTGTGGGAAGAAAAATAAGCTGCTGTTTTTATTGATATAGCCATTCCTCCTAAAAGGAATGTTTGCTGAGCCAGCTGCTGTTTCTTTCAGTTTCCTACAGAATTTTTGACACTGAATAGCAGAAATTCAAATAAAAATTTATACAGATATTTCTGTTGTGTATCATATGGAAAAAAATAAAACTTATGTGCTGTACTGTGAAGTAGGAAAGGTCAGACAGTGGGAGACAGCCTCGGGGGAAGCACTTGAGAAAGACACCCACTGTCATCTAAACCCTGTTCTTAGCACCAAGATGAGTGCACACTGTGATTTGCTGTGAAATAACTAGCTCACAGAAATGAAAAGTTCTTCTTTAGTATAACTAAAAAAAAAAACAAGAAAATAGGAGGGAAAAGGAGAAAGATCATTGAATTAAGCAAACATGCCCTAATGGCCATGTGCCAGCTGCCAGAGCGTGTGGTGGACGCCTGGAGGTACAGGTGAGGCAGCGAGACCCCTGTCACCAAGGAGAACTCCCCGTTTCCTGCTACCCACACCTCTGCCCTGCTCCATCCTCAGCTTCCCCATCACTCGGTGACAGCCCATTCATTCCCGGCTCTTCTCTCTTTGTCCCAACCCATGCCCAATCCTTCAGGAAGTTCTGATGGTTCTACCTTTCAGATGCCTAGAATCTGACCACTTCTCACCACCTCCATGCTGTCACCAGGATTGCTGAAAGAGCCTCCTACCTGGGCTCCCTATTTCAACCCTTGTCCCCACAGTCAACTTCAAACCTGATAACTAGAGTAATTCTGTCACAGTGTAAGTCATATCATGTCGTTCTTCTCTGCAGAACTTTCAATAGCCCCCCATCTCAGAGCAAAAGCAAAATTTGAAGGATGGCACCCAGGGCCCTCATGACTTACTCCACTGCCCACCCCCTAGCCATCCGCACCCCGCTGTCTGCTCACTCCCATGCCGTCCACACTGGCCTCTGCCGTAGTCCTCCAGCGCAGTGTGCATGCTCCCACCTCAGGACCTTTGCATCTCTACTCCCTGTGCCTGCAAAGCTCTTTCCCCAGAGTCCATAGCTCATCCTCTCCCTCCCTCAAGCCTTTACTCCAACAGCCTCCTTCTAATGAGAGCAGCACTGAGTGTTCTGTTTGACACTGCAGTCTGCTCTCCCCGCTTCAGACACACCTGGGCCCCGCCATCCTGCTTCAGTTTTCCTTATTCCATAAAGCTTAGTAACGTCTATCATTCTGTATCCTTTCTACCTTGTTTCAAATGTTGTTTGTGGCTGTCTACAGCGTGTAAGTTCATGGGGACAGGGGTTCCTGCTCACTTTTCTGATTTACCCCTGGCTCAGTGTGTGTTGATTACATGATGAAGATCTCTTTGAAAAATCTTTGCAGACATTGTTGTAGTACAGATGCACATGCAGCGAGGTGGGTTCCGTGTGCAAAGGGAAGTCAGTCAGATGAGCCGGGTCACGTGTGGGAAACGGAGTCAGCGTGGGTAGGACTGTTGACACGCCAAAGTCACAACGTCATCTCTGTTGCTTCCCGGGTTTACACGTTTCCGACCTAGAGGTGTGAAGGACATGGAGCTGGATGCCTCCTCCATGGAGAAGAGGTTTGCCTATAAATTTTTGAAGAAGATCCTGAAATATGTTGATTCTGCTCAAGAGTTTATTGCACACTTGGGTAAGTCTTGTTGCAAAATGTCACAAACATGTATGCTGCTCATAGTGCCTCATAATATCACAGAATTTTATATTTCTTCATCAAGGAACAAGGCCTTCATACCGTAGCTGTTTGTGATTCATTTGGGCTCTTGGTTCTGGGGAGGAAACCCCCAGGGGCTCCCCCAACACACACCAAAAAAATCGGTTTCATCCTTGGTTTCCCTGCTGGGTTTGATTGAATCATCTGTCATTTTTCATGTAGCTCATCCTACTTTAACTTTCCTTTTGTTTTGCTTTGAGACCATGAGCACGTGACTTACCTTCTCTGAAGCTCCTTTCTTATCAGTTAGGTGGAGAAAGGGGAAAAAAGTGATTAGATAAAGTGGAGAAAAGGGTAGTGAAACAGCTTGGAGAACTGACACAAGAAAGAACTAACCAGAACAATTGTAAAGTACTGTGTAAAATACAAGATACTGTGTAAAAATCAAACAGCTGCTCTGTTTCTAAACTGCTGGGACTGTGTGGTCTTTGTTGTTTAACTCTGGCCACCTGGCCAACTTTGTGTTACTTGTGTCCTTGTAGAAGCCCTTGTCAGCAGTGGGAAAACTGAAAGGTCTCCCCATGACCAGGAGATCAAATTCTTTGCCAAAGTAAGTGACCCTGTATACTTTACCAAATTCCTTTTTTCTTAGGATCTGCACAATTCAGGGTATAAGTTAAGCTAACCCAACAAAGATATCCAGAAATCCAACGGCTTCAATGAGACAGACATGTATTTCTCTTCTGTGGCACATTCCCGAGGCAGGGGGTAGTCCGAGTAGGCAGGGAGCCTGCCCTGCTCCACGCCATCACCCAGGGTTCCAGGTTCTTCTCTGATGCCCCACCATCTCCTAAGGTGTGGTCTGTGTCTGCCCATGTGGTCCCACAGGCTCACCTGTACCACATCTGTGGCAAAGGGGGAAAGGAGAGGGGAGGGAAAGCTGCTACTTTTTTAAAGTTCTATCCCATTAGCTAGAATGTAGTCACTTTCACCTCACCTAACTACAAGGGAGACTGGATAATGCGTTCTCTAGTCTGTGCCCAGCTGAAACCCAGGGGTTTCTATTGCTAAGAGAAAGAAGGGGAGAATGAATCTGAGTGCCAGTGAGCAGTCTCTGCCAGACAGCCCTACTCAGAGGACTGATTGCACGGTGGCCCTGGGGCAGCCACGCTGTGATGCAGGGACAGAATGGGCGTGGCCAGTATTGCTGGCCCAGGCTCCGGAGTGCCTGTGAGATGCCATGCTCCAGAGGCCGCGTCTCAGTGCAGGTGTCCCACAGGTCTCCCCTGAGAATGGTGACTTGGACCTATACTCGTATATCTTTGGGCCCTTAGTTGGTGGCGCTGTCCTTTCCCATGTCCCCATGACTTCTGGTTCTAGGCATAAAAGGAAAATGTATTCGAAACTGAGAATCACTGGGTCGAGTTTCCTGGAAATGTCAGGACAGCGTTTAGAGGCTTTTTGCTCACTGAGAATGAACTTCTTCAGAGGAACCACAGGAAGGGCTTTGGCTGGCTTCCTAGAAGTTCATTTCTGGTGGGTTTTCCAGGTTCTCCTCCCGCTGGTTGACCAGTACTTCACCAACCACCGCCTCTACTTCCTGTCATCCCCTCTGAAGCCCCTCAGCAGCGGTGGGTATGCCTCCCATAAGGAGAAAGAGATGGTGGCCAGGTGAGTCTGCAAAGGGAAGAGACGGTCACGGTGCTGATGTGAATTACATAAAACTCCAGATTCCTGGAGACTAAGTGATACTTTTGGAGAAATTAACTATATGCTGATGATCAGTAGCTTAGAGGTTTTGGTTATTACCTGGGTCTCGAAAGTAAGTTTATTCATACTTATCTATATGTTATTATCCTCGCAACCAAGAAAAGTGCACTGTTTGGGGGTTTCAGTAGGGCTGGGGAAAAATTTGTATATCCGGTCAACTTCTATGCTGAAATAACATTTAGAAAAAGGCGAAGGTAATTCTGAAGCTTAGGAAAAGCAAACACGCAACATTGAAAAGAAGCAGATGAACACTGTTTTCAATTCCACTCTTTTCTGGCTTTTTAAGGCTAAAACTTAAAAAACAGAATCAGATCTTACAAGTTCTGGTGTAGGTGATCTGAGATTTGAAATCTAGAGCAACATAATTCAAGTTAAATTCTTAACAGGGAAAATTTTTTCATCAAAAGCACCAACCCCCTTTACATGTCACTGGGCAGAACAGTTGGGTTCCTCAGCAGAGATCAGAACAAAAGGGGTGCGTCCTGATCAGGCTAAGACAGGGGTGTCAAACTCATTTTCACTGGGAGCCACATCAGCCTCATGATTGCCTTCACAAAGCTGAATGTAATTTTAGGACCGGATAAATGTAACTACTCCTTAACTAGGGGCAAGGAGCTCAGCACTGCCACTGGGTAGAAACAAGGTGCTGGACTAGCTAAAACAAGGTTTGGCCCTCGGGCCTTGTGTTTGCCACCTGTGTGCTAAGAGATGGATACCACCGTGCCTCAGGTCTCTCAGTGTTTGATATATGAATGACAAGGAAGGGGTTCAACTACTACACAGCAAAGAGTTAAGGATTTGTAATGAAAGCAGGTTATCAGCTCCTTCCCTAGCATCTGCTGATGGTGAACTGCATACATAATACTTAAAGAGGGCCCAACTATAAGGTGTCACCCTCTCTGGGAAGATATTCATATGAGGACTTAGCTAACACTTATTAAACACGATATGACTCAGCAGTGACTTAATTTTTCATATGTAAGAGTCATGGCCCACTCATGCATCCTCGCCACCATGCTCAAAATTCTAAGACAGCTGTGTATGATGAGCTCCGCTTTGCAGGGGAGGGAACTGGGGTTCAGTCAGGTGACCACAGAGCCTAAAGTGTCCCGGGGAGTAAATTAGGACAAACATGAAAGCCCAGTGCTGTCTGTGCAGACCACGTGCCGTTTTCCCTGCATGGTCATTACTTAACCTCATTTGTTAGGAAAGGAGGAGCCCACGCTATCAAAATGACATACACTTGGAATCAGTTACTGGCTAGCAACTTCCTAAATATTTTCAGGATGCACCAGTGTATTTTGCAAAAAGGTGGGGAACTGAGGGGCAAAGTGAGATATTCACATAATCCAGCAGAGGGCAGGTGTGTCTGTTTTCTTCACCTATGTTTTTTTAGATTATTAATTCATGGAAATGTAACATTTGTTCAGCCAGGCACCATTTGTCACGGCTGAAATACAACCTGGAGCTGATCAGCCTTGCAAATAGCTTTCAGCCCCAGCAGTGGCTTGCCACAGAGGCTGTGGTGTCTGCGTGGAGGTGCGCACATTTCCAGACCCAGCTGGTTTGCAGCCTCCGCCCTCGCCCCACCTCTTCCAGCTCAGATGCTTTTCAGCAGGGCTTTCCACACTTGCTCTCCTGGGAGCCCTTTAATTTATCACCTTCAAACTCTGAGGGGACTCTAAGGACAGTATTTCTACTTAAGTCCTGGGCACCCCAGGGGACAAGCCAGAGCCTGTGGAGATTTCCTGGGCCTTGGCACACCTGAGAAAACGCGTCTCACAACAGGGGGACCATGTTAGCATTAGGATCAAGCAACCAAACCATCTGCTTCAGCCAGGAAAATGCTCTTTTGTATTTATAGAGAGCATGCATTTATCTCACCAGAAATAAGTGAGTTTATCAGCCCCACGTCTAAAAAGTGAGGGTAGTGTGGATACTCTCTACTTACAGGTGAGAAAACTAACCAACGCACTGAGCCATGAGGTGGCTGTACCAACAGCCTAGCCTGTCAGGGCAAAGCCCGGGAGCTCACATTCTTCCAGGTTGCCCCTCCCCCAACTCCATGAGTTATCAGATATATAGCTCCAAAAAGACAAACGCAGTGGGAAAAGGAAAAAAGAAGCAGTCCATATTTAATTTCACACTAGCTGGCTGCCCAATTTCTATTAACTTATTCTGAGTTCTCTTAAGCTCCAGGGCCAGGGTTCCAACTGATTTCTGCTGAAAAACAAAGAAAAAATGACTAACCAGGAGGGACTTTGGCCATGATTCTTAGGAGAGAGCCCAAAAAGGCCCAGAGTATTCACTGAAAACTTTTGAAAGATGAGCACATTTTCATCATCCCCACCAGTACTCAGGAAGTATTTCTTCTCCATTCGAGCTGTCCTCTAAATTAAGACTTCAGCCCTGTGTAGGGCATGAAGCCCATGGCAAGCTATGCAGAAGAGATTGGGAAGGAATTCAGCCCAGCCTGACCTTGGAGTCCCATGGCCAGTACCAAGTGTTTTTAGTCCAAGTATTTCTGTTCCACCAGGAAGGACCACTTTCTGAAGAGGTTGCCAGCCTCCTGTCTAGGTGTGCTAGTGTTGAGTACCGTCAGAGTTCTGGGGAACCTCCTCCCACCAACATGGACAGCACAGGTGGAACGGCGGCCTGGTGCCCCTGGATGGGGTCCATCTGTAACATATTTAGAAACATGTGTAGGCTCCTTTCTCACTACACAAAGCCCTCTGTGTGGCACTGTGGAAGGTAAAACAGTGAGACACAGCTGGATCTCCAAGGGCTTCCAGGGCAGAAAATATGGGCAGAAGGCACAGAGTAGGGGCAGAAAGCACAAAAGCATAGTATGCAGGCTTTCCTAGCCTCTAAGGACACAGCTAGCACAGCAAGCTGGTCAAGCCCATCCATGAATGGGAAATGACAATGAAAAGCAATTTCTTACATGTTTGGTTCAACACAGCATTGCCCATACCTGAACCACTAACTTTCTTCCAGCCTCACCTTCTTACCCACCTCCCAACAAAGCCTTCACATCCTAGTGAGGGCTGCAAAACGATTCGCCATCCACTTCAGCAATGGAAAAATGATGTTTCTACAGAATCCCCATTTATTCCTGAATGTCATATGAATGAACATTTCAGTATGTGGTACTCTGTGGTAAGGGATGGTTTGCAAAAGCCAGCTCTCTACAAAATACTGCAACTGTTCCAGAAGGACTGTTTTCTGTAAGGTTGGAGCCACCCATGAGGTATCTTTCATGGCTCTCCAGCAAGACTCCGAGAACCACGTGTGTTCCTGGTGTGGTCCAGAGGCTTGATTGAGAAGAACATAGAGCATCTTCCCAGAGTGCCACTGAGTGCTCTTTGTTTTGCAGCGGGGGGACCTGGGGAGGTACAAATCAATCCTTGAGTCTGTGTGCCTCTCCGACTCACGCTCTTTTCTGCTTCAGCCTGTTCTGCAAACTCGCTGCTCTCGTTCGGCACAGGATTTCCCTCTTTGGTGAGTGAAAAGAGGCATGCTAAGGGCTGCACTCCTCCCCGTAGTCCTCCTGCACTCGCATTTTGCCTTTTTGTGCGTGTCTCCCACAGAACACCTGAGCCCGAGGACGAAGGTGTCACCTAAATATGCCATAGAAAATTGGTACGAAGTATGATAAATGACCTCCCTATCCCTTTAACAGCTCTGATTTTCCACACCAGTGAATGTTTTAAGCTCTTCCTCCAACATCCATCATAAAGCAGATGTGTCAGGCCAGAGATAAATGCATTGTCCCTGAACACAGACCTTGCATGCTGGGTTATCTGTGGATCGGTGGTTGATTATGCTGGGCTGTGGTTTGTGCTTATTGATAAGATTGTGTTTGAAAGGCTGACTGGTTCAGGGAGTCACAGGCGATACTTTTGATTCTAGGGAGTGATTCTACTACAATGGTGAGCTGCCTTCACATCTTAGCTCAGACGCTCGACACAAGGTAAGTCTGCCCAGTGTTTTCTAGTAGTTCCTCAACACTCGCGCTCTCACTCAGGACTGCACTGGAGAGAAGCAGACAGGGAAAGGACGGATCCTACCCTGACGTTAGCACTTCTTTGTTTCCCCATCTGCATGGCAGAGGGCCACGGCTAGGGAATATGCTCAACGCTGAAAACTGAGCATTTGATCATTCTTGTCATCTCTTACTGAGAAGTTCACCTTCAGAAGATGAAATGTATAATTTGGCAAATACATTATAATGAATAATGAGCCACTCTGTGCCTCATTCCCCACAAAAAAAAAAAAAAAAACAAGAGCTGCCTGATGGGTGGCAAGGCCGCCGCCTCCTGGGAGAGGAGAGCCATCACTCTCTACCAGAAGACCGGAAAGGGAGTGTGAGCCCGAGGCCCAAGGGCCTGTAGGGAAGACAGCTGAACAGGAAAGGAAGTCATATGTATATACACCGATAATAGAAATATTTTATATGTGATGAGACAAAAATGAGACAAACTGTGGGAACAACTGGCTGACAGGGAGCTTTCTTTAGCATGTTCATGTCAAAGTAGAGAGGACGACATCCATCCCAAATACAGAAGAGAGGCAGCAACCTGAGTGGCCATGAGATGAAAATCCACTACAAACAAAGAGTAGTCACACACGCGAGCACACGCGCACACACACACGCACACACACACACAACACACACACACACACAGAGTTAAGGATAATTGGGAGTTTTAGGTTTTTGAGAGAAACAAGCATTGTGGAGATACTGGAACAGAACAAAGTTTGCAGGTCAGACCAAAGCCTCCCAAGGGACTGAAGTCCCTTGCAACTGGAGTGAGGGAACTTTTCTCCCAGAAACGTGGGACACCTTGAGAGAGAGTCCATTTAAAAAAAAAAATGTAGGGCAGTGTGTTTAATCACCATACCTGAGAAAACCTGCGGCAGGAAAGTTAAGGAGGTGGCAGGTAGCTCATGAAGAGACTTGCAGGATAGGAGCAAGCCTCACTGACTTTCATTGTTTTTGTTTTTCTGGTCAGTTGGATGATCGTGAAAATGCTGTAGATATAAAGCAACTGTCCTTAACAAGCCTGTCATAATCCTGTAAATAAGATGTAGAACTACAGAAAATAATAGATGACTTCTAGGCTTTGTTCCAATTCTAAGGTTTAGGGAATTATTCTCATGGGTGAACCTCAGATATCCATAGCTAATCTTCACGCCTATATGGTTTTGTCAGTGAACTGCCTAAACTGTCTGTTTTACAAGGGGCTGGCTGTCCCCCTCCCCTTTCTCCAAGTGAGGACATCCCTGTGAGCTGATAGAAATCTAAGCTTCAGTTGACTTATTCCTTTGTTCTCACTCTCTAAGTAGTCCTGTATCACAGGAGAGCTAACATTTCTCGCTAAGCCTTATAAAAGTTGCTTATCTCATCGTGAGCTCCAAGAACTCCCCTCACTGTCCTTTTAATTAATATTTGATGATGTAGCCACGATATGTATAGCAAGTGGCCAATATCCCTTCCATTCTAAACCATCCTCTGTGTTTCCTGAGGAGCTGGACACAGAGTCCCTCAAACAGAGCATACCATCCCCTTGCCAGGCCTCTTTGTACTTTGTGGTCCAGGTTTCTTCTGAACCAAAGGGTGCCCTCCACTGCTCCTGACACATGTCGTCGGGTGACTGGAGTGTCAAATGTCTGCACAGCTCGCACTGCAAGTCACCAGTTTTGAGAAGGTGATTGGCCAAAGGTTCAGATTTTGCTTCTGGTTTTGAGTGCTGTTTGCTTGCAGGACCGTCATGAAGTCGGGCTCAGAGCTGGTGAAGGCCGGGTTACGAGCCTTCTTTGAAAATGCCGCGGAAGACTTAGAGAAGACTTCGGAAAACCTGAAGCTCGGGAAGTTCACGCACTCCAGAACGCAGATTAAAGGCGTCTCTCAGAACATTAACTACACCACGGTGGCGCTGCTCCCCATCCTGACGTCCATCTTTGAGCACGTGGCGCAGCATCAGTTTGGGGTGGATTTGCTCTGTGAGTCAGACTGCTGTGTGTGTGCGTTCAGGAGCACACAGCCGCAGGCAGGAGGAACGAGGCTCAGTTGCTGAGGCTGACCTTGAGGGAGGAGCAAAGAGATTATCATTCCATGCTTTTTTCCTTCTTAGATTTAAAAATCAAGTAGTAGACTCTAGGATGGGAAGAAATCCCCAAATTTGAGTATATAATATTTCATCTTTTCCCACTATCATTCAGGACCAGGATTTTTCACTGACTGGTTTAGCTCCCAGCCTTTGTGCTCCTCTTCATTCGAACAGTTTATCTGAGTCATCCAGCAGGAGACAGAGGTTTGCTCCCAGGGCTTTTCAGCTACCAGTTTTCCTGTTAAGAAGCACTAATTTATTCACAAATACCAGGAGCAAAGGAAAGCTGCTAAGACGTCCTTATCTGAGCCTTTGGAAGCCCACAGTCAGTTGGTTTTATTGCAGTTTGCAGTTAGTAGCATGGACAGACCCCTCATGCAGATACTCTGCCACCACGCTTCAGTTGCACACTTTAAATGTCGGCGCAGGGAATAATTTAATTTAGCCAGTTGTCATAGCTAAGGCTGTGTCTTCCGTATCCCTGAACAACTGAAAATCACTTATTTCCATGGGGTTGGGGGACTGGTGGGGGAACATCTAACCTCATTATTTTGTATCATGGAAATAATACACCTCCTTGTTAAAAAATAAAAAATGAAATTAGTTTTCATGGTGCTAAATTAGTCCCTGCCTTGTTATGAGTTCTAGACATTAACAAGAGCATGTAGCCTTCAGATAAACTTTGTGAGTTGCTAGGTGGAATATGCCCTTTTTAAAAGGAAATGTGGCAAAATCATTATCTGTTTGAATGGCCTTTTGAAAAACTTCCCTCAGAGAACTTGGGACAAGGGAACATGAGGAATTTTGCTCTTGTTACTCTGTCTCCGAAGAGGTGAGCACATTGTACGTATCTTCCTAGGAAATGAACGAAAGGCAAGGCTCATTCAAACTTCGGATTTCTCAAATTCTTCTTTTCAAAGCAAAGAAATGTTCCTCTGGGTAAAATTTGGGTAAAGTGTCACCCTCTATTGGAAAAAAAAAGTCTCAAATGAGGGACTCATTGTCCAGTGATCCTGTGACCACATCCTAAGCCCCACAGAGGAATGGGTGGCTCCGTGTGGGGTATTTTCCCGAGAGTTTTCTCACCCAGTTCAGTAATTAGCATCTGGGCAGAAAGGAGCTGTCTTGGGGGGCGGGGGGCAGGGAGGAGAAGGAGAGAAAGATCTCTTGGGCTCTGGGTGATGCGAGCACGTTTTCCCTGTGGGTAGACCCTTTCCATGTGTAGGAGGTGGGGAGCTGTGATTGATCGCAGTGATGGCCGCTCTGTTTTGTTCTTTGCAGTGGGTGACGTGCAGATTTCATGCTACCACATACTGTGCAGCCTCTACTCTCTTGGGACGGGAAGGAACATCTATGTTGAAAGGTAATTAGCGAACAGAAGAGGCCAAACATTCAAGCTCAAGAAGATGTTAGCATCTTTTCAATCCAGCAAAATCAAATGCTCACTGAAATGGGATGGTGATTTTGAGCCTAGGTTATGAAATGTTTGTGGCAATTCTAAGAAGTGTAAGGATGCTATTAAGATTTATGACTTTTGTGGAGATAGCTGGTGAATGTATGTGGCTGGAGGAGCAGTATAGCCAAGCTAAAAAATCTTGTGCTAGTGACTAAAAAAATGTCAAAGAAATGCTCAGTTCTTCATAATCACAGCTTCCCAACAGCTTCCGGAGTTCCTGGGGTTAAAGCTTGCTGAGAAGCTCAAGGGACATGAAGCAGTTGCTTTAGCATTTAATGAGTTTCCATGTGATGCAGTCCTGGACCTTGGCCATTCTCGGCTGTCAGATTAGCTATAGTTTTAAACAAGGCCACACTTGGGTAGCAGAAATGCTATTCAATAATCTTGAACCTGAACAAACTGCTTTTCAGAGATGCTTGGGTTTCAGCCTTGCTCTCTAATCTGCCTGCAGCTACAGAAGCCTTTTGTGACCCCTGCTTTTCACCACCAAATGCCAGTGTTCTGTTGTTCTGTTCTGTTTAAATGTATGCGGGTGATCAGAAAGATAAACAGTGTTAGCCAAACTCTGGACTTAGTATTATCCCTGGAAGAGTTTTTTTTCTCCTCCCCCCCACCCCCGCCCTTTCAAATGAGGAAACTGGAAGGAATTCGATCTGAGCTTAAAATTAATCTAAACATTCCTTGATAGCTATGCCCCCTTGAGCCACCTCAGCTTATGGTGCTCTATCAAACAAACCAATTTAAATCCTCGTTTCACCTAAAAACTTACATAAACTCTAACTGACATTTCTCAAAAAAGAAAAAGACTGGTTCCTTGAAGAACTAAAGAACTAATGATTTGAAATCATGCACTAGCAAGAAATGTCTGTATCTTCATCCTCATAGCGTCCAGATAGCTTCTATAGTTCAAGAAACTAATGACTGCTTTATATTGATTATGACTTTCATTTCTTACAGTTGCACAGCCTTCCTTATTGTTTTATTTAAAATATGGGTACTTTTGTCATTTAAGATTAGGAACTGGGGAAACAAAAGTTTTAACCATATTTTATACTAAATCAACAAGAGAATTTAAAATTTTTCATTTTATGGAAGTTGGTCAAGAATTTTCCTTAGGGAAGGTGTCTTCAATTCGTTTTTCCCATTAAACATTTCTGAGTATTTTCTCAATGTCTTATTTTCCCATTTACTGTGTGTGTCTATACATGCATCTGTATGTGCATGTGTCTGTACAATTTTTTGAAAAGCTTATGCATTATTCTCTTGAAAAAAAGGGGGGGTCAAAGAAAGGTCAACTCTGAAATGTCAGACCAGAGAAAGATTGCTCTTCACGTGGCTCTTTATTTTATTCATATAGTCATTCCAGTTTTATTACATATTGTGAATATCAGTGTTTGTGATTCATGCTCCGTGTGGGCAGAAGTCAGGCTGGCAGAAGCACCCACACCAAGGCTGCTCCTGCGGTCTTGACAGTCAATGACTTACAACCCTAGGGCTGTCATGCTGCCACTGGGAATGACTTTTGTTTGCTTCTGTGGTATTGTGAAAGTAACACACTCTTAGAGAGCTATTTCTCCCTTCTTTCCCTGCCCCCCTTTGACCCGATGTTTCTGACCAAATAAGGCACACCATCCCTAACCCTCTGCCCCGTTGTTTTTCAGTGCCATGCTCAGCCCTGTTTTCTGCTCCCCACTGCGAGTTGTTTTTTCTCCTTAGCACCCTCTGGAATGTACATGAAGGGACTTTCAACATTGCAAAGCCCCAGATAGGTACAAGGCGTAAGTGTGATTGCTGTGCCGACTTTGTCTCCCTGGCCATAGACATGTGAGAAACAAGGTCCCAGTCCATGGGAGTGATACTGAGAGAACGACTTAAGAAGTAGCAATAGGTGAAACACAAATTGAACCCTCCTCAGTCTGTCACCATTGACCAAGTACTGCCCATGAAAAATACCGTACTAGACCAATAACAGCTAAGGAGGGAAGAAAAAAGAGTTTCCATATCCAGCGATAAACTCTTCAAGTAGGTCCTTTGGTTGCCATGGAGCTGTTTGTGTAGCCCTTGCTCCTGTTGGTCCACACCACACTGCCCCCTGGGGGACACTAATGACTGGAGAAGTGTTATAACAGCAGGCCTTTGCCCAGCTCAGTCCCTCTGGGGCCTAGAGGCCAAGGTCATTCACTCTGGTATTTTACAGCCAGGAGCATTAATTGGCAGACTTCCGAGCCTTACTTATATAGAACTTTTAACAGAGAGGCCAAGAGAATTGTTGTTTGTATCCCTCCTGGCCAGTGGCTAATTAGCATCACTGGGAGCTCCAGACCAGGAAAAGGCCTGTTGTGAGTTTGTAGAGACTTGGGTTTCTCAGTAATTAGTATCAGGGAGGACAGGGTCACGCGTGGCCCTCAGGGCAGTGCAGCACTGGAAAACTGACTTTTGTCCCAAGGACTGTTTGTGTACCACGACACAGGCTTTTCTGGAAATCTGCATTCATGAGATCATGACTTTGATTTTGGTGAGAGAAAGAGAAGAACAACAGTTGGTTCAGCACCCGGCAGCACAGGGCCCACCGCTTCCTGGGCTCACCTCCCCGGGCTGAAGGTTTGCTCTCAGATCTGATGCTCCTCGTCATCCCTGATTTTTGCCCAGGGATTTTTTTCTTTAATGCTCCCATGTGGCATGTCTTTCTCCACCACAATTTAGTTCTTTATTTCCTCCTTCTCAAAAGGTGAGGCAGAGGAGAGGAAACACAGTGTTTCTCCTCATTGGCCACTGTGGTTGGTGAAAACAGTGAGACTGTAGACTGAAAGAACAAAACACTGTCATACATCCTGTTTGATGTCAACAGGCCCTCACCTCACTGGGGGGGTTGGTCATTCAGGTCTGAACCTAAGACAATGTCTCTTTTCTTACACTTTTCCACTACCTGGACTTGAGCAAAGGCGGGGAGTGACTGGGGGGAAAGGTGGTGAGAAGGAATGCACAGTGGGGAAACGGGGCCAGCCTGCGGCCTGCTGAGACTGAAGCAGCCTTTGCCGAGGCCTCCTAGAGAGTAAGCCTGGTCTCTGTAGTCCCCACGTCCCACTCTGTCCCCTTCCACGGCTGATACGGCCTCCAGCTGGGGCCCGCAGCATTAACACACGGGGCCCAGAGGACTGGCTCGGTCCAAGGGCTGCCGCTGCTGTGCCCCGAGAGCAGACCTGGACTGGGATGGGGGAGTGGAGGAGGGGTGAGCAGCCAGACCTTCAACGGAAGGACCAGGCTGCACCATTAGCTAAGAAGTGACTTGCCTACCTGAGGACATTCTTGCTTGCTGGAGGCTGGTTTTAAAGTTATCTGCTCAAATACTTTATGGCCAAATGAGCTGTCTGCTGGTCCCCTACCGGCCAAGCCTAAGAAGATAGAAGATAAGGAATAAATCCATATTTATTAATTGTCCTTTAAAGTAATTAAAAAGTCACTTTTTAATAAGTTTAATAACTTGACTAAATATTGTGTGGGGCTTCCATGGAATACACAGCTTTCTACCAACTCGTTCCCTCACTCCCGCCCTCCTCCCTCCCTCTAGCCCAGAAGATTCCTCCATCATCTCAAGCAGAACTGTTCTCTGCACAGAAGTCCCCCCTTTTCCACAGGGGATACATTCCCTGACCCCCAGTGGATGCCTAAACCACGGGTAGTACCAAACCCTATATATACCATGTGTTTTCCTCTACAAACATACCTCAGATAAATTTTACTTTGTAAATTAGGCACAGTAAGAAATTAACAATAACGTAAAATAATTATAACAATATGCTACCATGCAAGTTATGTGAATGTGGCATTGTTAAGAGAGATAAGGGCTATTCGAACACAAGCCCCACAATGCTGTGACAGCCCATGTGATAACCAGGGGCCGCTAAGTGGCTACCAGAGCGGGATCGTCTGCAGCGTGGAGGTGCTGGACAAAGGGGTGATTCACAGCCCAGCAGGGTGGAGCCGGATGGTGCAAGATTTCAGCACACTACTCAGAACAGCATGCAATTTGAGATCTGTGACTTTTTACTTCTGGAATTTTTTAGTTAATAACTTCAGACTGTGGGTAACTGAACCCGCGGAGAGATGTTATTTTATCACACTGCTTCCGCGTTCTGTCCCTCCTCTGCATTCAGTGAGAAAGGACTTTCTCCACCTGGAGACAAAAGCTAGAGCTGTCTGGCTTACTCCTTGGGGAGCTCTGGCTCCCCTGGGTGCCTCCACCACCCAATAAGTGCTTGTCACCCACGTCCAGAGACCCTACAGTTTTGACATTCTGGCATTTTCTTGAGGCTGCCCGATGTGTTGACTGTTGCCATAGTGAAGGGCAGGTGACACAGTCTCAGGTGCAGGTTTTTGGTGGAACCTGAAGGGAACCAATGGCTGAATGCCTCTCTGTTTCCGCACTAATAGGGCAAACGTTCGCTCTTGGCTGTAAGTGTGCCCTCTCTCGCTGGCCGTTTTCTCTGGTGCTTCTGTAACATCCCCCACAATGGTGGCCTTCGACCCCCAGCATCCAGGGATGTTGCTTGTGGGCTTTGTATACACAGTGTCAGTGCTCAGCTCGAGCTGATCAGTCACAAGCAAGATGGGCTTGCACACCATACGCTCTTCCAGTGTTGCGCGTGGGTCACCGGCTAGCAGTGACCACGGAACGCTGTGGATGGCTCGACAATAAACACGCGAGAAATAACAACATGCACAGAGACAAACTAGTTTCTGTGGGGAAGTAGGGACAGAATGGCCACCCCCCTAGTGGGGGAGCGCGCCGATTTACCGTCCATACCTGCTTTTATTAGGCTCATTTTGCATAATAATTCAGGTAAAGTACAGTACTCATTAGGGGAAGTAAGGAACTATAGAAAACAAAGAACTCTGCCCGTCTATTGAGTTGGGGGTCAAAGAGCTGTAAGGCTGAGGAACAAACTAGCTTCCTCCTAAGACCCTTCTCATTCAACTGAGAGCATTCCAAACAAAGAAGGTTTCACAGTAATTTACATGTTCTTTCTTAGGCCTGATCACCCCGGGAAATCCTCACTTCCCAGTACCAGCTGTACTACCCTGTCATTGTTTCAGGCTTAGGTGGAGCACGGGAACTAAGGCCACCGAGAGATAAGGAGATTTTCTTCCGGACGCTGAGAACTCAGACTTTGTCAAAGCCGAGGAGTGAGGGTCCATCACCCCCTTTTGCTGCAGCCCCCCAAGTCCTTCTTTTGGGGGGCCTCCCAAAGTGATCGTGCCTGGCTTGGGTCGTTCCCCCCGTGGGGAATCTTACCCGTCTTTGGCTAACCGACCAAGCTTTTTGGGGTTCAGCAGCAGAAGCAGCATTCCTGCCAGGAAGATAAGCTTTTGTCTCCTTGCCGGCTTACGGTTCCAAGGGCGTTCCCTTAGCCTTAGCTAGGCGGGGGTTTCAGCCTCTGATACCAGTCAGGGCGGTTCCCAACATTCCAGTGCTCAATTCTAGACCTGTTGTCCACATTTCCCACGAGTGATCTTGGTTTCGTGGTCTAACAAAGGACTCAGAATATTGGTGTTTTTGGTAAGAAAGTTTTCTCCTTATATGGAAACTGACATTCATGTGAAACTCCTGGGACAGGTGTATGGTATGTCCATGATTGAATGTCCAAGAGTGGCTAAGAGAAGATATTTCTGGGTGAGAACCAGATGGCTCTGATCTCAAGTTCATCAGAAAGCAACAGATAACAGCCCCCATACAGGGCTCTCAAGCCAGCACTGTCACTGCACTGTCTCGCTAGCAGAAAGGACCTGCTGGGTTATAGCTCCAAGGCTGAGCCCAGGTCTGCGCAGGGGAAGCACTATTTCAGTACCAGCTCCACACTGAGCAGCCAGGGGTGGGTTCCCGTCCCTCACACTTGGAGACTGGGCCATCCCACAAGCCAGACAAGTCCTCTCTGTTGGAGAACTGGAAATCTGAACTAGGAATCCCAAGCACTTTATTTTTGTTTGGTTACTTGTTTCAGAGAAAGACTCAAAACCCAGAGCTCAATACATGGTGGACACTCAAACATTTGTGAAAGGAAGAAATAGAAGTAGTAGGTGGCAGAGGTCTGTCCTCAAGGCAAGCAGTATGTTTAGGACCTCTTATTTCTATTACAAGGCTGGTATTTTATTTTGTGTCTAATTCATGATTTTGGCCCCTTATCTACTGTTCCCACTGGTGATCGCAGGCTCTATCCATGGTAGGGAACAGACACAGAGAAATTACACAAAAGATTTCGAAACATTTTGAGAACAAGGAGGATCAGACTCAATGTGGATGTCCACAAAACTTGCTCTCAGATATGCAGGGAGAAAAGAACAAAGTGACATGGTATATTATATCACCTGAGCCAGTTAATAACTAGGTTCCAAGTAGTGAGACCATTGCAAACTGTTGGTTAGTGTCCAGCAAAAGGTGGGGAGAAGGAAGTGCCTGCAGCCCCGCTGAGCCCAGGGCCGAGGGATGCCGGTGGAGTAATACAGGGAAAAGCAGCACGAGACATCCTGGGGAAGGGGCCTGGCCTGCCAGCGCAGGGGGCCAGCCTGTGAGCGGCAGCACTTCTGAATGGATTTCTTGTTTATAGACAACGTCCTGCCCTCGGAGAATGTCTGGCTTCACTGGCAGCTGCCATCCCAGTGGCGTTCCTGGAGCCCACCCTTAACCGTTACAACCTGCTCTCGGTCTTCAACACCAAAACCCCCAGGGAGAGATCTAGTAAGTATCTTCCCACAGTGACATGCCCTGTGCTGAGAGGAGAGTGGCAGGGAGGGAAGGCCACACAGGCAGGGGGCAGCCCCCCTCCAGCACTGCTGGTTCCCGGGGCCCAGGGTTGGGGGCAGGGGGCAGGAGGTCAAAGCCCGTCTCCATCTCACTGGAAGAATGGGCATGGGCAGGTCCTTTGTGCTCATTCAACTTTGGTTTCTTCCTCTATAAAATGAGGAGACAGCCTAGTTGATTTCTAAATCTCTTCCATCCTAAAACCCCAGGTTCTGTCACTGACCCTGGGTCTTAACTTCTCTTCCTGCATCTGGAGATGTGATGACCCATTCACAGTTCCTCTCCAGAGTGTCAACAGAAGGGGCACATCTGTACTAATAACCTAATTAAGCTCTTCGAGTCCCAGGAGAGACTCTGTTGCCAAGGATGATGACTACATGTTCTCCCTCTGCATGGAAAATAAGGCCTAGGAAAACACCAGAGGGAATTGGAATTATACATGAAACAAAATCAAACCAGAGCACCAAGTTCTAGGGCAGCTGTCCTAGGACTTAGGAAGTAACATTTTATTGCAACACGGTCACACCCACTCATTTACATGTTGTCTGTGGCTGCACTAGCGCTATGTCGGGGAGGAAAATAAGGTTCCCTCTCTCCTGTGTTATTCTTGGCTAAAACTCCTCTGTTGAAAAGACAGTTTAAGGAGAAAAATGAAACTATTTGAATCACCTACATGTGTGTGCATACAGCAGCCCCACAAAGATGTGAGACTGGAGAGGTAACCAGGGACCGAGCCTTAAATAGCAGCCTGAGCAAGGGAAGGGGCCAGGGTGTGGGGCCTGAGAGAAGAAGGCGACTCACCTGCAGCCAGAAGAGGAAATGTTTGTGAGCTGAGCTGCCCTGCCCATTCGGATATGTCTCCAGTGAAACAGTTATGTTGGGTCATAGGTCTCCTCCTGGTAGGCTGCCTTTCTGATGTAAATTCCCTTTATAAATGTAGAGTTCTTTGACAAAAGGGTAAGTGCTACTCTTTTTTCCGAGCTTCTTTGTGCAGTTTCCTAAAAACAATAATCTCTGAGCTGAAGAAGCAGGTGTGCAGGGCCATGGTCTGCCTGCTCCCACCCCAGTGGCAGAGCCGAGTCAAGGCAGCACAGACCATCTGGCCTGCAGTGCAGAGTATTTGCTCTCCGGCCCCTTACAGAAAGGTGTTCCCCCCCCCTTTTCTAGGAGAACTGTAGAGCTGGAACACAAGGCAGGTTGTAAACCCGCTCCTGGAGGAGGAAGGGAGAGTCCTCACACACGATCAAGGGCAATCCTACTGCAAGGCCTCAGGATAGAGGAGCTCCAAGCAGGAACCTTCATGCCACTAGAAAGAACTGCAATGATCTGATGGAGCAAAAGCTACCACATGGTGGGCCTCATCAATATTCACAAAAAGAAAAAACCTTAGTGAACCATTCATACCAGAGCCATCCTATTCAGACCCATTGATACACCAGCAGTGACTGAGCAGCATGGCGATCCCACTTAGTATGGGCCCCCTTCGCAAACTGCCGTGAGGTCCTAAGGGAGAGAGTCCCGAGAGAGTGGGGTTCGTGCTCCAGTCCTCTTTGTCAGCAGTCTTTCCATCTAAGAAGGCAGAGAGCAGAGCCACAGTGGATTTATTCCCATTTGCTTTTGCTACTTCAGATCAAAGTCATACCTTGGCCCCAGGAATGATCACCAGGACAATGTAGACAAGGCCACGCTATAAAATTCCTTTCCTGAGCTAGAATGCAGTAGACACTAGTGTTCTCAGGGCTGGTTAAGGGAGAAACATTGCTGAGATGCCTCCACTTTCCAGGGTTGGGTATGAAATGTCCAAGTCCCCAACACCCTCAGCTTCGTCTCACCCTTTCTCTCCTTTCTGGGACTAGCAAAAGTGTATTTCCAACCTTGTTTTTTTTTTCACGCACCCTCTCATGCTTCTAAATGAGTCACATCTTGCAGCTGAGTGGGAGCTGAGCAATGGAGCAGGCTCTGGTAACACTGAGAAAGGGCTGTGACACCTGCAGGCACATGCCAGCCCAGGTTGTGCTCCCCATGCCAGGATCAGGGCCCAGGCATGAGTGCCGGATTGTACACGTCCATTCTGCACCACCTGTGATTCGAGGAATAGTGCGTCCTTGTCTCTGTATCAGCAATGTGTAGACTTGAACCTTGGGAAAGAGAGAGACCTCCTCTGCTCCTGGGCTCATAGAGGTACAGCAGGAGGCAAATGGGGAACTTGACAATGACAGACACAGGAAACACTAGATGGGCTTTGGGAAGGAAGGGAATGGCTCTCCCCCATTGTTGTTCATCTCGAGCTATTTGAGAAACATGCCTTCTTATTTCACATATTTTTACATTGATTTAATAAGACATGTTCATAAATAAAAATAACTGCCCATCATCGCATACCGCACGTGGGAGAAAAAAGACAAGCTTGTGATTAGAGATGACATGGTCCTTCTTCCGTCAGTGGGCCATCGGCATACCGTGGGACTCAGTACCCCAGGCCCTTAAGCCCGTGTTTCCCATCATTTAATTAATCAAAGACGGAATGCTGATCGTGTGTGTGGCTCTTGAAAAGTAGAGTGCGCGTGAATATGTACCTGGGGTAACCAGGTTCTCCTGGAGCCAGAGGATGACTGATGGTTTAAGAGACTCTAGGGAGGTAGACTTCATTCATCATATAAGGTGGGCGGCCTCAGGGATCAAGAAGGGGCAGCAACGTACAGGGTGACAAACGACGTGAGTCTGATTTAGAAATGCAATATGAACTGATTTATCAAGCCTTCAGTCAATTGGACATCTCTATTAATTTCCACTTAGCATTCTTGACAGCAGTTACTCACATTAGTAACTCTTCTACCACATAAGATCCTGGCACATTTTCTGACTCATCCAAAAGTTATTAAGATGTGCCTAGAAAAGGCTTAATACTGTTATGTGCCAGTTATTCAAAACTAGATAAAATCTTTGGTTATGTGGCAGTGGTCTCTTGATCAGAACATTAGGTTGGCCGAGCCTCCTGGTCACCGGCTAGCTTACTCTGCACACCCGAACTGGGATGATCGCCTGGAAGGAAGGGGGTCCGGCTGCCACGGAAGCTCCGCCTCTGCTGCACAGGGGCACGGCCCTCAGATGCCCTCTTCCTGAGGGAGGGGCTGCTCGGGGAAGGAGATGCAACTGAAGAACCTAACTCAGTGGTCCTCAAACCTTCGCATGCACCAGAATCACTCGAAGGCTCCCTAGAATAAAGACTGCTGGGTCCCCTCCCTAAGCTTCCAATTCAGTGGGTCTGGAGTCAGAAGGTCCCATCGCTGCTCTGCTGCGGCTGCTGGTGGGAGGACTTCGCTTTGGGAGCCGTGGATCTAGAACAGTGACTCCAACCCGTGTGCTGCAAGAGGCACACTGTGGTGCCGCAAGAAGTTTAAACATGCAGGGCCTCACTATTTAGTCGGGACACTGCCTTCTTTTCCCCTGGAGGGTCCGTTTTTTTCTAAACAACAGCCAACACAAAGGTAGCCACCCTGTGTGAACGAACTGAAATTTTACCTATTTTTTTTTTTGTTGGACTGACAAAAAGTGTATTTTTTGGTGTGCGGCCGAATTTTGGTAATTAGTGTGTGTACCAGGGATGAAAAAGGTTGGAAACTGCTGATCTAGAAGAGGAAAGGGCAGCGTGTTCCAATGGTCACCCACGACAGTCCTGTGCGATTCTGACAGGGCCCGACTGAGGCTGTTTTTCAGGTAGATAACTCAGCAGCTTTCATTCTGTGCTTTTGTTATGTGGCATTTGACGTTCAAAACACCATCTGAATGGCAAATGTTTCCTCTACTCAAGGACCAATTACATATAAATAACTTCTAAAGGTCGTCATAATGACTCCAGTGTAGAAACATCAAGCAACCGTTTTTTCTTAGGGAAAAAAGTGTTTGTGATGATATATTATCTGTGTGCCATTTACACACACACGTACACACACCTGCATCTTCTCATTTACAGTTTTACAGCCAATAGTTGTAAACTTTGGTTGCATCTGCCACAGTCTGCACTGCTCTGTGTGCAGAGCTGGAGGGTAGAAAGTTTGACTTCTCTCTTTACATATTTATTCTGGTGCTATTTGTATAACATTATTTTGTTTGTGAGAGTCTCCCCTCTGCTAAAGGGTACAGGCTAGACTTGCTCTCTGCAAATGGCCCGCACAGGCAGTGGGCCGTGTCTGCCCTGTGTCACCCCCTTCCACTGTGACTCATGGGACTTCAGTGTTCTTTGGCTTTGACAGTGTGAACGCTTTTGAATGGTCTGGATTTTAAATGACATTGGTCCACTCCTGGCATCCAAGGAAGAGAGATCTTGAGCCTTCTACTCCCCCAAAGGCCATAGAGTTAACAACAGAGAGTCAGCCCCAGGGAAAGCTAGGTAAGACTCATGGGGCTGCACCAAAGCAGGGAGCCACTCCGGATCCATTGCTTTGCAACACGCCATCCAGGAGAAACACTTACCTCAGCGACAGGTTCACTATCTCCAGGACAGCCAGGGCTATCCTGTAGGTCTGCTCTGGGCAGCACAATCGTGACGGAAATCAAAACAGTCCCTTTCAGTTGGCCAGTGCTTCTGAAGACCAGAGAATTGGTGGTGTCCTCTTACTCATTAGCTCTTAGAGTCCCATGGGCCTAAAATCTAGAGCAGACTTCCCACCAGCATTAGCACCAATGGCAAAGGGCCTGCAGGCATAACCCACTTCACTGAACACAAACGTTCATTGGAAGTCTTCTGGAATTCATGAGAATGTTGCATTTAACTTCTAGTATCAAAAATAAGTCCCTCCAATCTTCTAGTGGAGTTGATGTTCTGGGAAAATGCTCCACATTTTCCCATGGCTTCTCAGCCTCCTGGCACCTGTGGCACCTAATGCTTCGGCCCCAGTGTGAGAAGTTGGGCCTTTGGGTGTCATCTGTGCCCCGGCCCCCCTCCCCCACAGGCCTAGGTGGACTCTGTGGGGAGCAGGGAGATAAACAGAAGCACCCACAGAGCTCTGGGCTCATGCTTCTTTCTCAACCAGCCCATGTCCTTTCGCTCAGGGCCCTTTATCTTCTCACCTGTCAGGAATCTCAGGGTGCTCTGGTCTCTCCTCCCAGCTTGGGAGAAAGAGTGTCCTTTTTCCTTAAGGAGAGCAGGTCAGCTCACCCCTGGCTGCTTCTGTCTGCTACTCTTGTATCTGACAACCTTCACTGCTGAACTCTGTTGTCGCTCCATCCTGTCTGTCCTTGTTCAGTAGAGTGACCTCAGTCATTCAGTGTGAGGAAAAGACAGCGAACGCACTGTTCCTTGCACAGGAGCCTGCAGAAACAAAAAGACTTAGGCGATTGGCAAAAAGTCTCAGCACAGCTCACCTCAGGTCCCCAGTAACTTCTGCTGTAAATGCCGAAATCAACACATGTGCCACGTTTTCCTCCCCAAATCTCAACTGGATGGAACGTATCACTGTCTGTGGTCCAGCTGAGAGAAAATGTGATGAGAAGCTTCCCCTTTTCTTTTCTAAACAGTACAGATGTGATCCAGGTGATTGAACCATGAATTGGCAACTGAACACCCATTAGTTGCTTTTCTCTAACTAGTACCACCCCTCCTGCAGTGCACACACTTAGGCAAGAGGGAGAAGGCCAGAGACCAGCTTCGTCACAGAGAGGCCTTATGAAACGCCCCTTAGCTGAGTCCCTGCTCTGCTCCTTTAACCTTGTGTCTAAGTGTTCTAACCTCAGTACCACATGTGGGCAGAGTCCCCTGGCCCCTGGGGGCTGCCCAGATGTCCCACAGCTGTGGACAGATGCTCCTCCACACCACTGCTCAGTCATGCGAGGCTCTGGGGGAAACTCATGGGAAAGACCAAAGGAAGGTGGGACAGAGGGGGATACAGTTGCACCGTTGTGGTTTTGAATTACTGTCCCTTTGTTCTTCCTGTACCCTCTCGGGCAGTTCTGGGGATGCCGGACACAGTGGAAGAGATGTGTCCTGACATCCCCCAGCTGGAAGGCCTCATGAAAGAAATCAACGACCTGGCCGAGTCAGGGGCCCGGTACACAGAGATGCCCCACGTCATTGAGGTGATCCTGCCCATGCTCTGCAACTACCTGTCCTACTGGTGGGAGCAGGGGCCTGAGCACCTGCCCCCCAGCACAGGGCCCTGGTGCACCCGAGTCACCTCGGAACACCTCAGTGTCATCCTGGGCAACATCCTGAAAATCATCAACAACAACCTGGGCATCGACGAGGCCTCCTGGATGAAGCGTATTGCAGGTACCACACATGCTTTTCTCCCCAGCCCCCCCCCCCCCGGCTCAGGGGCCAAGGTGCCTAGATTCTCTGTCCATCTCTTAGTTCCCCAACTGCTGCCCTTAGTTACTTAAGAGTAAAAAGAACGGACTTATTTCCCCGTAGAGCTTCTCAGAGCAGATGTTCCTGCCCTGCCCCCCAACTAACCCAGGCCCCTCAAGCCCTCAGGAAGCCCTCCTTGATAAACCCTGCCTGACACAGATCATCACTGCACTAGTGCTTCTGGCACTTAAGAATCCCATTTGCTCTTACAGTAATAACTGTCCATACTTTTTTGGTAAGTAGTCCTCGTTTTTCTCCACGTGTGTGAAGCTCACTCCCATCTGGGCTGCACTGTAAGTTCCTAGAATTTGTATTTCACTCTATGCTTTCTAAGACACTCTCTAATTTAGGTCACAGTAGTATCACTTTGTCTTGGGAGGGTGGGGGCACTGTTCTGCGTTCTGGAACTCTTTGCATGCCGTAAGCTCTTGATAAATGTTGTGAGCTGATTTTCTCTTTCCAAAGCTACCTCAAAGAAGGAAAGACTTGGAAAGTGAACAGCCATACCATCCACAGTCAAGAAGCCATGAATATTTAGTGTCCTCTGTGTCCAAGTAGAGTCTGAGGAGATAGAACCTGAGGCAAAGTCATTTAATGGACCGACAGTTCAGATAGGAGACTCTACCATAACAGCATAATCTCCGGAACCGGGGCTGAGTCACAGGGAGTATCATCAGCCCAGCTTGAGGTGTTTTCCTCCCTAAAAAAAATTAGTGGACATTCCTCTGCAAGACCAGGGGGGAAGAAAGTTCCTACCTACTTGTCTCAGAAATGAACTCAGATCAAAATCATAAATATTTGGATGCTCATGGCTGCTGGATAGTAGAGATGGGCTTCTAAGAACATGAATAAAGAAAGTTGGTGTTCTTTTGTTACGCATTAGCCCAAGAATGTTGTTAACCCTAAGGTAATTTGTTGAGGGGCTCTAGTTTGTAAATCTGGATTAAGGGAGGGAGGAGATAAATGATCAGCTCCCTCAGCTCCCTAGAGGGACAGAGAGGAAAGATGTCGCAGCCAGAGAGGCACTGATGGGAACTGAACTTGGCCTTTAATTCCATGGGTGAATTAACTCAACAGTCAGACGATTTCATTCCTGGTACCTAAAGAAAATTGATTTTGATAGTAACCCCAAATTGCCCACATCCAGAGTAGCCACTCTGATCACAGAGCTGTGAAACTGAAGTCGTCGTGGCACTAAGTTTTGAGCTCCTTGTTAATGCCTCTCAGCAGAGAACTCCCGTCACCTTCTCTTTCTCAAACAGTCTTAGACAAAATGAGATTTTTTTAAAGTGCTGGAAAGTAGGCCATTTTCCATTAAAATGACCTAAGCTAAAGAAACTTTGAAATATACCATGAACATTGTCAGTGACTTTTCTTCTTATTACTTCATTTCACTTTTCTTATAATTATTCTGATTCTGATCTTTTCTATGGATTGAACAAATAGGATATTCTATTTTAGAAATAGAGTGAGATATAAAGGTTTTCTCTTTCTCAAGGGTCAGAATTATAGTCCCAAGTCCCACTGATGGCTTGTTTCTGCTCTTTGACGTCTGGTGTCCACCTCACCATCTCTCTCAGTTCGTCACAGCTGATGATAGCTGTCTGCCTTCCCCAGGGTCCAGGCAGTCCTCCAGTGTTGGGGGCTAAGAACTGTGGGTGGCTAATGTATTTTTAACAACAGGTTTTTCTGTAAATTAACCAGAAAGCAGAATATTCAGTGCCTACTCTTGGCCCAGTGCTGGTTATTATGAACAGAAGGCTTCCTTCAAGGAGTTTGTAATCTAGCTGGTGAGCCCGAACCAACCTGAACACACTGTAAAATGATACAAGGTAGTTGTTAGGAAGAGTTAGGGGGTGTGGCAAACTCCACGCATGCCCAAGCGGCTCAGGGGTGGCCAGGGGCCCTCATGGCCTGCAGGAGCAGAACAGGACCAGGACCTTCCCCTTAGCTCCACCCCCACCCCCAACTGTGGCTTCACGAGAGGGAAGTGCCAGTAGGAGATTAAGGAAGGGAACAAGGGACAGGCGCCATCCTGAGTGGATGGACTTTCACAGACTCACCCTCAGTGCCACTTCTTTCCTTTAACCAATTGTTATGGGAAATGAGGGGGCGGTCCTTTGTTTGCAAACAGTGTATGCCCAGCCAATCATCAGCAAAGCCAGGCCTGACCTGCTAAGAAGTCACTTCATCCCAACTCTGGAGAAGCTGAAGAAAAAGGCCGTCAAGACTGTGCAGGAGGAGGAGCAGCTGAAGGCCGACAGCAAAGGGGACACCCAGGAGGCAGAGCTCCTCATCCTGGATGAGTTTGCAGTGCTCTGCAGAGACCTCTACGCCTTCTACCCCATGCTGATCCGCTACGTGGACAACAACAGGTATGGAAGCAGCCTGGAATAGCACATCCAAAGGACAGAAAGATGGGGTTGAGTTGGGTTACAAGTGAGAGGCAGAGGTCACAGCTGCTGCCACCAGCACCCTCCCCAAATAAGCCCTAGTGTGGGACCTCCGGTGGCGGGGGCGGGGGGAGGGGGGGCGGGTTGCGGAGGGTGGTAATTTCCTTGACCAGTGATTCTATGTGGCCAGTGGCATGGCCATCCCTTCCACCCTCAAATACCATAGGGAGAGGCAGTTGGCCAGAGGAGGGCAGCAGCGACCCACTTCTGCCCTTCTGCTGCTCCACCCCACATCCATTCCACAGATACAATTGAATGCTCCAGGCACCAGAACAGGATGAACAAAACAAAGATGTCTGACGTAGGGAGCTTTCCTCTGGCAGAGGAGTGGAGCATTCAGACAGTAAACAAAATAACTATTTAGCCCTGGCTGGTATGGCTCAGTGGATTGAGTGCCAGATTGTGAGCCTAAAGGTCTCCAGTTAGATTCACATCAGGGCACCTGCCTGGGTTGCCGGCCAGGTCCCCAGTTGGCAACCAATTGATGTTTCTCCTACACATCGATATTACTCTCCTTCACTTCCTCCCTCCCTTCCTCTCTCTCTGAAAATAAGTAAATAAAATCTTTTTTTAAAAAGTATGTATATACTTATACGTACTTATATACTTGTGCATTTAATTCCACACTTATAAAAGTAAATTGTACAGAGCAGGGTAAGGGGGAGTAGAGTGGAGTCGCAGTTGTAAATAGAATGTTATTGAGAAAGAGACACTTGAGCAAAGACCTAAGGAGTTGAACTGAGGAACCCTGCAGGTCTGGGGAAGAGTGTTCAGGGAGAGGGAACATCTAGTGCAAGTTCTGAGGACGGAGTGAGTTTGGGGTGTTCAGGAGATCACAGGAGGCTGGTGAAGCTGGGAAGAGTGAGGGGTGTGGGGAGCATAGACTTCTGAGAGGCAGCAGGAGTCGGGCCTTGGCGGCTTTTGCTCTGAGTGAGATGAGAAGCTGGTGGAGGTTTTCAGCTAATTTGTGATGTGATCTAATTCACTCTTTGAATGCTGTGGCGAGGGATAAAAGAAAAAAAAAATGAAGTGAGAAGACCATTTGGGAGGGTCACAATGATCCAGTCAAGAGTTGACCATTGAAAGTTGGGGATGGAGGTTCGGGAGGGGAGTAGAATGGGGAACAACTGCTTATGGACTTGGAGTTTCCTTTTAGAGTCTTGAAAATGTTTTAGAAGTAGCTGGCCAACATTGTGAATGCACTAAATGTCAGTAATGGCCAATTTTCTGTTCTGTGTATTTTACCACAATGAAAAAGAAAAAAAAAGAGTGGATGTTGTCTGGTGCCTGCATGGTAATAATGAAGGTTGACAGTGGATGACAGATTCTGGGTCTATTTTGAAAGTGGAGCCCTTGGGACTTTCAGATTGGGAATGAAAGAAAAAAGGAGACTCAAGTCAAAGATGATTCTGGCCAATGGAAGGATCGGGTTTTTCATCAACTGAGCTGGGGAAGATTGTGGGTACTGAAGATTTTTAGGGGAAGATTAGGACATTGGTTTTGATCATGTTAAATTTAAGTTGCTGCCCTGGCCAGTGCGACTCAGTTGGGTGGAGCATTATCCCATAAGCCAGGGGTGTCCAACCTGTGGCCCATGGGCCACATGCAGCCCAGAATGGGTCCAACGCAAAATCGTAAATTTACTTAAAACATTATGAGATTTTGTGTGTGTGTGATTACATATCACAATGTATTTAATGTGTGGCCCCAAAAAAATCTTCTTCCAGTGTCACATGGAGATGCCAAAAGGTTGGACACCCCTGCTGGCATAAACCAAAGGTTGCAGGTTTGATTCCCAGTCAGGGCACATGCCTGGGTTGTGGGTTCGGTCCCTGGTTGGCACATATATGAGAGACAACCAATTGATGTTTCTCTCCCTCTCTCTCTCCCTCCTTTCCCCGCTCTAAAATCAATAAGCATTTTCAAGGTGAAAAATTAAAAGAAAATTTGGGTTGCCTAATGAATATCAAAGTGAAAATGTTAAGTGGGCAGTTGCATATGGGTGCAGAGTTCAGGACTGAGGTTTGGTGTGGGTATAGGAATTTGGGAGTCATCAACGTATTGACATGCAGTCTTTAAGACTCATGAGACTGGGTGAGATAAAGGACTGAGGCAGAGAGAGAAGAGTTCCAAGCCCTCCTCATGTTCTCCAACATTAGGCAGAAAAGGAGGAATTGGTGACTTAATAATTTAAGATTACTTATATAAGGAACCAACAGAATGTTGTGTCTGGGGTGCCAACTTCATAAAGCATTTCCAATAGGAAAGAATGCTGAATGGAATCTATCGGTGACCCTGACCAGAGCAGCTTGAGCAGACCAATGGAAATGAAAACCTCTTTGGAGTGGCTTTCTTCCACTCTCTTGTAGCAGAGAATGGAAGAAAAGGACTTGGAGACAGCAATACAGACAAGTTGTTCAAGAAGTCTTGTTATAAGGGGGAACAGGGAAATGGGATGGTAGCTGAAGACAGAAGCAGGGTCAAGAGAAGACTTTGTGAAATGGGAGACTTGTCAGCTTGTTTCTTCGTTAATGGGAATAATCCACGGGAGAAGAGGAAACTGATCAGAGTGAGAGAGAAGTTCTAAAGCAATGTCCTTGAACAGGCAAAGGATCAGCCTCAGACAGTTCATTCATAACATCAGGCAGGAGGACAGAGGGTGGATGCTAATGCTGGTACATACTCACATAGGTACACATGTACATATGTACATACATACATGCATATAATATACAACACACATAACATACACCTGTGTTCATGTATGGATGGACAGAGTCTGTAGGAGTCCTTTTCTGATCGTTTCCATTGTCAGTGAGGCAGGAAGCAAGATCGTCAGCTAAGAGTGAGGATGAGGAGGAGGTGCTTGGAGATTTGAGGAGTGAGAAGGTATAGGGCAGTGGCCAGGGAGAAGTGGGAGAACACATGGACCAGGGAAGGGCAGTGGGATTGGCAAACAGCATTAAGGGGCCCACTTGAAATCTATGATCATAAAATCTATGATCATAAATTTCATAAATTTGTCTGTTTTCTCCAGCCAGTTCAGCTGCCAGGCTTAGGCCCAGAGTAGAGAGAGAGATGGATTTAACCAGGGTTGGGGGTTTGCAAAGTGTGTATGTCAAAGAAAACGTGGGTTAGGGAGTTGAGGGTGTATGTAAGGGTAATCATGAAGACAGACTATGGAATTGAGGCTGAATGATGAGGGGACATGAGGACACAGGAGAGTAATGACCGTGCCCAGGAAAGGAAACAAGGGATTGCTGGTCCCAGTGGAAGGCAAAGACCAAACAGATATATTTTGATTATACTACACCCTGTTAAAGCTTACGGGCCTAAAATATAAATTTGGGAAAGCTTGATTTTAAAATACCTCCTAGATATTGAAAGGACCCAGGAATATTTGAGAGAACATTACTAACATTTTGAGTGGTATCCCTTTCTGTCATGGGCAGGAAGTAGGTCTGAATATGCCTGTTTACTTTATGAGGCAAATTGTATTTATTATTTAAAATAGCTTAAGGTTACTTATATTTAGCATTTCAAAATAAACACCTCACCCACAGCATGTGTGTGTGCACATATAATCCCTCACCTATCTTTGGGAAATTTGACTCACTTTCTTAGATGAAATCCTGTGCTGACAGCCGTCCTTTTAGTCATTTCCCTTTAACATAATTATGTTCACAGTTTGGAGAAGGAATTCATCAAAGTCTGAGGTGAAAACAAAAATGAAAGTAGAGTAAGCTTACTCCAAGAATAGCTCTTTAATGTCATTTGTCACTGTTGATGACCAAGACTCAAGACAGAGTATGTTCCACCCCCACCGTGCCTGACAGTGCTAAAAGCGGCAATGTCAGAGAGCCTTTGAGATCATCATTAATTCATTCACCCCCACTTCCCAGCCCATTCTTCCCTGAACACCAGGGAGCATCTTGGCCATCTGAGCCTTACTTGGAAATGCTTCCTTCCTGTGTGTGCCGTGACCTTCTTCAAGTCCTTTTTTCACCCAAAAGAATTAGCTGGCTTGGGATTATCTGAGGTCATTTCATCTTCCCTCCGACTGGAAGAATAGATACCCCTTTCCTTTTTCCTAGCAGTGCATGTCCTGCCTCTGATGGTTTATCCACCGCGGTTATAGACAGTAGGTGCGGCCTTCCAGTGGGTGCAGCTCCTGTTCCACTCACAGACACTTTACACCATTTTGAGCTCAGGGGTAGCTCCTACTATTGGCTCTGATTTTGCCCTTCAGAGCCACACAAAACTATATCAGTCTCTCTTGTGGCAGCTCTTTAAATATTAAAGGGTGCTGCCTTCTGTCCTCCCTGTTTCTCCTCGTTATATTAAACCTTTGCCCTTCCTTCAGCCTCGTCATAGCAGCGTTTCAAGTTTCTTCACCGTCTGGAACACTCTCCTGAACAGAAGCCCCTGGTCAGTGAGCAGCCCGAAACTGACCCACAATGAGCAGGAATTCCTGGTGTGGTGTGGTGTGTTGCAGCGCATTGTAGTGTGGTGTGGTCAGAACTGGGCAAATCAGTTCTCCATCTCATCCAGGAGATATTAAGTCACCATAGGTCCAAGAAAATCTCTCTCCAAGAAGCATTGGCTTCTCACCCTCTTATCTGGAAATCAGAAATAATCAGAACATGGGAATAAGCCACTTTAAATAGTGTGATTTTGGAGAAAACCCATCTCTCAGCCTGTTGAAGGGAACCCTGTGCAGTGACAGCATAAGGCTGTGTCTTCTACCAGAGGCTCAGAAACAAGGCTGAGAGAAGCTCTTACATCTAAGTCAGACAACCTGACCGTGAACTTTCAAAAAATGGTAACTTATCTTTTTGACAATGGAAATCAAACTTTCCTTACTCTTGCCATCAGTCCAGATTTTATTATTGTGCTTCTTTTCTCCATTAGTATGCTCAGTAATGTCATCTACTTGGGTTGCTTTACTATCACCCCCCATGGGTAGTGAATCACTACCACTGAACCCAGCCTTCTTCCCACCTATGGCCTTGTGTGTTCCAACTGTTCTTTGGCAGCATGCATGCAGTGCAGATGATAAGGGGCTTAGGAATCAGTTCTGTGCCTCCAAAAGGATCAACTGTCTGAATATTAAGAGAGATCATGAATTCTATGGAAGACGGTGGGCTGGGGAAGAGGAGCAGATACATCACGTAGGGGTAGAAAGGCTATGGGCAAATAGATGTGAGGTCAGGATCTTCTAGTCTCCTGCAAGTACCATCTTAATCTGGCTTGAAAGAGGTGCAGAGGGTTTTTGTACCTGGGGGAAGACATTTAATGAGATATTCTTCATGCGCACCCACCACTCTGAACCTGACGAAAGGACTTCACTAGAAATAAAGACTGCCTCTTAGAAAAAGAGTGATGGTCCTGGCTGAGTAGCTCAGTTGGTTACAGTGTCATCCTGATGTGCCAGGGTTGCCGGTTTGACCCCTGGTCAGAGCACATGCAAGAGTCAACCAGCGAATGAATGTATGCATACAGGTAGAATGGCAAATCAATGTTTCACTGTCTCTCAAATCAATAATTTTTTAAAAAGTCTTTAAATGAAAAAGAAAAGAATGATGAAATAAAATTCATTCAGCTGAAACTGCTTTCCTATATGAAGGCAAAGGGATCGAAATCCTCCTCATTCTCCTGGGAAGAATAGTTTACCTAGGGTTGTTTTCAGCTCCTGCTGCTCATGCTCCTCGTGGCTGTATTTTTCCTTGGTTGGATAGGATATGACACCTCCCCTCTTCCCACCCTGGGCATAGTGCCAGCCTATTGGGTTGGCCAAAAAGTTTGTTTGCTTTTTTTGCCCTAAGACGGCTCTAGTAGTAGTTGTCTTTAACTCCATTTGAAACAGTTTTATTACATTGTATTGTGACAGCTGCTATATCAGCATGCATTTTAAAAACAAACATCAAAACTAGTGAATTTTTATGTAGCCATTTTAATATTGAAGACGGAAGAAAACATGCAACATTTTGGCATATTATGGTTTATTATTTCAAGAAAGGCAAAAACGCAACCAAAATGCAAAAGAAATATTTGTGCAGTGTATGAAGAAGGTGCTGACTGATCCAATGTGTCAAAGTGGTTTGCGAAGTCTTATGCTGGAGATTTCTTGCTGGACAATGTTCCACACTTGGGCAGATCAGTTAACATTGATAGCAATCAAACTGAGACATACATTGAGAACAATCGACATTATATCATGAGGGAGATAGCCAACATACTCAGAATATCCAAATCAATACAATTATTGGTAAAAATGAAAAATGTGTCTTTTACATAAAAAACTAAACAGACCTTTTGGCCAACCCAATATATAGCTCATTTCAACCAACACACTAAAGAATGAACAACTGCCAGTTCTACTAAAACTTGACATTTGACCCTGAGAAAGCACTCCTGAAAAATCAATATGTAAAAAAATCAAAAAGCATTACCAATGTCAAACCGCAAGTTTGGATTGCATTTGGCTTTCAGTAATGGATACTTGATGACAGTTGCTTAAACAGATAAGAAGCCAAATCTCACACATACAGTAAGTCCAAAGATAACCCAGTCCAGGGCTAGTGTGCTCATTCCTCTCACTCCTTTGTCCTTTTATACCTAACATTCACTTCCATCTTCAGAGTTACTTTGATGGTACAAAATGCCCATTAGAATCATCATATTATCATTGCAGACAGGAAGCAGGAAGGCAAAAAGACACCTTCAGCTACCTGATCCCTTTGCAGAAAGCTTTTCCAGAACACCCATGCAACAATTTCCACTGCCGTCTCATCGATCAGAACTTAGTTACGTGGTGATCCCTCAAAGGAAGCTGGGAAATATGATCTTCATCAGAGTCAATGCCACCCTAAATAAAATGGGATTTTTGTTCCTAAGGAAGAGAAGAGAATGAGCAGACAACCTGTAGTGTCTGCCACATACAAGAGAGACTAGTTGAAAAAAAAAAAACAAGAAAGATTAGATAAGAACATCCGTGAGACTGGAACTCAGAGCAGTATGGAATTCAGGACAGAAGAAAGGGATCCAAAAGTGGCCTTGGCCTCCTGGTCTTCCATAGGCTGGTGCATGCCACCTATGAGTGGGCTGGAGGTCAGGCAGCCAGAGGCAGGTCAGGCCAATGTTCCCGGCTGGGCCTAGGCAACTGGCTTTGGATAGTTATTACCCTGCACACACCAAGGCACATGGGGCTTTTCAGGTCACCTGGGAAAGCAAAGTTTTCTTTCAGTTAAGAAAGGCAATTGACAATCCAACTTCTATATCACTCTATACAGGTATTTGAAAATGCCAACTCAGCCAGTCCTTTCAAAATATAATTTAACTCAAATGCGTAAGATACTTAGGGGCAAAAGAACTTTTTAGAAATTGACTAAGTTCTACTGTAGTTTAGCCTTCTGGTTGCCATTGTGAAGTTTCTTAACCTAGCCCCCCCTTCTTTTTTTTTTTTTTTTAAGAAACTAATAATGACCATTTACAGGGAATTTTCAAACCCTTCCAGAGGGAGATACTTGGTCTCTGCCCACACACTTCAGTCAACAGTGCAAACATGTTGCCTTTTTTTTCCTTAAAACTGGCTTCGAAAGCAAAAGGGATGAGGCCTGTCTATACAGTGCTCCACGTTCCACAGGCTGGACTATGACAGTGTCAGTGACAAGGGTAGATGTCACAGTAATCAAGACTTTCCTAGTTTTGCCTGCCTTACATATTAAAGGGCATTTGTCCCAAAACTTATGAGCGTAGCCTTAATCACTTCATCAATTTAAAGGGGGGGGGACTGTCTTTGACAATTGAAATGTTGATTCCTGGCATCTGTTTGCTAAGGTAGTCCTTGAATCCTTTGGTAAAATGGAAATGATTAGTATAGGTCCTTCAAAAATATCTACAACAATTATGTGCCTGTATCCAAGAGTGGAGGAGTGTATTGATCTTTGGTCTCCCTGAGGACAGCCTTCTCACGGGAATACAGCTGTGTCTGGGAAACGTGTGCATCCAGTGTCCAATGAGCGTGACTGTTTGAGTCAGTGTTGAATTTCATGTGCATATTCCTTTACTTTTCAATTCAGATCTAACTGGCTCAAAAGCCCTGATGCTGATTCTGACCAGCTCTTCCGCATGGTCGCAGAGGTCTTCATCCTGTGGTGCAAATCTAACGTAAGGACACATGTGGGCCCTGGACGTAGAGATGGCTGTGAAAGGTACAGACCTGGGAGAACTGTCTTGTAATGTTTGTTTTTTTATCCCCCCCCTTAGAACTTCAAGAGGGAAGAGCAAAATTTTGTGATTCAGAATGAAATTAATAATTTGGCATTTTTAACTGGAGACAGCAAAAGCAAGATGTCAAAAGTAAGTCCTTAGAAATCGATTCCAAAGACTCTTCAACCTTGACCTAAGCTGTGTATATTTGATATGTGAAGGGATTCACTCTACCGTATTTAGGTCAAACCAACAGTCTCCACTGTTGTTTCTTTGAGAATGAACCGGAAGAAATAAGCATGGTCATCACATTTATGAATAAATACCTACTTCTATGTCCAAAAAGTTATGTTTCAAGACCTGCCTAAGGCATTCGGGAGGTCTCTAAAACAAGGCTACTGTTGGTACTTTTAAAATAGAGCTACTTCCTGTGTAGTGAAGTTGCAAAAATATAGGTGCCTAGAGTCACCTTCTGATTAGGAAATTACCTTGCTTTGAAGAGTTCATTAGCACATGCTCTTACAGTATACCTGTCGTCCTCCTATCTGGAACATCCAATAGCTGCTTTCTTTCAGCTGTGCTCTTAATGCCTTCTGTTTATTTTCCATATGAGTTGCATTCCGAAACCCAAACATTTCCCCATCTCTGTGCAGGAAATGTTTGAAAGAGGGCATACTGGACATCTGTCTGAAAAAAAAACTAACCTATAGGGAGGACTGTAGCAGGAATAGAGGAGAGGGAACTGGCCTCCCAGCTCCTTCTAGGCCAGCTCTGCACAGTGAGGCTTTGCTGATTTGATTGGAGAGAATTCTGAGACACACACCTTCAAGTGTACATACAAAAGCAAGGCTTACTTAAATGTGATGGTTTGTTACCTGCTGTTACGGCTTACCCTTGATTCTTTTCCCTTGAGAGGTATGCCTCAAAGAGGGCTGACTGTATATATGTCAAATATAAGTGACATGCCATCCCCGAGATGTGCATCTGTCTCCTTGCTTGTACCATGCTGCCTTTGAGGAACACAAAGGTGGATGCATGGGGACCCCTTAAAAGTGAAAATCAGTTCTGAAAAGATGACAGTCATGGGTTTGTAGTGAAATTCTTAGGGCAGCTTTCTAAATAACCATTTGGGGTGGAAGACCTTCGTATGTGGACCTGCAGACAAGGGCCTGGTATGACACCAAAGATCAACACTCCAATCTTCACAACGTGTGGCCAGCTCTAGTCAGCTCCGTCACTCTGAACGTTCCAGCCCTTCCATCCTTTAGCTGCGCTGACACCAATACTTCTTCCAGCACCCGACAATTGACTCCTGAGGTTTAGAATCTGATATGCACTGCTCTGTAAAGTTGGATAAACAAAATTGTGCACAGAAGACAGAGGCATAGGTAGACATGCTTCACCTCCTCATGCAGCCACAGAGAGAATTACAGATATTTCTCAAAACAAATAACAACCAGAACTGTCAGAAAACTGAGCTGTATGGAAGTCCAACAACCAAGGATTTAAAGAAGCCACATTCATCCAGATGGGTAGGAAGGATGGAGTCATGGAAACAGGTGGAGAGGTATGGAGATGTGGTGGTAGTGGAACAGGAGGTCCCACATTCATGTGTGGTGGGTAAAATCATGAGGGTTACCTTAGGAGTGAGCAATCTCAGCCCCAGGCCAGACCACACATCCTAGGATTCCAACACTGGGAAGGTAAATACCCATAACTCCTGGCTATAAAAAACAGTGGAGGGTGGGGTGGCAAAAGAAACTGGCAAATTTTCAGGAGAGTTTGTTTAGAGGGCCCACATAGACTTAGAGTGGACACAAACCCACCCACTCTGGGATTCACCACCAGGGCAACAACTGGAAGGGCAACAGTCACATATGCAAAGTGGGTCAAGTGACTAGAAATGAGGAGAGTGCCTGGCAAACGTCTAGGAGCCAGGCATTGGCATGGTCCCCTCCTCAAACCATCCCCCCACACGGAGCCACAAAAATGGTGAAGTGGGTTGCCCTGCCCTAGTGATTACCTAAGGCTCTGCCCCACACATTTACAGGTGCCTTTTACAAGGAGTCAAAGCAGCTCTACCCAATACGCAGAAACAAACACAGGGAGGTTGCCTAATTGAGGAGATATAGAAATATGGCCCAAAGGAAAGAACAGAACAAAACCCCAGGAAAAGAACTAAATAAAACAGAAATAACCGATCTGATGCAGAGTTCAAAACACCAGTGATTGGGATGCTCAAAGAACTCACTAAGTACAACAGAAACACAAGGGAAGAAATGAAGGTTACACTTACTGAAATAAAGAAAAATCTACAGGGAACCAACAATGGAGAGGATTAAGCTAAGATCAAACCAACAGTTTGGAACACAAAGAAGGAGATGGTATTCAATCAGAACAGCAGGAAGAAAAAAAGAATTTAAAAAAATGAGGAGAGGCTTAGGAACCTCTGAGACAACTTTAAATGTACCAACATCTGAATCATAGGGGTGCTAAAAGGAGAAGAGAAAACAAGAACTTGAAAATTTATCTGAAAGAGTAATGAAAGAAAATTTCCCTAATTTGGTGAAGGAGGTAGATATATAAGTCCAGGAAGCACAGAGAGTCCCAAACAAGTTGGACCCAAAGAAGACCACACCAAGACACATCATAATTAAAATGCCAAAGGTTAAAGATAAAGATAAAATCTGAAAAGCAGCAAGAGAAAAGCACCTAAAAGGAGTGTCAGCTGATTTCTCAAAAGAAACTTTGCAAGCAAGAAGGTACTGGTAAGAAGTAGTCAAAGTGATGAAAAGTAAGGACCTACAGCCAAGATTACTCGACCCAGCAAAGCTATCATTTAGAATGGAAGGGCAGATAAAGGGCTTTCCAGACAAGATAAAGCTAAAGGAGTTCATCCTCACCAAGCCCTTATTACAGGAAATGTTAAAGGGACTTTTTTAAGAAAAAGAAGATGAAAACTATGAATATTAAAAGGGCAACAAATTCACAACTATCAACAACTGAATCTAAAAAAAAACAAATTAAGCAAACAACCACAACAGGAACAGAATCATAGATATGGAGATCATTTGGAGGTTATCAGCTGGGAAGGGAAAGGGGAAGAATGAGGGAAAAGGTACAGGAATTAAGAAGCATAATTGGTAGGTACAAAACAGACAACAGGACGTCAAGAGTAGTATAGGAAATGGAGAAGACAAAGAACTCATATGCTCGACCATGAACATGAACTAAGGAGGAAAATTGCTGGAGGAAGAAGGAGTATTGGGTGGAGGTGGACATAAAGGGAAAAAGTGGGACAACTGTAATGACATAATGAATAAAATATATTTTTAAAGGAAAAAATAAAAATAAATAAAATTGTGCACCTACAAATGGAGTGATCAGGATTATATATTCACATTCAAGAGAAATCTTAGTTGCAAAGAAACCTTACTTATAGTGGATCCTTTTGAGCTTTGTGTAACTTTTGATTTTCCAAAATTATTTTGCATTCAACTTTTAGCAAACGCATCTGCTGCTCCTGTCAGGTATACAAGGTAGGATGGTTCAGACTCCAGATTCCTGGACATTTATCTCAAGCTCCCTCTGAAGGGTCTTCTTACAGCTCTCACAGGCTCTCCTTTGACCCTGCCCACCTAAATAAACCCCAGGGAAGACATCTCAACCCTTTGGTGATGAGTGGATGGATACTTAGGGTCCTTGGGTTTACACTTGGAAGGAGATGAGGTGACAAAGAATGATGTTTCAAAACTAACCTGCTAACAAACTAACCTGAAATAGTGTTCATTCACATTACTGAATGAGGAAAAGAGTATGTGTGCCTTGTCAGATAGTCATATTCAGAATCTTTGCATCTCCCCCATTGATAAGGTCAGTCTATATGAGCAGACACCTTTATTTTATTTCCATTGACATTGTATTCCAGTTTTTTCTGCGCCATGGGATAAAGTCAAAGTTATAGTGTAATGGATGTGAGGATACTCCCTTGATGTTAAATAATGCTCACCATGTTCTTCAGGGTAAAATATTCATACTGTTCCTGTTTCATCAGTTGAAACACAAAATGTAATAGTAAATAAGACTAGAGACTGAAAGAAAGCTTTCTTCCCCTTGGCCCAACAGTTGACTATAGAGGTATGGCCTTGTGTCATTCACTTACCTCATCTGGGCCCTGATTTACCAGTCTAGAGGGGTTGAACTCCCCCCAGCTCTACTAGGATGTTCTACTCAAAAGTCAGTTTCAGGCCCTGGCCAGGTAGCTCAGTTGGTAAGAGTATCATCCCAATACACCAAGGTTGCAATTTGATCTCTGGTCAGGGCACATATGAGAATCAACCAATGAATGCATAAATAAGTGGAGCAACAAATTTATCTATCTCTCTCTCTCCTCATCATCATATAAAACAAAAGTCAGTTTTAAATTGCATCTCTAACAAAAAATAATGTTACATAAATGCAATGCATTATTTCAGACAGAATAGCATGCTTCCAAAACCACAATTCATAGCTGTTTCTGCTGCTTTTTTTGGTTGTACAGTTATATACTGAGGAGCCACAGAGGGGGATAGTCTTTCTTATTATCAATTGAATTCTTATTGCCCTTGCCTCCATGAAATTAAAAATTCTCCCTACTACCTGATCTGAATGGTGACTAGTCACCTGTGCTTGCTTTTTTATCTCCACTCTTAATTGAATTCTGGTGTTCTATAAATGAAATTGGCCGCAGTGCACATGGCAGCCTTTGCAGAGGTGTGTGCACTGGAATGTGGCATGCCCGCACACACACCGTATTTGCCATTGCGAATGGAAAGGAAGCAGAAAAATTATGCAGTGGGCCACGCTGCTCATACTTGGTTAACTGAGGTCAGTTCAGACATGTGATGTTTCTGGAGGCTAAAGCAGAGTTTTTGGGGGGGTTTTTTTTGGACAGCTCATGTATTATTTTGTTTATGTAACACTGGTTTGCAAATATGTTAAGCTAAACATAAGTAAGCTGAGCAAGTGTTTTTTTGCTTTGTTTTGTTTTTAAACTTGTTTTCTGAAAAAATGGCAACAGCTTCATCGGAGGGCAATGGTAAGTTAGAACGCATTTGACCAGGATTATAAACAACGAAAGAGATGCGGTGCAGGAAATATTGGAGGGCCTCCTTGTTTAAGCTACTCCACCCCATGAGTGGTTTCAGTGTGGACAGGGAGCAGGTTAGGAGATGTCTTTGAGTTTTCTAAGGATATTCAGAATTACGTGTGTGAGTTTCTTCTTACTCCAGCATCCCCTATTGCATTCTCTCTCTCTCTCTCCCTCTCTCTCCCTCTCTCTCTCTCTCTCATTCCCTCCAGCCCTCCACCTTTTTTTTCATTTTTATTCCTTTTGATCTTGTACTTCTGTAGCTTAGTGCTGTTTCTCAATCTCCTTCGCCCTCTCTCCCTTTCCTTTCTCCCTCTCTCTGTCCTCTGTCGCTCCTCACTTCTTCATCCATTAAAAGTCTATGTTTTTTTCTGAAGTTCACATAAAAAGTCATCTGTTTAATCTTAAACTACTAGGGGAAATGAAACGATTATGAATGTACAGGAATTTATCAATATTTGTTCAGAAAATAAAAAACTTTAAGGCACCTCTTTAAAAAAGATTTTTCCAGTATTAGCAAAATGCATTCTATCAACTGGTCTTAGCAATATGTGGAAAAAAAGAATAACATTAGAATCTGTAGGGCATAGGAGCCTTTGACCTCAGGTATATTCAACCATCACAGCACAGGAAGGGAGGGGCTCCACCCTTCAGGCCCTGGGTGGCCCTGAACCACCTGAGAGATCCTAGAGTCCTTTCAGTTTAGCAAACTTTTTAGCATGAGCATACCTATCACCCCTTCACTTAGGTGTGCCCTCTCTCTTTTATTCTTTTTTTTTAATGTATTTTTCAATTATAGTTGACATAAAATATTATATTAGTTTCAGTATGCAGCATAGTAATTAGATTACATATTTCTATAAGCACAGGTCTGCTAGAGGTGATAATGTGGTGGGTGGAAGGAAGAAAGAAAATTGCCTTTGGTTAAATGACGGATTGTCTACAGCCCACCCGGTGAAAGGAGGGAGGATGGAGGGGAAAGACGTTAGATCTAAAGAGTTCATCTGAAGAACAAACACCTGGGTCTGAGTGTGACGCACTCTGGGAGGCTGATCTCTGAGATGACTTTGGCCCCCGGGTGCTGTGCTTGGCCTGGATGTAAGTCCTTGTGACCAAATTAATCTCCATCCTAACCTCCCCTTCACTCGATGTGCCTTGTTCAACCGGCTTCCAGAATGGTCGAGTTTCTGTTGTGTTGGCTGCGGAACTGGGGCTAAGAAGCTACGACTAACATGTGATACCTTATGCCTTGGGCCCCTGCTTTTACTGACTGACTCTTCTCCTTGTTTTTTTCTTTTGTCTTTCCACACAGGCCATGCAAGTAAAGGTACAGGTCAAATGCATGATGTGTCTTTTCTGTCCTAGTATTAGAGGTGCCGGGCTCTGGCCACCCTCTGCCCTGTGCTCACCATGGGGGTGGTACAGAATGGATTTTCTCACCTGGAGGCGCCCCAGGCCAGCTCCAGGGAAGACAGCTGCCTGTCAAAGAGTCAATCTAGGCCTTGGAATGGGGAAGCCGGGGAAGCCAGCCTAGCCTCGCCCTATCCGAGGTCTCCTTGCTGTCTCTGCTCCCTTCCCCAGCTGCCCTCTCTGAAGCTAGCACACTAACAGGAATACAGGGACACTGACAGGGCTCATGAACCTGGGGGACACTCCTCTGCTATGCCGTGCAGGGTCGGACTCCTGTTTGCCCTTCACACTGTACATTCCTGCCTCCTGTGTAAGGTTCCTGCGATTCAAAGAGAGTTTTCCAAGGGCTAGACTCCAGGATTGGAAATCAGCAGATAACCATGAGTTTTTGCACAAAATGTATGGTGGAATAAACCTTGAGATAGTTGCCCAGTGGCCCATACAGGTTATTACTTGGATATACTTCTCTCTCTCTCTATCAGTGTGTTTACTGCCACTGTCCCAGGCCCTCTGTGCTAAGGCATGGGGCAGAGGAAAGGGCTGTGCACGAGCCGGGTCACATGCAGTTTCCTTTTCACTCAGAGAGGGAAAATGGAGCCATGGACAGATAGCCTTGGGTCTAGATGTTGACTCAGATGCTTACTTGTTCTGTGACCCCGGAAAAATCGCTTAATTTTCCTGAGCATTGTGTTTTCATTTATAAAAATGACTCATTTCCATCTCAGAGTTTGGGGGAGCATTAGAAATGTTTTATTTTAGTTGCAGGCACATTGGAGTCACATCATATATGCAGCATTGGACCACTGGGATTGGCAAGATAAAATAGAGAACGAGCAAGAAATCAGTTAAATTGTGTATCAAATCCACATAGTTACATTTTGCATATTTACTGGATTGTAAAAAGCATATTACTAGTTGCCTTTTACATTTATATGATGTACAGAGTACTTCTTAGTTTATGAACTTTTGTACTTCTTAGTACATAAAACTGGGTCATATCTTTTTTGAATGGGCTGAAGCATTTTCAAGGGTAATTTAGACTACAAATGAGTTTTGCCTTAGCCACAGCCTTTAGAATTCTACCGCTGGGGGTAAAACAAGTAAGGAGCCTTGCAAGTACTCAGGAAATGAGTTAGCACTCTTATGGTCTTCGTGTGAACCAGCTTTCTGCTGTGTTCTGGAACCCAAGAAGACGCTGCCTCTTAGCCTCCTTTCTTACTCCCGCTCAGATTTCTCTCTGCCCCTCCCACTGCTGTCCTGGGTCTGACCTGCTGTTTTGGAGCACCGGGCACAGGGTGGCCCTGCAACCAGGAGAATTCTCAGTTAGTGTTTGCCCAGACTGGGTTGTGCCAGCCAGGGCTTTGCTGTGGTTTCTGTGCTATAACCACCAGGGTAAAAGAAATCATATCCATTTTAAAAGTATCTGTTAGTAATTAGGAACCTCTTTCACACTTTGGAAAGTAAAGAGATCATGCTAAGGCAGAGTTAATCCTGAGCCTCCTCTTCTCTCAGAAAGGCAATCCTTTCTAAAATGAGCTCTGCTCCAGCCCTGGGTTGTAGGTCTTAGACACCAGTTCCAGGGGCAGCATCTGGCCTCTGCCTACTCCCAGAGGCCTCTGGCTCATTGTAAAAATTGCAGTGCTGCCACCTCATCACTGCAGACATTCCACTGGCACCTCACGAAGCAGAGCTTCGGTGAGCAGCAGCTCACTCTCCTCGGTGGTCCCTGACCTGGCTACCTATCCTTCCACACTTCCAGAAGGTGCCCCATTAGCTGAGGCGAAGTCCTACAAGTGAGGTGCCACATGAAAAGCTTTGAAGCTTTTCACAAAAAGTCCGGTCACTGCAGTGTCTCGTCTCCTTGAACACTCACCACCACCACCACCATCATGCGTTGTAGAGCTGAGGGTTCTTGGGTGGTTGCCTCAGCGCAGTGCATTGGCCCCTTCTCTCAAGCCTGCTGCTTCACTGGATGAGCTCTCCCTGAGAGGGATGAGAAACTGAGCCAAAAGGGGTCGGACTCGGAGAGTTCTGGTCTCTCCTAACTCCGCCCCCCCACCGCCAGATCCCAAAGCAGGGATCTGTAGGGCTACTGGGGGATTTGCCTTTCCCTGGGGGAATTTGCACTGTCTGGAGGTAAAGGCTGAGAGGCTCTGTGGTGCTCCAAAACACCAGCTTCACCCTACAAAACAGAGAACCGTTCCGCGGTCGCCCCAGCATCAGCATTGTCCCTTCTTTCCCGGAGTCATTTTGCCAGTTTGCAAATCATTTTTTAAAAAGTCCAGTTCATTCAGTCCAGAAGTGAGTGAGCAAAGAGACTGGCGTTGTCCGTGGTGTGTGTGTCTGGTCATGTGGTTCCGTGAGCATGCGCAAAGGAGAGGGCTCTGGGATTTTTGTGGCCACCTGGTTGTCTTTGTTCAACACACTCCTTTTACTGTCCTTTGAGATGTACTGTTAGGCCCAACCTGTACTGATAGGGCCCCAAGGAGGCAGGCTGCCTCCCCGGTGAGGCAGTCCCCTCGAATCGCTGAGCCTCTCTGTTTGTGTCAACCTCGTCTCCTAGTCTGGAGGGCAGGACCAGGAGCGGAAGAAGACCAAGCGGAGGGGAGACTTGTATTCTGTCCAGACCTCCCTCATCGTGGCTGCGCTCAAGAAGATGCTGCCTATTGGTTTGAACATGTGCACCCCAGGCGATCAGGAGCTGATCTCCCTCGCAAAGTCACGATACAGCTTTGTAAGTTGCCCCCGATGCCAATTCAGCTGAGCACGTAGGACAGGCGGAGGTGATGGGTGCTCGGTCCGGTCCTCCTGGGGACGGAGGGTGGGAGAGGGATGAACAGAAACCAAGGTGCGCAGAGGCAACACACCCTCCTCTTGAAGCTGGTTTGGGAGTTAGCTTGTTTCCTTGGGAATAAGCCTCCGTGATTTCTCTTCTTTATTGTTCTTATAATAAAGTTCCCAGCCAAATTTCCTTTGGCTGTCCACACATCCCTGCACCCTACTCTACATTTCTGTAGTGACCTCTAGGGATAAAATTTAATTTTTCTTTCCACAGAGAGACACAGACGAAGAAGTGAAGGAACACCTGCGGAACAACTTGCACTTGCAGGAAAAGGTGATGTCGCAGGAAGACAATGAGAACTCACACTGGCTTCTTTCTGGCCGCAGGAGGCCATCCTCCCACTTAATTTACTCACGGTGTTCTAAAACAGTCTCAGAGTACTTGTGTTAAATTGGTAGGGCTAGCTCTCTGCCCCTAATCTTTGTTTTTCTAGCTCTTAGTTTTTGTTCTTAGCAGGTACAAAGAGGATGCAGAGGCATCCTGTCAAACCTGCCTTCCCCCTTCCCCCTGTGCAAAGGAACAGGAATGTCCAGCCCCAGCAGGGGTCAGATCAGGCTCAGAATTTCCCGTGGTGATAAAGTGAACAGTGAAGCCGGAGGCCTGGGGGTAGCCTTGGCACCTCCTGCTCCAGAGAGTTCAAACCACAACAATTTTGTATCTGAGTTGGTATGATCAAAAATGAGACAAATTTTGATTTTAAAGGCTATTTGATATTTTTCCAGAACTGTGATTCTGAACAGCTCTTTCCTCAGATACATTATTCCCTAAGAGGGAGGACTAGGCTGACGCAAATAGCCTCTTCTTCTCACCCCAAACATACAGGAATGATAGAAAAAATAAAAGGCAGTAAAGCCAGAAAAGGCAGTAAAAAGAAATCCCAAGCCGGGGGGTGGGGGTGGCGGGGAGACACACTAAATCATAGTACTGAGAAGTTGATGCAGTTGGGAAAACCTGTAGAGTTCTCTGTACCAGATACGTATTTTAGGGGCTGAGTTTCTGATAACATTAAAGGGAGACAGCTATGGGACCTAATTACTCATATTGTGCATAAATTCAGAGCAAGAAACTTACACAAAATTAGCCTTAAACCAGTGAAACATGTGAATCTCCTGAAACCACTTGGAGAGTCTCCACTCCCTAGAATATGGGCTGAGATGCCAATAAATAGATTCCTCCTGAAGACAAATTCACATTTAAAAAGTACAAGGTATGAGAGGAAATCCATCACTATTAGACAGCCAGAAAATACAACAAAGAGAATAATGCAAGCCTAAGGGACTGCAGAAAGGAATTTAAAATAAGTATGGTTAAAATATTTAAAGAGATAAAGGTAGCAATAGAATCCATAAATCAAGACTTAAACATTATATTTCATTAAAGAAGGGAAAAGAAGATGTTATTGAAAAAGCCCTCACAGTGATTACAAAAATTAAAAAATAGTCATTGAAATTAAAAATCCAATTTACGCATTAAAAAAACAGGTTGGACATAGCTGAAAAGAGAATTTATGAATTGGAAGATTGCTCTAAGGAATTAGAATGCAGCACAGAGAAAGAAAGGGATAGACAATGTGACAGAAAAGTTAAGGGACATTTGGGCTAGAGTGAGAAATTCCTGCATAGCATCTACAGTATTCCAGGAGAAGAAAATAGAGAAAATAAGTGAGAGGCAGTGACAGAAAGAATATAGTGTTGGTAACTATGGGCCCCTGCTAGGAGTGAAAGGCTGTTTCAGTACAGAAGGCATTGGAGATGGCTCCTGTGTGCTTCAATTATCAGTCTGATGACCCAGCTGTAAAGTGGCAACTGAACCTCTACAAGGATGTTTTGAAGAGTGAAGAACCTTCTGATCCAGAAAAGACGGTGGAGCGTGTGCAAAGAATTTCAGCAGCTGTCTTCCACCTGGAACAGGTAAGGAGCATCTGCCCTGAGTACTGAGGAAGAGAGACTGTCTTGGAGAATACAAAGCTCCTGTCTTCACTCAGTTCTTAGTAAGGGTGCCCTTTTTAGACAGAAAACAAGAAGCAAGGATCATCCCAGCTCACACCCTTGTGTCACCTTTGTAGCAAAATCTTCAATTCTTTCCCCTCCCAGTGTTTTACAAATTTTTGCCATTAGCTCAGATGACCTGTTGACATCCCCTCCCGCTTTGTAAGGTTTCTGTTAAGCAATAAACAGCCAAACACAATTGAGAGAAAAAAGCAAACCTAAAACCTCCACAAACTGAACCATCTACTAATGGGTGCATTTTGCTGACTAGTTTAGAAATCAAAATTCTTGCAGGGGTAGAAGTCTGGGCTGCAGGCGACCACCTTCTGCCACCCTCTCAGCCTGTGCTCCCCTCCCCGTGTAATCTCTTCTCAGGTGGAGCAGCCTTTGAGGTCCAAGAAGGCAGTCTGGCACAAACTGCTGTCTAAGCAGCGGAAACGGGCAGTGGTGGCCTGTTTCAGGATGGCCCCTCTCTACAACCTGCCCAGGCAAGTATTCTGTCATTTTTTCTCTGGATGGTGAGCCAGTGATGGGAATTAAGGTATCCTCCCAAGGCTGTGCTCTCTTCTGGCCCCAACTCTCATGACCCAAGAGGTAAAAATTGGAGTCCTTCACCCACAGAGCCATTACAGGCCGCCTATAGTAAAATGGCCTGCTGAGGCAATCCAGGTAAGCATAAAAACTGAAGCCAGGTGAGATTCCATAGTAGCCCATGCCTCCCTCAGCTCACTGTTCTGTACAGTGAAGTCAGCCACATACGCACATGGTCGGTCTCTAGATTTACCTACGTGGGATTCTTTGTGAGGTTGTAAAGGCACCCTGGAAAAAAGGAACTGTTTCCTCAGCTACTTAACTCTAAATTCCATCAACAGATCAAACAATACTTCTCTGCTCAGGCACGCTGATGAGAGTTACTATGCCTCCTCAGCAGGTACAGAAATGTAGCTTGAGAATCCTTTGCACTGTGTAATTGCCTTCAAGATGAAGAAAGGACACTGTCCCAAGAGGCTAGTCACAGACATGATGCCTTTGTCTGGGTGTTTAGTCTGTATTCTGAAGTCCAACACACGCGAGGGCTTTTCTGGAATGTGTGTGAACACATGTGCTGGCTCTCAGCGCAGATCAGGCCAGCACTGAGCACTGAGACTGTCAACAGCGGTATGGCAGCAGTCCATCCTCCTGTAACTTCAGAATTGGTGAGGTCAGGTCCACAATTAATAAACAAAGTGGTAAATGAGTATCTGCCTCTGCTTCATCAACTTCCAAATCAATAGAAACATCCTTACTTGGTTAGGAAAAATAAACTCACTTGGACAAGAACATTCTGAATCACATGAAAATAAATGTAGGTTTTTTGTTGTTTGGAATGTCAGTGCAAGGACCATTCCTATGCTTGACATTTTGCTTTCATCAAATTGTGCACCTTGGCCATCATTTGTCCAGAGTGTCCTGTGACCCTGTCCGGAGCGAACTAGCCATCTGAGCTTCCCTAGTTAGGAGCTTTGGAAATGGTGGAGAATCATGTCCTCTGAGACACACACATGCTTCTCTTGAGAAAACAGACTCGTGCCTTTGGAAGGGGATCAGGCACCGCAGAATCAGGCCAAATTCATTAATAAAAAGCTGAAAATTTAAGTCAAGCTGTCATGGGCACGAAGGCTGCTGAAGTTCTGGCCAAAAAGAAAAAAAGTGAAATTCATAGCCCAGTAGAAAGAGCAAAAATGCATAGGGTTTCTATCTGTCTTCCAGACGAGACGAAACATCAGAAGGCATTCACGCTCCCCTCTGGTGGAGCTTCATGCCTCATGCTGTACTGATTGGGCCTCCAGGAGTGCTCCGCTCTAAGTGCATGTCTCCACCAGCTAGGCAGAAATTCCATCTCTTAAAAACAAGCCTTATTTTTCTTCCTAAATCCGCTGAAAATGTTAGTACCACCCTTTCATATTTTGATTGCTCCCTCAGCAATTCTACCCTTCTGTCAGTAATAGTAAGTTCAGGGATTCACTATGTCCTTGATGAAATGTGGTCATCCCCTAACCCAGTTGTTTTGGGGGGTTGCCCTGGATTTCCTGCTGGCATGGAGGACAGTAAGGAGGCGTCGTAACAGCAACAGCAGAAACTGTCTAAGGAGCTGATGGTGGAGACCACATCACTTTACCATGCTGTGATCATGTAAACTGCATGGAATCTTCCAAACTGAAGGGCTAAAGGGATTGATTTTATTGTGTGGAAACTGTTTCTCTGATGTTAGTTTTTAAAAGAAAACCTGTATGCTTTTCCCCAGACACAAAAATAACAATTTCTTCCTGATCACCTTTCAACGGGTTTGGCTGGAAAAGGTTAATGAAAAAACTCAGTATGACAGGCTTATACCCATTTTAATGGTAATGTAACCTGTGGAGGGACCTGCTCATTCTCTGCACACTCCTCCTTTCTTGACCATGATTTAACATTACCATAAAGACATAAATTTGTACAATTTTTTAAAAACAACTCTGATTGGTCAGATTTTAAAGAAAGACAGAAAGGGCTGTGTTCTGCCAGAAGCAATGACCAGGTCTTGATGACTCTGGCCTTGACCGTCTTCTTTTTCTCTCCTTCCTCCTCACTACTCTCTTCACATTGGGTAACCAATTAACTGCTGCTCCCTGGCTAGGATTCCCAGAAGTCAATCGGCTTCTGGGGAGCCGGTGGCTGTGCCAGTTAGTCAGTGTTTTCAGGCCCCAGGGCCTCAGCTGGAGTCCCTGAGGCAGCAGGAGTTATGCTAATGAGCACAGCTCGCCCAAGCCTTCCTAAGACTTGACTTCCGAAGTACAAACAGGAGCACCTTGCAGCTGTGATTCCTTGGAGGCTCGGTAAAGAAGCCGAGCTTGGCTGTTTTCAGTATATCTGAGACTAACTCACTCACCACCGGCATGATTTGGACTGGATTACCTGGAGATGTGATCTGCAAAGAGGAATAGTCAAATTGCCGTATTAAACAAATACCTCTGGACCGTGTCTTGGACTAATGAATTATTTTTCATTAGAGGGGAAGTGTGATAAGGACCCCATAAGACCAGAGTAGGATTGTGGTTACCTCCAGATCTTCCTCTCACCTTTGTTAGTCATGCAGAAGGTGACCCAGACATTCAGGAAGCACTATGTTAGAGGCTTCCGGTTTTTTGAAATAAGTGCTTATAGTGTGCTAGAGGCTACCCTGACCAATCAGAAGATAAGAATTGTACAAAAATCTGTTCTGCTTACTAACGTTAACCACCCCCAAACTAAAATAAGGTGTCCCGTGGATCCCTCTTGACCTCACTCTCACCCCTTCCGCTCAGGCACCGCTCTATTAACCTCTTCCTCCATGGCTATCAGAGATTTTGGATAGAAACAGAGGAATGTTCCTTTGAAGAGAGACTAGTACAGGATTTGGCTGTAAGTACAGACTCAACTGGGAGCAGATATGAGTGTGAATGAATTTGACTTTTGTATTCATGTGTGTGCATTATAACAGTTAAAGATTCACAAAAATTGAGTGTGTAAATTTGAAAGAAACTAACAGTATAAATTATCGGGGGAAGCCCTGCTAATGGTTGTTAAGAGCCAAAGGATGAATTTCACTTGGAGGTGCTAGTAACTGTTATCATCCTCATCATCATTATTAACAACTAATATTTCTTGGGATGCACAGCCGCACGGTGGAAAGTTGATGCTGTTAAGTTTTGAGCACCAGTGCTTGCAGGAGGCCACCCCACCCTGGTCTAGGCCCTGCAGTTGTGGTCACAGCTCAGCTTTAGGAAAGGCACATCTAAGTCCCCTTCCTGCATCTCACATTTCTGTATTTGGCCCTCAGAAAATTTGTCATGCCCCATTTCTCTCTAATGGACTTCATGCTGAAAACACCTTACGATTGCATGCAAGGGGAGAAAGCTGGTGGTAGCAGACCATAGAGCTTCATCCCAGCTCAGGAAGAAAACCAACCCTTCTATCCTCTGGCCAACCCATGGTTAATGTTTGTGTGTTTGTTTGTTTTTTTGTTTGCTTTTCTTTATTTCTGTTTCTCATTTTTCTCTTGTCCATTAGTCTTGCCCTGTGTTTCCCATATTCACCATTTCTCACATGTCTTTCTCTTTTTATCTTTCCCTATCTCCCTCTGTTTCTCTTCCTCTGCTTATCTCTTTTTCCCCTTTCTCCCCTACTTTTCCTCCATTTGTCTTTATGGCCTTCATTGTTTTTAGTGAGTGCCTGTCAGGGAGAAAGACAGTTTCTTGGTTTTCCCAGTCTCTTGATTAGTATGACCTTGATAATGAGTGTTGTTTCAGCCATCCACTTCTTAGGAACCATTCCCACAACCTGTGCACTTCTCACCACTTTACTGGGTATGGCGCACCCTGCTGGCTGTGCTAGAAAGCTCACTTTACCTCTGGCACCAGCTGCTATCTCCCTTTCTGTAAAAGGAGATCGAGAAAAGATTCAGTAAGAGGAGAAACAGTAAGGCTTGCAACTCCAGGTGTCATCTCTCAGGAACAACAAGATTTTTAGAGTCAGGAGTGAGATTAAAAAAGAGAAATGTTTATCTGGGTTCAGTCTAGAACAATATTAGCCCCCCAAAGGCCCCGGTGCTTTGTAACTCTTGCCCCATCCCTATCTCCAGCCCAGTTCTCCAAGAGAAGTGCCAGGTGTGGGCCGAGAGACCCTGCCTTTCGGGTGACTCTCCAGGGCTTCCCTCCTGAACGCGGGTGCCCAGAGCTTGCATGAGAGTTCTGCTGATTGGGGTCTGGAGCTCCTCCCCTGTGGGCAGGCTTTGGCTTTACCTTTCATTTTGTTTTACCCCAAAATTGGAATGTTTCTTTGATTGGCTGAAAAAAATAGATACATTCACATGCCAAACCTCGCATCCTTAGGGCTTCGGTCCTGAAATAAATATGTAAGTGATAAAGAACTAAGTGATTTCTCTTTGTGCTTTCGGTCCGATGCACTCTGTGCCTTGCGCTTTACCTTCTCTGTTCGCATGCAGTTGTGTGGCACGTGCTGAAACCCATGCCTAAAACCTGTCTGCATTGGTTTGTGTAGCAGTCTCCCAAGGCGGAGGAGCAGGAGGAGGAGGAGACGGAAAGGCACCCAGACCCACTTCATCAGATCATTCTCCATTTTAGCCGCAATGCTCTCACCGAGAGGAGGTCAGCCAAGTCAGAGCATCCTGTTTCTCTGGGCCCCGGGTGTGGTTGTGTCCCTGGGGCAGGGCCTGCAGAGGGGAGGCCAGATCAGAGCAGCCCTCCTCGCAGCCCTAACGTTGACCATCAAGAAGCATTGAGGGAAACTCCATAAGCCACAGTCCTCTCATCACAACACCAGACTCTGGGTCTGTAGATTAAGCAGCCAGAAACTGTAACCTTCATCCCTGAATTACCCATCAAGCCAATGCTAATTCAGATGTTCAGGGTGGTTTCTAAGAATCAGGGTGTGGGGTAGGGGTTTTCTAATTAATTCACTAGTACCTATCATTGAAGCTTTATGTGGCTCTCAGTCTTGTCTGCTGGGCCTTGGAGGCCACCTGCTAAATAATTCCTTTATGCTTTCCAGCAAACTGGAAGATGACCCTTTGTACACCTCCTATTCCAGCATGATGGCCAAGGTATGCCCGGGTTTCCTGCCTTTTGTCTCGGCTGTCTGTCTTCCCCTGACCTCTTCAGGCCCCAGACACGGGCAGGGTGAGCAGCAGGCCTGAGACTCAGCCACAACGTGAGCTCCAGCCATCACACAATTCATGTGCCGTGCTGGGGGGGGACATTAGTAAGCCTCTCTACCCTCCTCCTAAGAAAAGCTTTGCAGAAACAGTGGCAATGTTAGCTAGACTCACAGGCAATTCTAAGCCAGCTCTGCAGGGCTCAGACATACAGCCTGCCCTTGCATTTTCCCCCAGCATTCAGAACACATCCAACCATTCAAACACACCTGTAGGTGAAAGAAGTTCAGTACATTTGGAAACAGGCTCAGAAACTAGAGGGAAATCCCAGTGTTCAAAAAGAAGCAGTGTGACCAGAGACATTGTTGCTATGTCATGTAGAGGGGCGGTAGCTCTGGAATGCTGAGTGGTTAAGGGAACCGCTCCTTCTGAAGTGGGAAACCTCCATGTCAGGAGGAAAGCAGGATGTGTTGGGGTGCAGAGCACCTGTTCCTTTACCAGCTGTCCCACAGGGTCACCGAGGGAAGCGGCACTTGGGGGTCAACAACCTACATGTCTCTGATCTCCCTGCACTCCCGTCTCCCAGTTTACACGGGAACTTTCCTAGGTAGAACAGTTCAGGTCTAAACCAGAGAGGTTCTCATTGCGTGATCTCAGTGTTCCCATTTCTCATTTCTGAGCCTCTTGGCAACTGCAAAGATGGTGTTTAGGGTGGGATGTTGCCCTGCAGTGGTCAGAACGTTCCTGGTTTTACGAAGTGCTAAGGTCCTGTGGTGCCCGTGAACTGCATCCTGTCCCCTGCTGCACAGTGGAACAGAGTCTTGTTTACTGGTTTCACCTTCAGTTTGATTGTCTGTCTCCTTTCCCTGTTCCATGGAACCCAGAGTTGTCGGAATGGGGAGAACGAGGAAGAGGAGGAGGACAAGGAAAAAACATTTGAAGTAAGTTTTCACTAAGATTGAAGACAGGGCCACCCTCCACAGCCCATCGGTAGGGACTTCAGAGGCGGGAGTTGGCATTAGCCATGTGGCTCACCCACACACAAGTCTGCCTGGGCAAAGCACACACATTAGCTGTGGTTCTGTTGTCTGTCTGTCTGTCTGTCTGCCTGTCTGCCTGATGAAACGTAGCAGGCAGCCAGTCAGTCAGCAAGCCATCTCACTAGGTTTGTTCTTCTGGGAAACTTTATATTTGTACCAAGTATGGTAGTAACAGGGGCCACAGAAGGACAGACTCAAACATCCAAAAATGGGCATTCAGAGCAGTGGAGACACTGGGATGGTTTTTGCCCTACTGACCTGAAAATGTAATAACAGCAGTTTTTGTTTTGAAACAGTGCAGGCCCCTACATCTCCCAAGATAAAACCATATTAGTTGACTTGTACTCTTTTATAGACAAAGTAACAACAGTAAAACTACATGAATATAAGCACAGTTCTGGAGAGCCTTGACGGTCCAGTGCCCCATGTCAGGCAGAGTGTCTGTTAACTGCAGTCTGCACATTCCAGATAAGAGGGCGAGTGACAGTCACACAGGTATATTCCAGCTAACCACTCAGCAGGTCTCCTTGTATGACAACATTGAAAACACATTTTAATCTGGGGTCACTTCCTATAATTCTGGTATCAAAAAGGAATGGACTGTGTTGCCTCTGCTATGAAAAGTGGAAAATTAATCATGAAAATATGAGTGAATTGTGGGTGGACAGTTTGGAAAGCTGAGTAGCATCCAAAAATAGACTTCTGAAATTTTCTCTGTGGGTCACCTTCCTCAGGCAAGTAAAGATTATCTCTCTCAACTTACCTCACCGCAGTGAATTCCCTGTGTACGTTTCCCAGGAAAAAGAGATGGAAAAGCAGAAAACCCTGTACCAGCAGGCTCGGCTGCACGAGCGCGGAGCTGCAGAGATGGTCCTTCAGATGATCAGCGCCAGCAAAGGTGGTTTCCGTGGTTTCTGGACGGGCCCCTGGAACCCCCACAGAGGGCTCACACTGTGCGATGAAGTCCTGATTAAAGAGTCCTGGTAAAGCCCAGCAGGCGTGATTTACCCTCTTTCCTTGGTGATTCAGTTGAATTTCACCACGACAGGTGAGATGAGCCCCATGGTGGTTGAGACTCTGAAGCTGGGGATCGCCATTCTGAACGGAGGCAACGCGGGTGTGCAGCAGGTAATGGGGACTCCCCAGAGGTAGTGCAGACTTCCTGGGGTCTTCCCATTTGACAACTGTCACACTTCAGGGAAGAGGTACTGACTCTGCTGCAGAGGGGACCATCCAGAGCCACCTTTGCTGTTTGTCCTTAGAGGCCAGTTATGTCAGAGTAGCTGGGAACGTAAATAAAACCCAGCTGGGTGTTGACAGACAAATGTGTACCTAATGCAGAGGGTTTACACACATTTAAAAAGAAAAACATTTTGTTTTTTCATCAGTGGCTGATTTTTTTGCACAATTATGCTCTAGAGGAAGTTTCATAAGCCTTAAAATTTTTATTTCAACTTCTCATTTGATTAGCTGCCTTATTGTGAGCAAGGAGCCTGATCAGTTAAGTGGAGTTCATTATCCCACACACCTGTTGTCCATTCATTTGTTCACTCATCCACTCAACACCTACATAGTGATCACTGATGAAGCCCTGAAGCCCCCAGGCTCTGTTCTAGGGGTGGAGAGTGTAGCAGTGTGTAATGCAAGCAAGAAACAAACAAAAACACAAACCCTGCCACCCACAGTAGTTGGGAACACAGAAGCATGGGACCGAGTGCCTGGCACATGGGATTCATTCAGCAATCCGAGTCGGAAGTGGCTGCAGAGGACAGCGATGCTCCGCTGTCTCCTGGGCACTCGGGCTCTGCCCAGAAGCCTCTGCCTGCAGTGGACAGTGACATTTCAAATACTCTTGGCATTTGTGAGGCTTATATCCCAGGGCTTTTGAGAACCTCCAAACTCATAACTACCATTATTGAATATAATCTCCCCAAGCCTTTATTCATCCCAAACAAATTCTCATGAAGAGCTACCATTTTCTAAGACACCCCTCACTGTCTGCTCTCTTCCATCACCAACCTCCACCAGCTGATTTTTCTTGAAGGGCCTTTTTTAAAAACAAAGAAACAAATTTTTTACCAGGCCACACAAAGTTCCTGCCTTCCCAGTGGCTGAGAACAGAAGGAACAAAGTCCGACTGTGGAAGAGATACTGAGCTCTCAGTGAGGCTCGGAGCTGGCTGAGCTCCTTGCTTCAGGCGTCAGACTCATTGCCTGAGCCGTTCGGATTACACCTCAGCCACCATGAGCATCACTAAATCGTGGTCTTGCTGCTCGTGCCCAGTAGGAGAGAGTTCAAACAGTGAATCCATGAATGTGAAAGATCTACTATGCTGCCATAGCAGAAACACCAGTGGGTCTTTATAAAATAAAATTTGTCCACCCTAAATGATTCAGGCTCTGCCAGGAGAGGGTGGGGCTCAGAGGGTGGGGACACAGGGCAGGTTCAAGTCCACAGGTGGTTCTGATGCTTGCCTGGGGTTCCAACCCCCACCTGGATCTGAGTCAGTGTGCCTGCCTGGCTAAGACTGTGCCATTTCTCCATTACAGGTAGGGGGGTCAAAACTTGCAGCATAGTTTCCATTGTTTTTCCTTTTAAAATGTGTCTCCCTTGCAGAAAATGTTAGATTACCTAAAGGAGAAAAAGGATGCTGGATTCTTTCAGAGCCTTTCTGGTCTTATGCAGTCTTGCAGGTAAATATGGGAAAACTACCCACAGCATTTTTTAAACTCTTCACTACTCAAGAGAAGGGGGAATGGGGAGGAGGGCACCAAATACACTGGCTTGTCATGGAATTATTCAGAGAGGTGTCACCTACTTTCGAAGGGGAAGAGGATGAATGGGCATTGTTCCCCCAGCTTTCAGGGTGACATTCAAATAGCACTCAGAAAGGGAATGTCATCTCCATTAGACATGCACGTGTGTGCGCACACGTGTGCACACACACACACACCTGTTTGGCTTTTTCATTCCCCTCACCTCCTTTTTTGTTATGTTGTTATCCTCAGAACTGAGTGTAAGTTTCTCCTAAACATATATGCTCATAAAAGTCAAACCAGAAAAGAATGGAGAGAAGAGGAATCCCTCACTATGACTCAAGGCTATGTGTTTCATTAGGCATTTTGTTAATCTTTTGCCTTAACTGGTCTTTGAGCCTATTTGAATAGATATTTGGTAGGTACATATTTTGACAGAGGAACATCTTAACTTGGGAACATTTTGTCATAGCCTTAGAAACAAAGCATTAAACTTTCTGTTTTTATTACCAAATTGTGTAAGCCTTCCCTCATGACTGAACCTCTGACAAATGAACAATTTGTAACCAAAATCAGATTACCATACTTACTTATTTCAGAAATGAGCCAGAAATCTAAGAAAAAGCATCAGCCTATTGTCTGATATTCACATATATTTTGAACAGTCTGCAACTCATTTTAAAAGGATTCAAAGTTATTACCTAGCTCATTTGCCTCCAATTAATATTCTTTAAAATGGAACATTAGGTTTTCCATTTCAAAATTTGGGAGATGAACAGCCTTTATTTTGATGGACTTTGTAATTTTACTAACCTTATTTGACTGGGTAAGTGTTGTGCCCTGGGGCCGGAGGGAGCATATTTGAGCTGCAATGCAATCCCTTGTTCTTACCCGCATTCCTCCTCCTCACTGACAGCCAATTCCTTTATTATCTCTCTTAGAAAGAAAATGTAATATTGCCAGACCTGACTCACTGAGGGTAAAGTCGCACACATGGACTGAGATGACAAAAAGCAAGGCAGCTCAGTTCCATATTGCTCAAAAATTCTCAGTTAAATTCCAAAGAGTTCTCTTGGTGGTCAGCAGTTCTTAATGTTGCTAAACTCATTTCTAATGATGGCTTGGAAGGACAGGTGACATGCCCTTACAGGCCAACTGAGTTGTAGCAGAAGTTGTAAGGCATTTTAGTAGTTTTATGCTGATTATAAAAACAATACTTATTTGCAAAACATTTAATCATTACATAAATTCAAGCTTTTTGAAATGGGAGTTTTGCGATGGAGCGGGGGTCAGAAATGTGTGTGGCATAGATCGTCCCCTGAGTCAGAGTAGCTGCTGCAGAGCAGCTCTGTCCACACGTCTGTTCCACAGTGTCCTCCCTTGACAGCAAGGTCAAAGTAAACAGATACTTTTGTGTTACTGAACAAATCCTTTTTACAGCAGAACCAACAAGATGTTAGTAGGAATTTTCACTGATTTTTCTTTTAAATTCATCTAAATTGCAGAATGTTTATGACTCCCTCAAAGGGGAAAAGAGGTACTGGATTTTTGTCTAACATCTTTCCAAGCTGATGGTCGTTTCCTTTACCCGGTGGTAAAAGGAAGGCAAGGTTTTGTAGACTTTTAATGGATTCCGCCATAAGCTTCCCTGAGAGCTATGTTCTTGTGAGAGTTATGTTCTTTCAAATTTTCATATTGGGAGCTGGAATTTGTTAGAGAAATAGAATGAGCCCCAGTTGGAAATAATATGATCATACAGTGTCCTCACGGTTAAGTTTTGAGGTCATACAAGGGTTCTGACTAAGTAGAATCTGTACCTAGAATTTGCTGATGGCTGTGACCGGGCAGGGTGGGGACAGTGGGGACAAAAATGAAGGCCAACTTGTCAAAGTTTCGGGAACACCATTGCCTCTAGAAAGCTTAATCTCACCCACTATTTGGCTCCTAAAAGACACAAGAACCCTAAGGGTGTGGCCCTCTGAAATTCAGAAATTTGTAGCTTTCTGCATCAGTATTCATCCTAAGCACTAAAAGCCACAATTCCTTGTGATCCTCAGAGAAAGTAGGCAAACATGGGCATGAATATTAAGTAGTGCAGCTTAAAGTAAATTTTAAGTCTTGAAAAACTTAAAGACAGATGGTTCCTTCTTTATTTGGAAAGCCTCTCTAAGTCTTCATCCCTAAGAAAGGAAGGACTCACACTGGCCAACAACGACAGCCACCACCAGTGTTTCTGCCCCTCTCTGCAGATGCCACCAGGCCCGTGAGCTCCAGGCCTCCTTGGGCAACACTGCCTGGTGCAAAAGCTGCGAGACTCAAACACACTGATGCGTTGGTGCATTTATGATGCTACAAGGACAGAATATTCTTAGTCAGTGGGTACATTGACGTTAGCAATCCGTTCCCTGGTGCACGCAGCCCTGAACCTTGTTTTCTTTTGTCTGTTCAAGTGTCCTTGATTTGAATGCGTTTGAGAGGCAGAACAAAGCTGAAGGCCTGGGCATGGTTACTGAGGAAGGAACACGTAAGTAAATAATGAATGTGAAGGCCACTCTCCTCCTGACAAAAAAATCTTAACTATAACTGATTAGAGGCCCTGCTCACTGTTCTTAATCCTCAAGGACTTGCTCTGTGTCAGCAAAATATTTCCATCAGCAACTCTGAGAAAGCCAGCATCCAGGCTGGGTGTGTTCAAAGAGCCAGTCTTAGCTAAAGACAGGTTAGTGTGGTGTTGATGGTCATCTTACCTGTACTCTCTCTCTGTTTTTCTCTTATAACCAGTCATTGTTCGTGAGCGTGGTAAGTCTGAGTTGCTAACCTGAGTTCCTACCATGTGTGAGTCCTGAGGCATCCGATTTAACTGTTTCAGCTCCAACACCTTTTAGGCTTGGAGGTTGCATGTCAAGTTGAACTCAGCAGTTCGATGTTTAATTAAACAAGATCCTTCCATCTGGAAAGCATGGGTTTTGGTCTGTGAATCATTACTGCTGCTAGCTTGGTTGTGTACCTTACAAATTAGCCCTGCAGCTAAATGTTTTAGCTCTGTTTTGGTCATTGTGTTGTGCAGCCTCAGTTCCAGGTTGATCGGGTCGAACACATTCATCCCGAGTTTCCCTTCCAAACCATTCCGGCACAGCTTCTTTAGCATTTTTGCAGTCATTTGCATTGGAAGGTGTTCTATGTTTAGAAGCAAACAATGTTCACCAGTGTCCTCTGTTTTCAAGGTGAAAAAGTACTCCAGAATGATGAGTTCACACGAGATCTCTTTAGATTCCTACAGTTACTTTGTGAAGGACATAACAGTGGTAAGTGGAACAGATTAACTCGTCAAGGGAAAACAGCATTCAAGTGCCAAATTATGATTCAGTTCAGGAAGCCATGCTGAATGCAACCAGTTGGTAACTTAAGGACAACAGTTAATTCATTCCTAAATGAGAAACTCTATGTAAAATGACCTTTAACTCAGGGCTAAAGTCATTTAGTGCCACCCAGGCTGAGCTGCTTCCAGAATCTTCAGGTGGTCAAACCAAACACCAAGCCCTTCTGTCAAGTCCCTCAAGGCTCATTAGGTCCAGTTTCTAGTGTCACCAGGATGGGAGGGCTCAGGTCAGACCTCTGTCCTGCAGGGTCCACCAAGCCCCAAACAGGGTGGCCCTGCATGGTCCTTCACATGGTGTGCCTCTCCGAGTTGAGTTAAGAGAGCATGACTGGATCCCTAGGCATGGCAGGGACAGGCTCTGATCCGGATCTGACCCGGCCCTGGTGTTATCAGACTTTCAGAACTTCCTGCGAACTCAGATGGGTAACACCACCACCGTGAACATCATCATCAGCACCGTGGACTACCTTCTGCGTCTTCAGGTGAGTGGGCCTTGGGTGGTGGCATGTCTCAGATTCACTTCCAAAAGCTAAAGGCAGTTGGTTACACAGAGTCAGGGAGGCCCAGGCGATAATCAAACCCCAGTAAGGCAGTATTGTGATCTATGTCCACACAATTATAGGAAGTCAAATGCAGTAAGTCCCCAATAGCATCAATAGGTTCTACTACTTTAAGTGTGAAATGACATATAATGAAACCAGTATTGCCAGAGGCTAACCGATGTAAGTTAGAGTTAGGTTCCTACAGCATCTCATGAATATTATAGCCAAACAACATTGAACAAAACAAAGTTATTTGAGGACCGTGCAAAGTTATTATGCACAAAGTTATTTGTGCATAAAATGTGTATTGGAATGTTTGAAGACTGACCTGGGGGAGGTGGTTTAAAACTATATCATTTATTATGAAATGCTGGTGTATTTTAGTTTTGCCAGTGAAAACCTAGCCATAATGCCTGACAGCAATAAAACAACCTGTGAATGAGAAAAGAGTCTTTACCAGGAAAAAGTCACAGAAAGTGGTGGGAATAAGGTGTTACGAAGTCACTTGATTTAATTCTCTGAAGAAAAATCCAAATAATATCACAAAAACCCTACACAAACATAAAAAAGGTTTCCCTTTTCTCTTTGTTGATTCTTCATCCCCTCCTGTCACTGAACAGTTTATGACATGGAGTGATCTGTTAACCTCCCTGTGTTTCCGATTTCTCATCTATAAAATGGGTAGGAACATCCCATTGGATAACAGTAAAGACCGAGAGGTTTAATGTATGTAATAAGCTCAGAACAATGTCTGGCATTTACAGTGTTAGCTATTATGTTGTAATACTATGATTATTTGTATGATAATCATTGTTTATCTATGGTGCACATTTTTCCTTGTGAATAAAGTCTCATATCATAGTCACCCAGGTCCAGCTGACCTCTCTCCTAGTTGTACTTTCCTGTGGAGCGCCCTCTTTCCTTCAAAGATGCCAGGGACCAGCTAGCGTGTTCTTCTCGGAGCCCCAGGCTCCTGTCATAGTGAAGAGGTCATAGAGATGTAGGATTCTCTTGTGCTCTTCCTGAATGTTGACTTTAGCTGCACTGACAGACTCCTAGGAAATGTTAAACTCTGCTTGTTTGTTCTTAGGAATCAATCAGTGATTTCTACTGGTATTATTCAGGGAAGGACATAATTGATGAGTCTGGACAGCACAATTTTTCCAAAGCTCTGGTGGTCACCAAGCAGATTTTCAATTCTCTTACAGAATATATCCAGGTATGTGCTGCAGAATGCATGCTCAGAAACAAAGAGAACACCTGTAACATCCCCAAATTCTGCCTTGTGAGCAGAATATTGGGTGCACATATGACTGTGTATCTAGCCTTATTGCTGGCAATGTTTCTCATCTGTAAATGGGAACCAAGGGTACCTGCCTACACTCTATGAGGCTGTGACCTGTTCATTGTGTCACCATACTTGCATTTATCTAATTACATTTTGCTTTCCCTCCTAGACTGAAAACTTTGCAGACAAAAAGCTTCATATTTAATTTAATATTGTTCATTTCTAGCATAAGATCTAGCACATCATAGGTGTTAGGTAAATGTGGACAGTGGAGTAGAGAAATGATAACTACAATGAAGGAATAAAGGTGTAAATGATGTCACTTTGAGTCTTGAGATTAAAAACAGAATCTACAAGATGCTATGAATGTCAGAAAAGAACTCTGTGGAAGAGGTAACTTCAAAAGTGCATCAGCTATGTGCACTGGCAGTAGAGTCTACAGGTGGAGTTCAGGTTGAATGTCTAGATCTTGCAGCATTCCTTTTCTGTTCACAGCCTTCTCTGCTCATTGCCTGCAGAAGTCCAGCCACTGTGAAAGAATAGAGGGTGTACTTGGGCGTAATTTGCTATAAAATCAGTAGCCATATTACAGTCGTCAGTGACATGAGCCATAGGATGAGCCCACTGGCACAGTCATATCATATTTGCTTACTAAGATAAACACAAAACTAAGACTGTCAACTTGAAAAGGAGGATTTTAAGGGAGAGACTGATCCTCAAGGGAGAAATTGGTCACCCAAGGATTTTAAGAACATGGAGAGAGAAACCCAGGAACAGGTGGCTCATCCGAAGTGTCACAGAATGTGAAATACTTGTGAAGATGATTTGAACAGATCTGACAAGCCTCTGATTCGCTCCCTACAGAGCCCATCCTAATCTTCAGAATTTCCCATGCAGCACTTAACCCAAAAGTAAAGGAGAAGCTTTGTGAGTCTTTTTTCACAATGGGTTTTGTTCCAAAAGCATCTAGAGGTTTCTAGGGATCAGGCAGCAAATGAACACGAACAGTGATTTTTAAACAAGCTTTCGTGACTTAGGGAAGCAGGCAGTATTTCTCCTGCTCACCTCTTCCCTGGGAATTCTGCCAAGACTTTTCTAGAACATGAGATAGTATCAGTGTTTTCTTTGGAAATTCCTTACTGAAGAGTGATTTGAGAGTGATTAAAGGGTAGAGAAAAATAAACTATGAAAGTACAGGATTAGAAATATTACTTCAGTGATGATCTGCAAAAATAGGAAAGGTTATTAACATGGAAAAGGCAAACTGGTAATTGTCATCCCTTTGTGTTTGGCTTTCAGAAAAGATAGTCAGAGATGGAATTATACTTGCAGTTCAGGTTAATGGTAAAAAAATCGCAAAAGTATTTGAACACCGGGAATTTTTTTTAACTTGAGTAGACAGCCGTGTGGTCATAGCATTCTCCATGTAGCTCTGCCAGATGGCGACAAGAGCTCCCATGATGTCTAAGTGAAATGGGATGTCCTCCTGTCCACAGGGCCCTTGCATTGGGAACCAGCAGAGCCTGGCTCACAGCAGGCTGTGGGACGCAGTGGTCGGCTTCCTCCATGTATTTGCTAACATGCAGATGAAACTCTCACAGGTACTGTGGCCTGTCCCCAGTGAGCTGTTGGTGTGAAATGCTAAGTCAATCCCCACCCCTCGGTACTCCCATTGTGGATGTAGCTGCTTGGTAAATGGATGAAAATGCCATGCATATTAGGTCTCACTTTTAACGCCAAGGGTCTAAGTGGGAGGCAGGCATGAACTGCCCCAGACAGGCTTTTGCATGGACGCAGCTTCCTTCCTGATGTCCCCCGACCGCCCTTTTCATAACTGCCTCCACGTCTGCCCTTTATGGTGCTAACCCCTTTGCTTCCCTGTCACTGCTTTGTCAGTTTACAGCAGTCTACCAGCCCTACCTGACCTGTCAGACATCTGCATGTCTCTCTAATTCACATGTCCTGTCTCTCTCACCTGTGCTCCCCACTCCCTCCCCGTCTCTGTCGTTCCTTCTCACTCCCCATCTCTCTGGCAAGATGAACCAGACTCGCTCAGAGCATTTGTTATGAACAAATAAATGGAGTGTTATGTAGTAGTTGATCGTCTCTCTCCATGGCAACACATGAGGGAGAACTTCAGGATGTTTCAGGCTGATTAGAATAACATTTGCAGCATTGATTTAAATAATGTGTATCTAAAATGTTCAAGGCTGTCACATCTGCCTCCTCTCTTCTGGAATGTGCTGTTTAACCCTTTCATTTTTCCCCTTTTGACTCTGGCCTTATGGGAGGAGAGAGTTCTTGGGAGGGCTGCTAATTCGGCAGTGGTACATCAGCCGACTGCACCCTGTGTCAGCCCAACTGTGGCTGCACGGTGGAGGGGCTTTGGGGACAGGAGCCTGGGCCTGTCACCTCCTCACTGGTGACTTTCAGAAAGTCACTTCCCTTTCTGGTTTTTTTGCTTCATCATCCGTAAAATGTTGGGAGTTAGAAGAGATCTCTTTCAGCTCTAATATTCCACACGTCTGTTTTATACAGAGCTATGACACACAGCAAAGGTGGGGGAAACCCCTCTGAAATTTACAGAGCTAGACAAACTGTCTTTACAGAGAGAGTCTGTAAAAGAAGTGGGGCCCAGACGCATTTCACCCCACCCTCGGATTGCCCACCGCAGATCTTCCAAGCATTGTCTCCTCCTTAGCTGACAGTGCCCTGTCTGCAGTGCTGCAGCTGAAACCAGACTAGCATCAAAACCATCCGGAGGTAGAGCCTCGATTATATAACATTTTAAGGGACCAGTGGCACCCAGATCACCACCAACTAGAATCAGGAGAACCTACATTGATCCAGAACCTAAATTAATCCATTTAAAAAAAAAAAAAAAAAAAAGGAGAGCCCATATGTGGCGATTTCATCTCAATGCCTGAATTGGATTGCAAAATATTCCCAAAAACTTCATTTGTATTTCTCCAGTATGAAAAACAACAACAAACTACTAGATATACCTAACAGCTCTCCGGGGGATTGGGTTGTCCAGTAGCTTTGGACAACAAGTGGTATATCTGCCACAACGTGCTGATAAAAGAATGCTATTGGCCGAGCCCTGCTACAGCGAGCTTCCTGGCGCTACAAACAGTGGATGGTAGGACGTCCGCATTCACAATAAGAAGGGAGCTTATTCCCGAGTCTGACGCAGCCCTCACCTAACATTTCCAGAGCAGGCTCTTCTTGCTCACTGCCCCGCACCGTGCTGAGGGATCAGATAGCTCAGGGGTATCTCCTGTTTCTGTTCTAGGATTCCAGTCAGATCGAGCTGCTGAAGGAACTCTTGGATCTCCTTCAGGACATGGTGGTGATGCTTCTGTCCCTCCTGGAAGGTTGGGCTGTTTGGTATAACTAGGCATTCACACAACTGTAATTGGTCTGAGTGCTAACCATACTAATCACGCAGGTTATCCTTCTGGCAGGTCATTCATGCCATATGACATTGGTTAGAAAGACAAATTTTCAGCCACAGCAACAGCAACAACAAAAAAATGAGTGAGGGGCACATGGTCTGAAGGACAAAGCCTGAAACCAACTCATTTTATGTCAATAGGAAAGCCAGAATGAACTGGGGAAAACCTCCAAGCTTTGCTCCTCCCTATCCTCTCCCTCTCCCCATTGCTTTTCAGTACATCTGGCTGCCAGTGTGTATGCCAGCCATCTAGTTGGTCACCCTCCTAGGTCTAAGGGGATAAGAGGGGCACCGCTTATTCCTATGTGTCCCCAACAATCTGATAACAAAACTGATTCCCGGGCCCCAGGCCAGATAAAAAGGCCCTGGTGTGGTCCTCTCCTCCTCCCCTCTGTCTCCATCCCCCTTGGCTCCTAGTGGTGTAGTCTTTATGGCTTGCTGCTCCCTCCTGCCCATTTCCAAATCATCACAGTCAGAAAAGAGCTGACTGAGTTGGCACATAAGTCTCCTAAAAATAGCTACCTGACCAGTTACACCACGACTTGGATTTATTGATATATGTGTATGTCTTTTTGAACCTGCCTCACAGGGAATGTGGTAAATGGAACTATTGGCAAGCAGATGGTTGACACACTGGTAGAGTCATCTACCAATGTAGAAATGATCTTGAAATTCTTTGACATGTTCTTGAAACTGAAAGACTTAACCAGCTCAGATGCCTTCAAAGAATATGACCCAGATGGGAAAGGGATTATCTCCAAAAAAGAATTCCAGAAGGCCATGGAAGGGCAAAAACAGTACACACCATCAGAGATTGACTTTCTCCTTTCATGTGCAGAAGCTGATGAGAATGACATGTTTAACTACATCGATTTTGTAGACCGGTTCCACGAGCCGGCCAAGGACATAGGGTTTAACGTGGCAGTGCTATTGACAAATCTGTCAGAGCACATGCCAAATGACTCTCGCCTTAAGTGCCTGTTGGACCCAGCGGAAAGTGTGCTGAATTACTTTGAACCATACCTGGGACGCATTGAGATTATGGGTGGGGCCAAGAAAATTGAGCGTGTTTATTTTGAGATCAGTGAATGTAGTCGAACTCAATGGGAAAAGCCCCAAGTGAAGGAATCTAAGCGACAGTTCATCTTTGATGTTGTCAATGAAGGTGGAGAACAGGAGAAGATGGAGCTGTTTGTGAACTTCTGTGAGGATACCATCTTTGAAATGCAGTTAGCATCTCAGATCTCTGAATCTGACTCAGTGGACAGGCCAGAAGAGGAGGAGGAAGATGAAGGCTCTTCTTACACGTTAGAAATCGAGGGTGAAGAGGAAGATGACAAGTCCTCCGAGCCTGCCTCTGCATTTGCCATGGCCTGCGCCTCAGTGAAGAGAAGTGTTGCCAACTTTCTGAAGAGGGCAACCCTGAAGAACCTCAGGAAGCAATACCGGAAGGTGAAAAAGATGGCTGTGAAGGAGCTGGTAAAGGTGTTTTTCTCTTTCTTCTGGATGTTGTTCGTGGGGCTGTTCCGGTTGTTCTTCACCATATTGGGAGGAATCATTCAGGTCCTCTGGAACACAGTGTTTGGAGGGGGCCTTGTAGAAAGGGCAAAGAACATCAGGGTGACCAAGATCCTGGGGGACATGCCTGACCCAACCCAATTTGGTATCCATGACGACACCATGGAGGCTGAGAGGGCAGAAGCGACTGAGCCGGGTGTCTCCACTGAACTAGTACACTTCATAAAGGGGGAGAAGGGAGATGCGGATATTATGTCAGACCTTTTTGGATTCTACTCAAAGAAAGAAGGTGGCTTAAAGCATGGGCCCGAAGTGGGTTTGGGTGACCTCTCTGAGATTGCTGGCAAAGATGAACCCCCTACGCTAGAGAGTACTGTACAGAAGAAAAGGAAAGTGCAGGTAAGCATGATTTGTTCCCATCGCCTTTATGCCCAGAAGAAGACTTCCCACTATATTTTGCATCAGTCCTGACACCAAGTTCCTAAGAACCAACACTGTATTAGAGACCAGCTCTCCTATGATTACCCCATCTTAAAATTCCAGCTCTGTCATGTCTGGCAGAGCAAGACTTAAATGGCTGTCTCAGTGCTTAATTGCTGAGTCGTCCTCAGTTTACGTTGTAGAGTTCAAACATGACGATCTGGGACACTCACCTCGCTTCCATGCTTGCATTAGAAGGTTAGTTCTCAAGGTTTATTCCGTGAACTGAAAGCACAGAAAACCAGGTCCAGCACAGGAGGAGACTTTTCTTGTGAGACAATAAGTCTACAGTGTCCCAGAAGGTCCAGCTGATATGATATAATTTAGCACAGCATCCCAGTGAGTTTGTCATGATTGGGACACTTTTATTCTTATGAAATTTGGGTTTTGAGTCAGTGGACTAGATTAAGAGAATAAGATAACAGTAATTCGGAGCTCCTTGGTCATGGATGTGGGCCCTTGGTCTACCGTTGGCCATGGGCATTTCCTTCTGTTGCAGCATCTAACTCACAGCATCAGCCTAGCACTAAAGAGTGTATGGAGAGAAGTGTGAAGAGATCAGAGCGCAAAGACAACTTTCATCCATTCATTACATTACTATTAGCTAACTAGTTAATATGTGGTTGTCACTGTTTTTGGTTCTGAGAATACAGTGGTGAATGAGAAATGCATTGTCCCTATAATTTAGTGAAAAAGAGAGATATTGGACAAGTCAGTGTAAGTGTGAAGAATGTTAGGAGGGAAGAATGCCAGGTGCTAAGGGAATGTACAGGACAACACTCTCACCTGGCTTGGAGAGTTGGGGAAGAAGGCATCAGAATCATAGGAGTTCTTACAACAGTAATTTCTTTACTCTGCTTTGCTCCCTGGTGCAGCCCCAGGGCATGGACTGGGTTTGATACATAATAGGGACTCATTCAAGGCCGGCTACCTGCCAGACTGTGCTCCAAGGATAAGAGAACTCAGTTAACAGGAAGGACAGCTCTTTTGTTTAATAGAGCTTGACTTCTAACGGAAGAAGACAACAAATAAATAATTACCATTTGTGACACATGCTAAAATAACTGAACAAGGGCATGTGGGCCCTACTCTAAATAGGATGGTCAGGGAGGCTTCTGAAAAGGTGTCCCCTGAACCAAGTGCTGAAAGTTATCAGGCATATGCTAAGCAGTCACGCTCCATGCCAAGGATATGGATGGTGTGAAGGTCCTGGTGCTGGGAAGGATTTGGAATTTCCAGGCAAGGAAATGAGGCCTGGGTATTGGGTGTAGGAGGAAACGAATCAAGTGGCACAAGATGAGGATAGAGTGAAAGGCCATGATCGCATCGCTCTTGCAGACTCCAGTAAGGAGCTTGGCCTTTCTTCTCAGTGCAGTGGCCATTGGTCCAAGGGATTGGGGTGGTAGTAAGGGGACCAAAGGCCAGGCAGGTACCCTGTCTGACAGAAGCAGGTTCTGGGATGGACCTGGTATTATACATGTCCCATCTCTCCTTGAGGCCATGGGGCAGTAGGACCACTGCCACCCGGCTCTGACAATGTCCTAGTGCAGGTTTCTTTGAGGGGAATAACAGGGCAGCAGAGTTTTGGGGTTTGAAATCTTTGTCTTGACATCTCTCCAGAGTCCCTTGATATGTAGCAGCAGGGCACTTACAGTTCATGATCCAGAGAAAAGCAGATGCGTGAAAAAAGAAAGCTTTTGGGACTTCTAACCAAGGAGACAAAATGGCCAGCAATGTGGCTCATCACCATGAACTCCTGATTTGGGGAAAATCTTCACTGATTGTTATTTTTGTCTAGGCGGCAGAGATGAGAGCAGCCCATGAGTCAGAAGGAAAAGTAGAACCTGAGAAAGCAGAGTAAGTTCTTGGCAGCTTTAAGTACTCAAAATCCTGTAGTAGATAGTCCTTGATAGCATCCACTATTCTATTGCCATGGTAAATAGAAAACTTGATTTCTAGTAACACGAGAAATCAATTTTTTGCAAACTCAGATACATTTCCTTTAATCCCAGATATACAATAAACACATTTTATTAATCATGTTAACATTATAATCTCACTTGTAGATCAGAATTTCTCTGATGGGCTCTGGCTGGTGTGGCTCAGTGGATTGATCATCAGCCTGCCAATCAAAGGATCACCAGTTGGATTCCCAGTCAGGGCACACACCTGGGTTGCAGGCCAGGTCCCCAACAGGGAGCACATGAGAGGCAACCACACATTGATGTTTCTCTCCCTCTCTTTCTCCCTCCCCTCCCCTCTGTCCAGAAATAAATAAATAAAATCTTTAAAAAAATAATATCTCTAATGGAAATTCCTCTTAATAGCTGTTCCTGTATGCGTGTTATATGGGGACCTGACTGCTAGTCCACATGGCCAAACAAATCAGCAAACACCCACATCTCGTAACTTCATATAATGTTGATGATGATATCTCATGTAGTGAAAATCTCTTCCATGCCAGGCCCTTTGCTAAGGCCTTTTACACAATATCTCATTTAATTCCTACCTCAGACTTGGAGAATAGGTACTATTGCTAATTCAAATGAAGTCTTAAAAAATAAAGGACTTTTTTGAAGGGAAAGAGTTCTTAGGCCAAATTTCAGAAAGAGACTACAAATTTATATTTACAGCTATTGTACACCTGTGACCACAGCTCCTTAAAGGGAACACTGCTCATTAAGAGCAAAGCTGACGTCCAGGCACTGTGGTGTGATAATGCCCTGAGGTTTCTGCCCACAAGGAATAATTACAAGATTTCTCTTTAGTTCAGTCTCCCCGTCCAAGCCGGGCCTCCCTCTGTGCTCTGGGCTGAGTGGGTTTCTTGTCCCGGCAGCATGGAAGATGGGGAGAAGGAGGATCCAGCCAGAGAAGAGCAAGCCAAGGCTCTATGGGCAGAAGCCACAAAAAAGAAGAAGCGACGGCATGGCCAGAAAGTCGAGAAGCCTGAAGCCTTCATGGCTAATTTCTTTAAAGGGCTGGAAATCTATCAGACCAAGTTGCTGGTAAGTGCTCCCGCCCTGGCCTCACTTCTGGTGCAGGAGCTGCCCAGGCAGACCTCAGAGAAATGACCATGGCTTTCAATTCACCGTTTGGTTAGTTATGCTTCCTCACTTTCTCATTCCTCTTCTTTTCCTCTTCTCATTTATCTGCCTGTTTCCTTTGTGCTGGAGGAAGAGAAAAAGAGGATAGACTGGAAAAGCCAAGTGCTCCAGCTGCCCTGCCCAGCAGTGGGCACGCTCTCTGACCCGTGCTCTCTTGGAGAGAGGGAGTCCCTCTTCCTAGCTGGCCCTACATGTGTGTGTTATGTGGGGTCCAAAGTTCAGAGGTCATTGGATGATTTGGGATGCAAAAAGAATACTCCTGTGTTAGGTTAGATTCTCACACTTGTCCTCAAAAGCTGTTATTTCACACACAATCAGCCCTCAGCACAGCTTGTGACATTCTTTCTCGGACACATTGCCCACTGAGGTATAGTTGCTGATGGCCAGGACGACACCTTCCCCAGCACCATCAGTGAGAACCCTCTCTGCAGAGAAACTGAGAGCTTTCCCCATGCAGCTGCCAGTCTAGTCCTCCAGTGCTGATTCTCCCAGGAAGACGGCAGTGAGAACAGGAATGGTGCCCCCTGAGAGGGGAGAGGCAGAGGCCTTCCCCTCTGGGACTTACAAAGGGCCAAGGGCTTGGGGCCACAGTCTGGCTGCATGCAGAGTGAGAGCTGCAGAGGAGACTTTTTGTGAGCTTAGATCACGCATAATGTCCAAATAGACTGCTTTCTGCACGAAGTGCTCAATGCATGCACACACACACACACACACACACGAACACACCTCCACAGCACCACGAGTCTGCAGGTAGTGTGTTTGGCATTTGGTTCCCTGAGGGATAAGCTGGGGCAGAGTTCCTTTGAATATCATTCAAAGAAATTTTTTTAAATCACCATTTCTGGTTTCTCCCAAAAATGAGTCCTGAGAAGGTCAGGACTGTCCTCGAAGACTGGCTACCAAAGAGCAGGACTAGTCCTGCACAAACTTCTATCCAGAAGAGATCTGTGCAAGAGAAGGGAGTTCTCTTCCCCATGCCGAGCTCTGTGACTTCTGCCTGTCCTTTTCTTTTCAGCATTACCTGGCCAGGAATTTCTACAACCTGAGGTTCCTTGCTCTGTTTGTAGCCTTCGCTATCAACTTCATCCTGCTCTTTTACAAGGTGATACGTCATTCAAAGGCTATTTGCTACACTTTATTTGTTTTAAAAATAATAGAAATTAGAGCTGATATTCTAATATCTAGTGAAATCTCTAAGACACTGGCTCCTTAAAAGGATACTATTTTTAGCAATGGGAAGAATGGACAGACTGCTTGCAAGGGAAGGCAATTAGGACACTTTCAGTAGTTCAGGGTTATTCTATTCATTAAAGTTCTTTAAATATTTGTTGGTCATCTACTATGTCCTTGACCCTACATTAGGAACTTTGAGACATTTCAAAATGAGTAATACAGTTCTTCCCTTGAGGAAGAAGGTAAGCAAGAGCCATTATAATTGGCCCATATGTTAGAACCCATAGTACAAGGAAGACCTAACAGGAGTTGCTGGCTATGGAAAAAGAGATATGAAGGGTTTGAACACTGGTAAGTGGGTCTTAGACACAGTAGGCACATAATAAATGTTTATGGAATGAATGAATGAATGAATGAATGAATGATAGGTCCTGGATTTTTGACATAGTCTTCAACTGGCTATTTCACCTTGACTCTCTCCCTTCCTGTTTAAAACCACTGATCTCATTTTTATAAAACATGCTTTGCTCACCTCCACCTTCCACTCTGTGAACTAATGGCTCTCTCTTGCCTGTAGAAGAAAAATGGAAGTTTACAGAGCGGTGTGGCAAAACTTGGTTTCATATCTATCGAGGTGGAAGTGACCGCAGACCACTTCCAGGTGGAGGTGGCCACAGGCGGTTGGAGCTGCAGGATGCAGCCACGGAGGCGTAGATTTGGGGGGCATCTGTGTGAGAACGGCAGGCAGTCAAAGCGATGAATGGGTGTCAGTGGCATCCAAGAAAGAACGGAAAATGCCACGTGTGCACGCCTGCGGGTGTCTTCACCTCCTCCCAGGCCACGACACATGCTTCCTGAATACTCCTGAGGCACAAAGATTATAGCACATAGAGTAAAGCTTCCCTAATTTTTAAAATATTTTTGCTTTTCCTCAAACATTTTGTCTCTTTAAAGTGTTGCTCACCTCATGGCAGAGGCTCTTTCTGATGTTTCTAAGAGTGTATGTGTCGTGGGCCAGGTCACGGAAGAGCCCCTAGAGGAGGAGGCGGAGGACGTGGCGAACCTGTGGCATTCCTTTAATGACGAGGAAGAGGAGGAAGCGATGGTGTTCTTCGTCCTGCAGGAGAGCACTGGGTACATGGCCCCAACGTTGCGGGCCCTGGCCATCGCCCACACGGTCATCTCTCTGGTCTGTGTGGTGGGCTACTACTGCCTGAAGGTGAGCTGCCGTTGCTGCCGAATCCAACCTGACTCCTTGGGGAGGAAGCGTCCCTTCTGAGCCCAGCTGGCCCTTCGCTCTCCCAGACCTCTCTAACAGGCTGAAGTTCGTGGGGCGGCAGCAGCCGGGGTATCACCCAGGAGCTGGTTAGACCCGTGCTGTCTGCAGCCCTGCCCCAGGCTCTTTAAATCAGAATCCGCAATGTAACATGATCCCCAGGGTTCAGTGTCCGCAGTCTAGTTGGAGAAGCCTTGCACTGTGAGTCCCATTTCAGGCACCATTTGTTGAATTTCATACAATTAGAATCATCAGGCTAAGTCACACGTGGAGCTGGTGATGAGAGTGTCTTGCGATCTTTCATGTTGGAGTTTTTGTAAAAATGCTTTTGACTTTTCAAAAATTATTAGGTTTTAACTATTTGCCATATCAGAAGAAAACTTATTAATAAGTTAGTTTCAGTTACTGTTTATTGCTGTATAACAAATCACCCCAAAACTTAGTGGCTTAAAGTGACACATTGTATCTCTCTGATTCTGCGGACTGGCTGGGCACACTGGAGCCGTCCACCTGCTCCATGTGAGAGGTGGCCGCATCAGCAATTGTCTGGGTGCTCAGCAGGGCCGGACTGTCTACCGTGGCATGCGCTCATGCCTGGCACAGTGCAGGGGTACCAGCTGGCAGTCTGGGCTCTGCTGGGGCAGCTGGGCAGCTCTATGTAGCCTCAGCACATTGCCCTATCCATGTGGCCTCTCCACGTTCTCTCTGTAGCCAGGTAGCTACACTTTTGCATATGGTGCCTTGGAGTTTCCAAAAAGAGCACAAAAGTGAGAGTGGCTAGCTCTCCTGAAGCCAGGCCCGGAACTGCCACAGTGTCGTTCTTACTGAAGCCTTTCGGTGACAGCAAGGCCCGGGGTGGCCCAGATTTATTGTCGATGGGGACGAGCAGGGCTGCACAGAGGCATGAATACTGGAGGCCTGGCTCGCTGGGGCTGTCTTCAGACACTGCTACACGCACGGCAGTCTTCAGTCCCTCTGTTTTCAGTGTTCTAAGTCCTTTTCCACAGCACCGCATTTTCTCGCATTATATTTTTTCTTCTCTTTAGTAGGAAGCCTCCTTGGCTCTTTACCAAGCCATCTCCTCCCAGGGAAGAATCCAGGAAATAGATCCCTATTCTTGTGGCCCTCACTTTCCCGGTGACCCATGGTATCATGTAGAAAGTTCAGTTGCCATGTTGGCGAGAGACCCTGTACCCTAAACCACACTGAGGACCCCACTGTAACAATAAAAACACAGATTCTGGAGCTGGGCTGCCTGGCTTGGACTCAGATATCTGCCACTTAACCTCACCATTCCTCTGTTTCCTCATCTGTAAAAATGAGTATTATAATACTACCACCAACTCCTAACAGTTGCTGGGAGGAATAAATGAATTAACATGTGTAAAAGTACTCAGAATGTCAGACACAGTAACTCCAGGGTGTTAGCTCCCATTCCGCAGGTCCCCATCCTCGAGCTCATCTTGTCGGAGGGGACGCAGACACACTGCTGACCCAGAGCAAACGAGAGGAGCGCTGCCTCGGGACTGAGAGCAAGTCCTGCTCACAGAGCTGCACGCACTCCGAGAAGACTGAGGGGAATGCTTTGAATCCCAGAGATCAGCACGGCTCTCAAACTTGACATTATCATTGTTATTCAGAGTCATTTCAAAATACAGCAGAAATTAGTCAGCGTAGCTTTATCTTTATCTTTGTTTCCCCTCCCACATCATCCATTAACTGACAGCCATCGTGGATTCCTCACAATGCCTGTTATTAGCCTTTGCTGTCTTCTTATCATTAGTCTTTGATTTCCTCAGTGTCATTTTATTGTTTTAAAGAAAAAAAAGAGCAAGAAGTAACTCTTTACAAATCATGATCTAAATTTTTTCTTTTTGTCTTGGAAATAAAGGGGCAGTATGAGGTATATGAATATCATTAGCTTTGAGGAAGAATTATTGGAAAACACTCTTTGGAAACCAAGGTCTTAAGGATGTTGCTAAGTAACCAGTGGTTTCCCAGCTGAATGAGAAACCCTGGTTCTGTCTGAATTATGTTTCTAGCTATTCTGACTTCCTCTGGAATTTCAGCAGTGCCCTCTGACCTCACAAACTCTGTCCCATATTTGAAGTGTGCGTGTGTCCAGTGATGGTCGGGGTGAGTGGATTATATCCTGTTCTTCTGTGTGTACTTCTTTGGTGGTAGGTTTTTTCTTTCTTTAATTGATTCCTACAGAGAGAGAGGCGGAGAGAAAAAGGGGAAGAGAGAGAAAAACAATGATTTTGTTGCTCCACTTATTGGTGCATTCTTTGGTTGAGTCTTGTATGTGCCCTAACCAGGGATCGAACCTGCAGCCTTGGCGTATCGGGATGATGCTCTAACCAAATGAGCAAATCAGCCAGGACTGGTGGTAGGTCTTTGTAGCCATGCCACCATGTCTAGTCTAAAATCAGACTTAGAACTACAAGAGAGTGGAGATAATAGTTGAGAACAAATAAGCATGCTCCTACCTCACAGGAACTCTTCAGAGAAAGAATCTCAGGAAGAAAACCTCAAAACAGAAAGACTATGTGCAGAGCCCAGTGCATCCTCTCATTCTCTCTATCCAACCGTGTTTCATTAAGCAAAGCCATGAGGTGACTGTGACCCTAGCCACTGAAGGGGTTGGAACATTTCATGGCATTTCTGTGGCTGGCCAGTCAACTCTAGAATGATTTATCATCCTTTCTTAGTTCTTAGGAGTCTTAGGAGACCTAACTCATTCAACCCAGGGACTCATCTATACATAGGACGAGCTGAGGAGTCCAGTTTGCATTAATATCTGCTGTTTAACCCAAACTTTAAACGATGGCCTAAGTCAGATCCGCTTTTGGAAAGGAAGGTGTATTAGCCAAAGGAGTGATAAGAGATTTGACTCTGGATGCACAATTAAGCCACCTAAGAATTCCACTAAAAGACTGCTGCCCTGAAGGTGGAAGGCCTGTTTGGAGAGAGTGCTGTAATTGGAAAGCCTTCTCTGAGTACCCAGTGTCTTCCCATTCCTAGGTCCCTTTGGTGGTATTCAAACGAGAAAAAGAAATTGCCAGGAAGCTGGAGTTTGATGGCCTGTATATTACCGAACAGCCATCTGAAGATGACATCAAAGGTCAATGGGACCGCTTGGTAATCAACACACCGTAAGTATCCCCCCCACACCCTCCCCACCAGGATAACCAAGCCCTCTAAGCCTTAGTTTCCTCTTCAGTAACAGAGGGATGAGAATACCACCTCCTGCAGTTTGGGAATAGTAATGCCCGGCCCAGTGCCCACTCATGGTAGGCATCAGTGTTAGTCATCCCCTTTCCCTGACTGTTCACAAAATGGCCATCATTGTTAGCGAAGGTAATGCTCTAGTGCCAGCGCATTCACAGTTGTGACAGTGAGAGTTGTAAGATAATGTTCTGAAAGAGAAGAAATAGGGTCAGATGGGTAAACTAAGGTGATGATGTTGAAACACTTAGCTGTGACAGTTAAAATATGCACGTGTGGAAACAACAACTCCGACCCCCAGAAGAAGGAAATTGCTCCTCACCCACAGAGGGCCAGACAACCCGAGAGAGGCAGCTCTGCAAAGCCACAACTGAGCCTTCTCAACAGTCTCTGGAAAGGAAACTCTACTCTTGGCGGGGGGCCGGGCCGGGGAGTGAGCATGCAAGTCAAAAGCCTGTTCCTGCCATCCTCTTCTAATAAGGAAGAGGGATCCAGCTTTGTTTCCTGCCCTTTGTCATTACAGAACAGAAATGTTGGATGCCATTAAATAATTCACTGTATTTTTTGGACTATAAGACATACCCAGGTTTTAGAGGTAGAAAATAGAAAAAAAATTTTGAAGCAAACAATGTGGAAAAATATTTAATAACATAAATAATATAATATTTCACCAATATAAATGTAAACAGAACTCAACAGCAGCATTAACAACCATTATTCCTCCCAAATGGGGGCAGGGGAGGGAGGCTGCATCCTATAGTCCAGAAAATGTGGTAATTCTTTGGCAAGCTTTCTGCAATTATCATGAATGCTTGTGTCTGTGGCACAAGATGACATGGCCTGAAAGTACCAGGAAAAAGGCAGTTCAGGCTCGAGAAATTTATCTTGAGGAGGCAGTGAGACGAGAACACTAAAATGTCCCAAAAAGGATATCTGCTAAAACTTTTTATTTGAAGTGGCTTACGTGTCCTTAAGTCTTAAGTAGGAAATACATAAATAAGTAGATGTTTAAGAAATTTTTGACAAATGGACCCTTAATTTTTTCACAATAATGGCCTCATAGCACACATAGTACTTCGTAACCTGTTTTTTTCAGTTAACTATATATCATGGAGAGCTTTATTTTTTAATATTACTTTTGTCTTGTTAAATATGCATGTAGAGGGTAGAGAATGTGTATGCATATTTTGAAGCATAATAATAAATTGAACTACAAAGGCTAAAAATGGAGCACTGCAGAGAGCTTCAAAGTCCCAGATGTTATGATCCTCCTTGCCCTGTCTCCCCAAACCCCGCTATCTACTCTCCTGACGTTGGTGGTGCTTGTGTTCGAGTCTTAGTTCCGCTACTTCGATGCGTGTCCCTAGATGCTGTTTCAGTTTGACTACTTCCGGACTGTATGTACACAGAGTTACACCCTCTGTGTGGTACCGTCTTTCGAATCACGTGTTCCGTGCCGTGTCTGAGATGATGTGTGTGTCCATCATTTTGTCATTTTCAAAACTGAGCTGTTTTAAAGCATTTTAGAAACACATGTAGGAGTATATTATCATATATTTATCTATTTTCCTGACAGTGGGTACTTCCAGTGTTTGCAGTCTCTGGCCATTACAAACAGTGCCACAATCAACGTTTCTATAACTCTTGCACAAGTAAAAGAGTTTCTCTAGAGTAGGGACCCAGGAGAAAAAATTGCTGAATAGTAGGACATGCAGACGCCTGTCCAGTTTACCTTCAACCAGCACTGTGCGAGAGTGCCTGCCCACCCCACCCCCTGCCTCCTCGCCAGCACTTGTTACTGTCAGACAGTTCTGCGGCCCTGGAGGGCAGCAGCGGCAGGTCGCTGTGAACGTCTGATTTCTAAAGAGCGTACGCATCATATATTATTTTTCTTGACCATTCATGGATAGATGTTTTTTATTTATTCACTTCTCTTCTGAAGTTTCTTTTGTCTATCCCACACTTTAAAGAATATTACCTAGTAAAAATATGTTTTCTACCTTCAAGGGGCTTATTTACCTAACCAGTGGACAAAAATACTCTGACCAAAGTAAGATCACATTCAAAAGGGTCTCGTCCAGAGCCTTCAGTCAGTGGCCCTTCACCACTTCTGGAATTTTCTACTCACAACAAAATGTGGCCAAGGCTGGATTGTATGTTATGCACTATTTTTATAAAGGACTTAAGAGAGAAAGGAGATACCAGTGTGAACAGAGGAAGCCTCGCTTGATTTTCCTTTGTTTTGTTTATTTTAGACTCTAAATGCAATACATTAAAAAAAATTCAAGTCGCAGAAAAATGCACAAAGAAGAAAGTCACCATAATTGTGGCCCTCCCCATTAGCCATTTACTTTATAAACCCAGCATTTGTTCTTGCTTTTCAGTGGCATTTGGCAATTTAAGACAAACTGCTTTAACTATTTTTTAAGTGTTTTTAAAGATGGCCACCCAGTTGGGGAGAGGTGGCATTTGCTCAGGGTTGTTCTTCTGAGAAGTCCATGCACAGAGGGAGGCCCCCACTCCTCACACCAACTGGGGCAGTTTCCAGAACAGGAGACTGTGTTCCAGTTCCAACAAGAATGACTCAAATGAAAAAAAAAAAAAAAAACCAGACGCGTAAAAAGCACATGCCAAGGGCCAGCAGTTCCTCGGCTGTGATCTAGCCTCACAGGGAACCCTCCCAGAATGGGCTAATCATTCTGTAGACTAGGGGAACAAAGTATTTTGAATGGTTTTTGCCAACATACCTGAAAGTGGCAGTTCTTTCTTGACTTTAACAATAGAAAGCTCTTTGCAGTGGAGCTAGTGGAAGCTACCAGGCAGAAGAAAGGAGAGCACTCTGTGGGGTTAGGGATAGGATGTTTTGGGAAACCACCTCCGAAGAAGAAAGAGATCTAATTCCCTGAAGAAAGCAGACCCCACAGGAGTTACAGGGAATGGAGAAGAAAGTGGAAGAGCACTCCGGTTAGCAAAACTCTATAGAAATTAACTAAAGGTGGTTCCCAGACTGGAAACCTTGTGTAGTTGGGGACTTTGTCTACACGTTATCCCATGGAACCCGGGTCTCCTACCCCAGCTACTAACATAAACCAGGTACTCAATGAATGCAGGTTAAATGCATGTGTTTCCTACAGGGTTCTGCTTCTACTTTATGCTGGGATCACTAAACACTTTTCTGCTTCTGTCTAATCCTGTCATCACAAGTGCTGGCTCTTAGCCATTATTTTAACTAGAAAATGCAGAGTGGTTTTCTGAGTGTTTCAGAAGTCAGTGCAAAGTAGTGAAACTGTAAATCAGCCCTGTGGTGACTGTGAACTTCAATCACATCTGGAATGCTTCAATGAGCCGGACAAAACCCACAGGGATCACAGATCCAGACACTCAAACTGCGAAGTTTCTTGATGTGCTTTGCCTTGATGTTAAGAACCCACCTTTTTTGTTTTCTTTTTTCAGATCTTTTCCTAATAACTACTGGGACAAGTTTGTGAAGAGAAAGGTAGGCCTTGTCAGTGGGGGTGAGTTCCATGACTACCAAAGAAATGCCATAGGTTTTGAGCGCTCCGCATACAAATATGAATAAATTCGGTGTTACTTTTTATGACAGTTTCCCGAGAAGAGTAAGTCACAGATGGGGTGCAAATGAACATATGCAGGTTTTTGGCTTCAATCCTATATTCATCTGCCTTAAACAGCTCAACACAGTCATTGTTTTCTGCGTACTAGGTTCTTGCTCCCCTCCAAGAAAATAGCGGCCTGAAACCCAATTTTCATTTAATTGCCTTTATCATTTCTGTTTTCTTTGGGGGCTATTTCCCTTTATTTTCCTGTTGCATTTTGAATCCTGTCTTTATCACCCCCTTGAAGAGCCCAGTGTAGGGCAGTCCTCTGCAGACGGTGGGCTGGAGGGAACACTGACGCTCTTGTGTGGCCCAGCCTCACCCTGTCGTCCCTTTGCTTTAGGTGATAAACAAGTATGGTGACCTCTACGGAGCGGAACGCATTGCTGAACTCCTGGGTTTGGACAAAAATGCCCTTGACTTTAGCCCGGTAGAAAAGACCAAAGCAGAGGCGGCCTCTCTGGTGTCATGGTACAGAGCTTAGGAGTTTAAACCCAAAGTCTGGCTAAAGTAGATCCTTTGATTTCTCCAGCCCTTTTCAAGGTGCTAAAGGGAAAAATTCTCAATCAGATCTTTGTTCTCTCAGGCTCTGGTCTGGCTTACGTGTTTCCTCTAGATTCTAACATATTGGGAGAGCAGTGCTTTAAACAACTTAAGGACCTATCAGGCTTTTATGCCTGGTAGAGCTGAAAGAGGAAGACTAATTAAAATTCCAGGTTGGGTTAGTCTCAAGGGGCACTCATACAACTTGATAAAGCTCAGAGCCGTATTTAGATTATTATTAAACCTGAGAGAGAGAAAAACAATCTTATACCCCCCCCCACCCCCGCCTTATGAAACACTTAACTTACGCCTGACATTTATGTGTTTTTAAATTCTTTGGCCCCCTTAGGCTAAGCTCCATCGACATGAAGTACCACATCTGGAAGCTGGGAGTTGTTTTCACTGACAATGTAAGTGTGGCACCTGGAAAAACAAGATTCGGTTCCCCGGGTTCAGGGATGTCATTGGGCGCCACGAGGAAAAAAATGAGGGAGCTTGCCCAGAAAGATTCTGGGATCGCTTCAAAGACAGAGAGCTACAAAGGGGCTGGGGACACGTCTCTCTCGTGCAAGAGTGTAAGACAGATGGGGTTTCACTTGGCAGTTCTTAGGCCAGTTCACAGCACCTCAACATCTAAAAACCCTCTGTCCTCACTCTGTCCCCAAAGATGAGAAAAATTAGCTCAATCAGCACATCAGGAGGCAGGAATGCCTGAAAAGCTGCCAAATCTCTTCCATTTCCGCAGTCCTTTCTCTACCTTGCCTGGTACACAACCATGTCGGTCCTGGGCCACTACAACAACTTCTTCTTCGCCGCTCACCTGCTGGATATCGCCATGGGCTTCAAGACCCTGAGGACTATTCTATCATCTGTGACTCATAACGGCAAACAGGTAGTGGGTTTATACTAATACAGAACTGAATGGACCTAGATATGGAAAATAAAATGACCAAAACAGGTAGTACAACCAGTGTATGGCAGGAAGGTACATCATAGTATATAATACAACTTTCTTGGTGAAACACTTGAATGGTGATTGTTTTTATTTAAAAATAAAATTGTAGCCATCATTCAAGAGGCATAAGGTCTTGATTCAGAGACCCCTGACATTTAGGTCAAGCAGGGGAGAGGGAAAGAGGTGATTGACACATCACTTTGGGGGCCTTTTGTGGATCTTCCTCTTCCTCTGTGGATCTGATATACTCACTGGGGGTCAGCACATGGTCCTGTGTAGTCAGAAAACTCCCAAGGTTCTTCCAATATAAGCTTCCAACTAAGAAGCAATGATTTAGACATGGATATATACACACACATAAAAATAGCTGTAAATATATGTATATACATACATACAGATATATATGTATGTGTTTATAGAGTGCTGAAAGTTGGTAGTAAAAGATATAGTTACACATCTATATAGCCATTGCCATATCCAGTCTGTCTTCTGCAGTGTTGTCAGGGCGAATCCTTCAATTAAAATCCTCTAATGGCTCCTTCTGTCAACAAATTCAAACCCTTTAACATTTCCTTCTGCATTAAGTGTGATCCATGAATGAGACATGCCCCCTCATATTGCTAAACCTTTGTATGAGAAGGAGAAAAAAAGGAAGTTAATATGTGCCCAGCTCAATACAGCCATTGTAGAAAACATATGGAGGTTCCTCACAAGATTAGCTGTAGAACTGCCGTATGACCCAGCAATCCCACTTCTGGGTGTTTATCCAAGGAAATGAAGTCAGTATCCTGAGGAGAGAGCTACATTCTCATGTTCACTGCTGCATTATTCACAAGAGGCAAGATATGGAAACAACCTAAGTGTCCATCAATGGAAGAACATATAAAGAAAATGTGGTATATACACACATACAAGGAGATATTATTCAGCCATAAAAAAGGAAATACTGCCACTTATAGCAACATTGGAGGCATTGTGCTAAGTGAAATAAGCCAGGCACATGAAGACAAATACGGTATGATCTCACTTACATGTGAAATCTGAAAAAGGTGAGTTCACAGAATCAAAGAGTAGAACTGTGGTTGCCAGAGGCTGGGGGCCTGGGAAATGAGGGGACGTTGGTCAAAGGGCATGAACTTCCATGCCATTATAAGAGGAATAAGCTCCAGGGACCTGAAAGAAAGCATGGTGATTATAGTTCACACTGCTGTATCACAGACTGGAGATTTTCTGAGAATGGACCTTAAGTGTTCTCACTGCACTCTCAACCCTCAGAATGATAACTGTAGGAGGTGATGGATATCATGTTAGTTAACTTGGTTTCGGTCATCATTTTACAATGCATACATATATTAAGTCATCAGGTTGTGCACCTTAAAAAATAAAGATTCCAACCTGAAAAAAATCAAGTTGACTTTTGTTCTAAAATGAAAGTTGCTGGACCATCAGATATTATTAGGGTGTCTGAGATCATTAGGGATGTCTTCTGGGCTTCCAGTAGTAGCAACAGTCCCTACTTTTTGTTTGGGTTGGTGGTCAAAAGAATTGAGGAAAGATAGAGAAAGTTTCTCCCTCATCCAAGAAGCTGCAGTTTGGGGAGGTGGCCACAGAACCTGTGATACAGATGTTGGCTTAGAGTGTTAAATGCTTCCTTCTCCTGGGAGGAAGGGCATTGTGTATTTTTACATGCGTATCTTGGGAAGTTTACCCCATAAAGACCACGTTTCCCAGTGTGACCTGTGGAATGCCAGTTCTGTATGTCCTTTTAGAATTATTTTCCTCCCCTTTACTCAGATATTGAAACTTTAGTTTTTATTGATTTGGCTTGACAGCATTAAGATTGTAACTTAAATGGAAAGTTTCAACAATGAATTTTTTATATGGCCTTGCTGAATAAGCTCTGGCAAGATCATTTAAAAATAAGAAGTGTGCCCAGCTTGTGCCTTGTGCCAGGTACTGTGCCAGGCCACAACTCCTTTGTAAGGCAGATGTTATGTTCACTTGACAGGTAAGAGAATTGAAGCCCAGAGAGGCTAAGTGCCTCACCCAGGACCACACAGTTGCTAAGTGGCAGAACTAGCTTCTTTCTTCCTTGGTGCAAAGCTCAGGTTCTTTCCGCTTTTCTAAAACCAGCTGGTTCTGTGAGGTCTGCCATCTGAGGTTAAGTTAGTATTCATTGTCTAAGAAGTTGCTGAATATGTCTCTTCTGCTACTTATGTTAGAAATTTTGTAACTGATCGTCAGTTTCTGCTCAGCACCTAGTCCCTTGAATAGGCCAGATGGGCAGGTCCTGTGTGCTCCTCGTGTGTAGTAGCCCCTGAAGCCAGTAAATGAACATGGCCTATGACCCCTGCAGAGGTCCAAGGCAGATATCTTGGTTATAAAAAATGTCACTTTACTCAACCATCATAAAGAATTCTTGTAGTAACTTCAAGGCTATGACAATTATCCCATTCATGGTTACTTATAAAATAGTGTCTTGTAGGGACCCCTACCAGTCCAAAGACCTTTTAATTCCTTTAGAAGCAGCATTAGAGGAGAAGCTGCATTGTGACACTGCAGGTCACTGCTCTCTCTGTGAAAACAATGGCACCTTCACCACCCCATCCTGAACTCCCTTTGCAGTTTGCACAGGCCCAATTCCATACCCCAGGTACTAGCCCGCTCTGAGTGGCTTAAACAAGACATTTCCTCTCAGCTCTGGAGGCTGGAAGTCCAAGATCAAGGTGTAGGTGGGCATGGCTTCCTCTGAGGCCTCCCTCTGTGACTCCCACCTGGCTGCCCTCTCGCTCCCTTTCCACTCCATCGCCCCTCTGTGCAGCCGTCTTCTTTCTCTCTCTCTCACTGTGCCCCACTCTCTTCTTATACGAACACCAGTTAGGCTGGAGTAGGGCCTCCTCTAACAGTCGTTTCAGTGGAATTACCTCTTTAAAGGCCCTGTCTCCAAAGTCACATCCTGAGGTACTGGAAGTCAAGGCTTTAACATGAGTGGGGGCACAATTTAGTCCATAGCACCCCAACATTACTATTTTTGCCCAATAGCCTATTGCTACACGATCTTCTTTCCCCTTTCTCCCCGGCTCAGGCTCCCCTTTCCTGTGTCCTTGGAGTTGCCCGTGTACATTTCAAGGTGCACAAGACCCACCTCCTTTTCTTTCTCTCCCCTCCCAGCTGGTTTTGACTGTGGGCCTCCTGGCCGTGGTGGTTTATCTCTACACTGTGGTGGCATTCAACTTCTTCCGCAAGTTCTACAACAAGAGTGAGGATGATGACGAGCCCGACATGAAGTGTGATGACATGATGACGGTGAGAGCCTACTCAAGGCCACCTGGTCACCCGTCCTTGTTGGGAATTAAGAGCAGTGGAGTTGCAGAGGAGAACATAGATGCCCCATCCAAAGAGGAAAGTATCCTGGACAGACAGTAGTGATGGAAGTGGGTTTCATGAGCACTTACCGAAGGTTAGGTAGAAATACAGGCACCCCACAGAGCATGTAATTGGTCATTGTTCATCTGTAGTTGTTTGTGGCAAAGATGTGATTACTTATATCTAAGTGTGAATGGACCTGTACCTAAATGCATGCAAGGCAAGCTTTTGGTTCTTTGCCTCTGAGCTGGAGCAAAGTCCCATGGACCTGGTGCTCAGTTTATTTCAGCAAGTCAGTAGGCTGACAGATGAGACAGCAGTAGGATCAGGTGAGGGGCCTCCCCAGCAGGGGCGCCCCCTGTGGGAAGGATGGGCACAGCTCAGGGTGAGCGAGCACAGCAGCGGTGGCATCTCTACAAGTTCACGGTGACCAGATGTCAGGAGAACATGAGGCAAAGGTGGGAGACCGTGAACGGCCCCAGCCTGTGATTATTCCTCTAGAAAATGGGCAAGACTCCTTGCCTAAAAACGTTCCTATGCTTGCTTGGGGCAGCACCCTCATGTGACAGCAACACTACAGTTGCCAGAGCACTGGTGTGGCTGGCACCCATCTCCACACTGCCCTGGTGTCTGACTTCCCAAGTGTAAGGCCTAACCCATCCAGGCAGGAGGAGAGCTGCAGGGTGCCCTGCCCGATGAGCCGGTGCCCAGGTCCCTGCACTGGGCCACACGTGTGGCACAGAAGGAGAGCAAGTCCATTCTTTAAGGTGCTACAGGAATCCCTGCCCTACCAAGTGTAAGGCAAACGCAGGAGACGTAGAAGGGGCCTTTCTTCCCAGAGGTGGGAGCCCAGCCTGCCCCCTTATAATTAAACCACAGAAAACTAATGTCTGGCCTATGCCGTATGCGTTGGGGCTAAAAGGTCTTTTAACGTATGCACATCTTAAATGAATTCTCTTGTATGTATCAAAAAGTTCAAAACTTTTTAAGAATGCGAGCAAACAATATTGTTAAAGGCTAAATGTAACAACAGTCTTTCCCCCTGAGGAGACAGCAAACCGACAAAGGGCAGGGCGAGGCAGGGCCGCTGAGGTCACTGAAGAGCACCTTGCCCAGCTCCGGGTTGTCCCACCCCATCTGACTGCCCGGCTGACCTGACAACCATCTTGCTGAAAACGAGCACCACTCTGCACCTTCTACCCGGACTGACATTATTTTTCTTGTCCAGTGTTACCTATTCCACATGTATGTGGGAGTGAGAGCTGGCGGAGGCATTGGCGATGAAATTGAAGACCCTGCTGGTGACCCCTATGAAATGTACCGCATCGTCTTTGACATCACCTTTTTCTTCTTTGTCATTGTCATCTTGCTGGCCATCATTCAAGGTATGGCTTCTAGTTAAGTATGAACAGGGCTTAATCTAGTTCTCTGTACCTTCCTACAACAGCAGCCTAATTGTCTTATGTAGAGATCTGTACATGCATTTATTTGTTAATTCCACATTTATTGAGCATCTACTATATATGAGGCCATGCCTACAGATAAAGCCAAAGATTCCCTTGAGACAGTGATGCATGCTTAACTCATTTTTATGGTGCTTTACAAATGTTGCATTTTTTCACTAACTGAAGTCAAGCCCTTCTACCAGCCAAAAGATTACAACATGCTTTATTGAGTCTTGCTCTACCGAGGGGTCTGGAACCAAACCCGCAGTATCTCCAAGCTTTGCCTGTACAAGGAACAGAGCACCCCCTTCCTGCCATTCCCCACTCGGAACTCACCGTTCCCTGCTCCCCAGAGATTCCCTGTGTGTGGTCCTGCCCACAGCCTCCTGATTCCCGCCCGCCTCGTTTTCCTCCCTGGCAGTGGGGTGGGATAAGGCGGAGGAGCACAGAGAGGAGCTAAGAGCGTGTGATAGGGTTTCTCTTCTTTTCAGCGGAGGGGTGCTGATATTTAGTCAATACCTTGTCAGGAGTTAGTTAAAGGAATGTGATGAATTCAGTTTGGGTCATGGTGAGTTATGGTGCCTGTGAGATGTGCAGGTGTTGAGGGCTCCTAAGCAATTAACTGTAGTAGGTCTCTCAAGGAACAAATCAGGAATGAAATAATATAATAAATACATGTAAAATAAGTAGAAAAATACAAAAATGAGGTAAAACAATAGAAATGAGAGCCATTGTAGTGGGGCGGGGTGGGGAGTCAAAGATGCTGGCCTAGAAGAGATTCCCCAGAAAGAGAGACAAACTGAGGAAGAACCTGAGACACACCAATGCGTCAGGGGCGGGGAGAAGAGGGGGAGCCAACAGGAAGACAGGAAGTGAAAGGCTGAGCAAAACAGAAGGGGGAGAGACTGGGGAAAAAGGAAAATGTTTCTAGGAGGAGTGAATTGTTAGCAGCACACACTGCAGAAAGGCTGAGTCAGAGGAACAATGAGAAATGGTTAGCCAGGGTGAAGCATCTGAAGATAAAGTACTTTTTCCTGATTTTATTTTTACTGAATAGGTCAGCTTGATGATTTACTTTTTTACAAAACAAAGTGGCCTCTGCCATTCCTTCCATTTTCCTCTACCCCAAACCACTGAACAGATTATTTAAAAAACTTCCTCTGTCTTTACATGTAAAATCCAGGTCTTATTATTGATGCTTTCGGAGAGCTGAGAGACCAGCAGGAACAAGTGCGAGAAGATATGGAGGTGATGTTCTCCTAACTACTGTTTGTATCTCACAGCAAATGAAATGTATAAACAATAGGTTCTACTATTACTTAGGGCCAGCCCTGGGCAAAACTTCCAAAATATTTGTTTTCCACTCCTGTCCTCGTCTTGGTGCCTAACAGCTCTGGGCATTTAGGGCCCCACTCTGTGTTCTGCACCATTCCGTACCCCTCCTGGGCTGCTGCCCCCACCGTGCCCCGTGGGTGGGCACGAGCAGGCACCCTCAGCTAGCAAGGAGCTAGGTACTATGTGGCACTGCGGGGTAGATGACTAAGAGCCTGAGTACTTCAGAGAAGTATTTTTCAGGGTCTCTCAATGCAATCGGATACCCTCACCCTTTTCCCAACTGCCCATAATGCCTCACCATTGCCTTTCCTGCCTATTATTTTTCTAGACCAAGTGTTTCATCTGTGGGATCGGCAATGACTACTTTGATACGACTCCTCATGGCTTTGAAACACATACATTACAAGAGCACAACTTAGCCAACTACTTGTGAGTATTCTTGGTCCATGGAGGCAACGGGCAGGGGAAGGTATGGCAAAGTCAACCATTATGTCATTCAGTTCAGTCTCTGCTGATGCTGCCATTTCCTCCTACTTCAATGAAAAGTAGAGACAATTAGGAAAGAACTTTCCAGAAGCCCCCCTGAGTGTATGAGTGTCTTTGTCCATACACTCATCCCTCCCATGTTGTTGCAGACCTGTGTTGTGGACGGATGGCTCCTTCTTTGTGCAAAGGTCAGATGCCATCCCCCTGGGAAGGTCACATACCTCCAGCAATTTTTCCTTCTTTCCTAGAATTTTCCTACCATGCTACAATGTTTTTAACCCTAAACAGAGACAAAAGTCTGTGGCCCAACTTTAACCTATAGCTGTTGCCCTGCTTCTCTCAGTCCAGCAAACCTTAAAAGCACCGCGCTCACTGTCTGCAGTTTCTCCGCCCCGCCCCCTTTGTACCCACCCCAATCAGGGCTCCCTCCCCACCACCTCCTTGCCTTTGCAGCTGTCAAGGTGGCCAGTGACCGCATGTTGCTGGACTCCGTGACGTTCAGTCCTCACCGAGTCTGTCCTCTCCTAGTAATCCACAGGCTCTGTGAGAGCAGGGGGCAGGGTGGGGACGTTTTCACACGGCTGTATCCCAGCACTGAGGCCTGACACCCAGTAGGCAAAGAAAGAATATTTCACTTTTTTAAGGGAAAGCATCACTTAAGGACAAGTTATTCAGAGCCTATTATGTGCCGTGAACTGCCTGTGAAACTTACAGAATATAGAGAAAAGACGGATTACCCAAAATTCAGATTCTGTAACTAGGGGTGTCCAACCTGTGGCCTGTACACAGCCCAGGATCGCTATGAGTGTGGCCCAAGACAGCTCTTCTTCTCCCACTGTGGCCCATAGATGCCAAAAGGTTAAACCCTGTAAGAGCTCATTTGCAAGGAAAAGACAGACTGCCCCCTGGCCTAGTGTTTCCCCTGTGTCTACATTGTATTTAGAAAGGCCTGATCTTTCTTTAAGATGGAACAGGCCTGGCATCTGGCATAGGTGTCACTGTCAAAGAGCAGTAGCAAAAATGTAGTGTCTTGAGGCAAAAACACAAGTGTTTAAAAAATAACTTGGGCTCACCCGCCCTCAAGTCTGAGTAGTCAGCACTGTCCATGTGCAGTGCTGGAGTGCGCCTCCTAGTGGAGGTGATGGGGCAGCTGTCCTTCCACAGCAGGTGTGCACACGGCCTCCTTTTATGTCAGGACCAGCGACTAGAGAGGGGTGAAACAGTGCTATGCCCCGGGGTGCAGGACCCTCCCTGTCTTCCCCTAGCCCTCTGTATTATAATACTCCATTTTCTATCTCTGGGCCCCTCTACCAACAAGCTTGGGGTAAGAACTCATCTCATTCAGGTTTGAATGCCCCCCCCCCACCCCACATGGTGCTTTCTCAAATAAATGTGCTGGGAAAGGAATAATGTCCTACATGCCTGAATCTCAAACAAGGTAAGATATTGGCCATGCCTTGTTTCTTAGTCTGATAAAAGGAAGGAAGGAAACTAATATATTTATGGTCTGTGCTGAGAGGCACAATCTGAAGCTATAAACCTAAGGAAGGGTACCCTGAGAGAACTCAAATTTCAGGGCTCAGGCTCTCCTGACCCTCAGAAGAGCATTATTTCCACTTTTTTCTTACCAGAAGCCTCAGAGTCCCTTTCCTAAAGGGCACAAGACTGGTTCCCTTGGAAGCTGCTGCTGAGGTCATGGAACGAGAGCTGACAGCTCGGCCTCCCGGGAGCCTTGTGTGTCCCAGACACACAGGCTCAGCCCTCAGACGCGCGGCAGCCAGGGCAGGTGAACCCTCAGACGCGCGGCAGCCAGGGCAGGTGAAAGCATCATGGCACCGCTCAGTGCCCACAATAAAGACGAAACGCGCTTCTTGAAGAATCAGTGCAACTTAAATACAGAAATTCCTTATCCTCTAGACAAACATACAATTTCAACTCTACATTCTTATGATAAATTGGCCTACTAAAAATTACAGTGTTTGAGTTATTACTTTATTATTTAATTGGGATATTTTTAAACAAAATGGTAGGCAAAATGTTTCCCCACAAGTGATCTTAGCTCAAGGATTGGAGATGGTAAAAAGGGATCTCTCTTCATCAAAGGCTAATTGGAGATTAACCTCACATTATTAGAAAATGATGGTTTGTGTCTTTTTGCCACAGTTCTCCAATTCAGAGAGGCCTAGTAGGCAGCACGATACTAGAAACATATGTGAGGCCCCTGTCTGGTTCAGATAAATGAAATTAGGTTTCCTAACTGAAGTATCTAATATTGCATTTTACTCATTTATTATACCTTTCTCATTCCTTCCAGGTTCTTCCTCATGTATTTGATTAACAAAGACGAAACAGAGCACACAGGTCAGGTGAGGAAAAAAAGTTTCTAAGTAAGAATTAAGAATTACCCACCCCCACCCCATCCCATGTTAGAGGTTCCCTGGTCCCAAGACTCGGTTGAGCACAGGCTGCGGGAAGAGACAGATGATCCCAGCAGTCTCCTCCATGCTTTCCCGCTGCTCTCTGCATTACTCCATCATCCCTTTGTGATGCAACCCCAGTCTCCTCCAAAGACTTCCTGGTTACCCTTCCCAACACACACTGACATTATCTAAATCCTTGTGGTTATTGCTTCAGAGTAAAGTAGCTGGAGGTTGGGGGAGCATTAGAGGGAAAAAAAGCAATGAGGAGCTGAGTGGGTGGCTACACAAAGAGCAGGAGAACCAGAGTAAAATGCTGCAACAGACAACGTAAGAAGGAGAACCTTATGTGTGAATGGCACGGGGCGCGGGGGGTGAGTATGAATGAAGGTACACGTCAAAGGTATTCTGTGACAAAGGATGAAAAAGAAATGTAAAGACAGAGGACACAGGAGGAAGAGGCAGGTTATCAAATATTCACACATTCCTGGATTTGCAGGAATTCTTCACAGCTCAAACTTTTGAGAGAGAGGAGGGCAGCTGGTCTCCAGATCTGGCTTCAGCTGTCCAGGCGTGTAAGCCAGTCCTCAGTGTTCCCTCAGCTTGCATTTTTCTACCAATTACAAATGACATGGCATCAGCCTATCACTCAATCTTTAAGTATTTTTTAGTGACAATCGGTGACTTGGTCTCAGTCATTTGGAGGAAACCTGTAGCTCCCCATGGGTTGGGCACAGAGCAGGAAAGAGTATGCCGGCTGAGCCTCGTGTAACCCACATCAATGTTCCTAAAGGGACATGCACAGAACAAAACCGGAGTTTTAGCTTTACTGTGGTTTAAAAAGCAGTACCTCTCCCCCACCCCCTTATTTCAGGAATCTTACGTCTGGAAGATGTACCAAGAAAGGTGTTGGGATTTCTTCCCAGCTGGTGACTGCTTTCGGAAACAATATGAAGATCAACTTGGATAAATCTGAATGAAAGACACTCCACAATTCTAGACTGTCAAGTTAAAGTGAAATTAAAATCCTTCTTTTACACTTCAGTGACATTTTTAAAAGGTGACATTTTCTAAATGCCTCCCTTACCACAAGAAAAGTGTTTGTTAAAAAATCTGAGTGATATTTGGAATTGATTTGGCTCTTTGTGCCGAATGGACATGCTCTGTGAGAGACAGCCTGTCACAGTGTTCGGCCAAGGACTCGAGTTGAATGCCCTCCAGTTCTCCAAGTCTAAGGTACCTGGTTTGTCGGGATGGCATCACCAAGAAAAGAACGAGAGCATGAGGTCTTGAATGCGTAATACATGAACTTTAAAACACTTGATTGTCACATGACAGTATCCACCAGTGACTCATGGTCTGAACTACAAAAAATCATTTTAACTGCAGTCTAATTTCTCCCATGGTACTTGCTAGTGAATTTACCCAGAATCAGCTCGAAAAGCTTTAAGCAGTTAAACAGAAATAGGAAAAAAAAAAACCCACTTTGTCGACACTGAAATATCGATTAAGTGCCTTAAAATATCTTTAGATATAGCTATGCAAGTTTTTTATGTTCATGTCCCAGACGGAAAGTTCCATTAAATAGTTATGCCGATCTCTGGTCTTAAGAAACTGCACTTGAAGGTTATTCATATTTTTTTTTCAGTAACAGCTGTCAATTGCTGTTATTAGAAGTACTGTACTGAAAACTCAGAAAAATCTCAATCTTACGCTAAATTGCGTAATGCTTTATGGTCCCTTGTAAGTAGTGGAGCTGCTATGTTTAGGTGAATCTCTCTAAATAAAATGAAGTGCCCACTGCAATAAAGTATTACATGCCAATCTGTGGTTCGGCCTCTTGTAATGCGCCACTTCTGAGTGATTCTACAACCCCGCCCAGAAAAGAAGAAAACTCCACAGAACAGCATTGGTTTATTCCGGCCAAATGCACGCCTTGTGGCTTGCTCTAGTCCCTGCAGCAGCAGAGCTTGCTATGTTACTACATAAACAGTGAGAGGAAGAAGGCTGGAAACAAGCGCTATAACATCTCCTGCCCTTGATGAGTCTCTTAGATTACTGAGCCAGAGAAAAATGCAACGAGCCTCTTCAATGTATCGTGTGGGGTGCTGTCAAATACAGAGGCGGGTGTTCGCTGTGGTGGTGGGGGTGGAGCGCACTGGCTTGGGTTCGCTGTCCTTCACGGACAGCCTGGGCCCGTCCTCACTTACAGAGCAACCAAAATCAGCTTCAGGCACTTTTTTCCTTTTCTGTCTCTTTTTCTTCTTTTGTTAGGAAATCATGCTGTCCAGCCAGTCTTCAAGTTCTTCCTCGGTAACGTTTTTTGATGTGCTCGGTTGCACAGATTCCAAGTTCTTTTCTTCCATCACAGACAGTTTCGCTAGAACTGGGGAAATAAGAGCAATGTGAACGACTTCGCATTAGTCCGCAGACTGAGGGTTAAGGCTCCCCTGGGGTTTGTCCCATGATGTAACCATAATTATTACTTTTCTTACAGCAAGGGGAAACATGCCATTATTATTCTTGTTCCCTAAGAAGATACAATAATAGCTAAACAAATTAATAAACAGGGTAGAAATATGCTCCTCTATTTATTCTTAAGTTGAATTTCACAGTTCACTAGTTTTTTTATAAAGACCAACAGCTCGGTTTTCTTTTTACTATTGTAGCAATCCTGAGAAGTCATTAAAGGCTCTCGAAAGCAGTACAGGGCCGGGGCAGTTGCCGTCGGCCTCTCCACACCACACAGGCCACCATCTCACCCAACATGCACGATGAGGAAGTGCTCTTCTTTCATAAAAAAAATAAGATCAAAATAGCAAGCACGACATAGGCAGCGTTGGTTAACTGGCCTGTTCAGACAGTCAATTAAAATCCTGCTGCTGCACAGCTGAGGGCAGCGAGTACCATGATGCCTTTTTATAGCACAGGTTCAGTTCGCAGCCCAGGTTGCACATTGCAGTCAGACAGACAGCAGCTTTTGGAAACCGGTATATGGAGTGAGAGAAAGGTCAGCACAGGGGAGGCGGAGATGTGAGCACGGAAATAGATGTCAGGAGACAACGCCAGTTCGGTGTCAGACACCAAAGGACTTATGTACGGATGTGACACGGGTGAGGCTGTCCTCACCACAACACTAGAATCAAGAAGACGGTTAGGGAATGAAATGAAAACCATACCTTTTTCCTCCTGGGCCGCCACCTCCTCATCTTTCTCAGATTCCAGGGCCTGGGGTATCTGGTCTGGTAAGAGGTCATCTCCCGCTTTTACAGGTGCATCTAAGTTAAGCAGCAGATCTAATTCTTCTTCCAAGTGGTCTGCTGCTGATGGCAGTGGGGAGGCGGGTTCCTGGGAACCCTTTGCAGGGCCCGGACTTGGGCTGTCCTTACCCAGGTGCACAGGACAGCCAGCAGCCGCAGATTTCTGCTCAGGCACAGACCCCTTTCCTCCAGGCCCCATCGGCCCTCTGAACTGCATGCCTAGTCCCTTGCCTTCATCATTTCTCTTCGGTTTCACCTGAGGAAGCTCTAAAGGAAGGGCAGTCTGAAAGAGAAGCATAACTGAGTTGAAAATGTGAATCCTGCCACACTTGCTTACACAGAAACAGAAGCTAAGGAAGACATCAAACTCCACAGATAAGAGGTAATTCAGACAGGAAGTTTACCAAGGGTCTCCAGTCTGGGCCTGCGCAGCAGCCTTCCCAGCTGATCTGGGGTCAGTGTGGGCGGGACGCCTCACTGAAACATAACAGGGCTGTACTTCCCACTCCCCCCACCTCGGCTCTGTGCTGAGAGCTGAAATCAGAGGGTCATGTCTTCCATCAGGCCTGAGCAATGACAGTGCCACAGGTCTACCTGAGTGTATACTTACATCTGTGATGAGATTTAAACTTCTATAAAAGGTACTGAGAAGCAAATGGCAAAGCAGATCTGTTAACGGTACAAAAGCACTAAAATGTAAAGGGACACATTCACAGAGAAGGAAACACTGACAGGCTCTCCATAATGAGTAAGAAATGCCAGATGTGAAAGAAACATACTATCTGACTGCATTTTTAAAAAGCCAAAAACAGGCAAAACTGATCTTTAATACTAGAAATCAGGATAATGGTTTTAGGAAAATAGTGACTCGGAGTAGTGGGAGGGAGAGAGCTTCTGGAGTCCATGGTTATAAAGACTATCATTTATGCATACACTTTTCTGTACCCACATCACAATTTAGTAAAAGGGAAAAACTCCCCAGGTGATGCTGATGCAGAGCTCGGGCTGAGGGCCGCTGCTCCGGAGAGAGGCCTGGGCGAGCATGGCGTCAGAGTGAGTGGAGGGGTTCAGAATGAAGTTCAACTACCACTGGCTGCATTGTCCCGTTTGTACAGTAAAGCAACTAGCAGATCCAATTTGCTAATAGCTCTTCAGGGCTTTTAAGACATCATGATTATACACACAAAGTTAAATGTTCATCCATCGCTGTCAGGGTGTGGGCGAAGCTGGGATGCGGTCTTCACCTCTAATCCTGGAATCATCTAGTGTCCAGGTGTCTGCCATCAGTCAGTTTGTTTACCTCCCCCAGGGGGTCCCAGTGTACAAATACGGCTGAGATTAATTGCTGTGCACCATGGCACAGAGGACAGGAGTGGGGTTTTAAAACAATTTAGCCAGGGTTTCAAAGTTACTGCAGTTGCTATATATTTTTACTCTTAAGGCCTGCTGCCAACACAGCCTTCACCTTCAAATTCTTACTATACTTCCTGTTTCCCTCCTGAGTCTTGGGTCCGCCCTCACCTTCATGTCAGTGGTTCCTTGATGTGTTCTGTTCACCATTCCTCAAGGTGTGTCACCAAACTGATCAGGTAAGAACCTCGAACACCTGGACACCCAGCAGGAAAAGTAGCATCCTCCCAATCACTGGGACAACCCCAAAGACCGCCCCCCAACATTGGAGCGACTCCCAATCAGAGCCAAACGCTGTCCTCTGTACTTCCCCGCCCTGCCCTGCCCCTAGCTGTCCTCCAGCCCCGACATCTACTTGCTGCCCTGAATTAGAGACTCGTAAGTGCAATAGAAACAGCACCACATTCAACTGCAGAACAAAGTTGAACACTTTAGTTGCTGGGATTCTATTTAAAATTAGTACTGCCCAGGGTTTCACTTTAAAACTTTCAATCAAGCCACAATTAAATTTTGAAGTTCGTAAAGTACCGTCCTTGGGCCTTTTCCCCTCAATTGCCATCCTATATGGATATCTCCCAAATTTCTACTTCTAGCCCCTAATTCTGAACTATACATTTCTATATCTGTTTGGCTAATATTTTCACTTTGATATCTCAGAGGCACAAACCCATAATGTCCAAACCTCACCCTTCCTGGTACCACCAGCCACGGAGTTGTACAGCTGGGGAACCTAGAACAATTCCTCGCCTGCTCTCTCTCCATCTCAGTTCTTCCCGAAGTCTTCTTGTCTTTTAAAGTACCTCTTAGAAAAGTCCAGTTCTGTACCATCTCTACCATCATCACGCTGGTGGTCCTAGCCGCAGTACTGCCCACCTGGACCCATGCGATTACCTCCTCGTTTGCTTCCCCTCGTCTCCTCTCCTCCTGTGAGTGCAGTTTTACCCATGAACACCCGCCCCCATCCCACAGCCCACTCCCCATCTACAGCCAGCAGGTTCTTGTTACTGGTTTGTTGGCAGTGCTGTTAATGCAGATCTATTGGGTCACTCTTCTCTAAATTTCAAGTCAAATGTTCCTCTGCTTTGGATCTCAGCTTATCTGTCACTTCTTCAGAAAATCCATTCCTAATCACACCAAAGTAGATCAGGTTCACTATCATGTACTCACATAGCACAGTGTGCTTCTCCTTCAAAGAAGTTACCACAATTTGTACAGTTGTGTGATAATCTGATTAGTACCCATTTTCCCCAATGGATTAAGCTCCACAAGGGCAGGAACCATGTCTGTCTCCTCAAACGTTGTATTCTTAGTACCCAGCATGATTATCTTGAGAAAAATACCAGCCAGATTTTATACTTTTACATTTCATTCAACTCCATTACATTTGATTCTTCAAAATGTTTCAATTCTTTTTTAAAAAACTTTTAAAAAATTAATTCATTCTCCCTTAAAACTTTACAAAATGCTACCTGACCCAAAGCCCTCAGCTTTATGAAAAGAGAAGCTGAGTCTGAGACCTCGCACTCTTTTTCACCTCCTGCCCTAATGCACACCAACTGGAAGATGCCCTTGGGGTTTTTACCTGGACCAATTCAGCAGCAACGTTGAGGCGTAGAGAGAGAGGCAGTTCTTGAAGAGCTTGAACCAATGATTCACAGTCCACGTAAAATGCTGAATTCTAAAGATAAATAAATAAGAAAAATACCTATACCATACATATACATGTGATACATATTTCTGGTGATGGTTACATGTGAACTTTTTAGAAATAAAAGAGCACAAGATGAAAGTAACTATAAAAAAAAATATTCCCTGGATTTTCATTCAGCTGGGTCTCAGATAAAAAAATCACTTGATATGATTCAGTGTATCACCTCTGAGTTAAGATGGGCAAAAAAAAACAAACAAACAAACAAAAAACAACCACAACCTTCCTGAGCCACTGCTCACGCTGTAGGAGCAGCAGGGCAGTGATGCCCCCACCATCAAGAATGCATGGTAACCTGAAGACTGGGCACTCTTGGACTTAACCAGCAAACTGAAAGAAAAATAAGCATTAATAAAATCTAAGTGGATGCCTCCCTCAAATTCAATGGCTGACCTTTGGGATGGGGAGGGGGGAGGCACAGCCCTAGGAGCCCAGGCGGCACCTGCTAACAAGGAAGAGAGGACAGAAACCCACCAACAGCAGGCAGCACGCTGTGTGAGGCCACCACTAAAGGCTCCCTTTGACTCCCTTCCCGTTCACAGATGTGAGTCACACCCCTTCGAGGACCTCCCAAGTTGACAGTATTTGAAAAAGCATTCAGGATTATCACAGGGCTTGATACTAGTTTAACAGCTGCTTCTCAGTGCCCTGGCCACTCAAGAGAAGGACAAAACTAAATTAAGGTGGTTACAATGACCTCACATTAGAGGCACACAGCACTGACCACCTCACCTAACAGGGACAGCCACAGGTCCAGCTAGAACCACGTCTTAATCTATAACCACTGACTAACTTCAAGTTAGAAGAAAATCCAGGGCTCATCTAGTCCAATCTCCAGTCCCCTGCAGGAATGTCTCGGGTAGATGAGTTTAGACTTCGGACAGAGGGTCGGTCATTCCTGGTGCACTCAAGAAGAACTCGAAACGAAACCCAGACCCACGCTCACCCCTAACCCTGACAACAGCAATGCATGGGGGTCAAAGGAACAATGAGGCTTTTCCACTGCCCTTCTGAAATTTTCCAAAGACAGATAGCTCTTAGGCAAGGAACCTTGGCAGCACCAATTGTGGCCCCTTGTCCTGGAAAAAGGGGGCTTACATTTACATCTAAAAAAAAGGATTTAGGTAACAGATGGATAAGAAAAGCACTGATAAGAAAGTAAGAGCTTCAGTAGGCTGCAGGCCCTTCCTCCCCACTGCACACACACCTCACTGCCGAGATCCAGGCCAGCAGGGCCACATCTTTGTGTTCAAGTTTGGAGACGCTCTCTTGGCCCACTGTAAGGTGTGATCTTGAGTGCTTGACACATGGGTAAGTCACCAAATTACAAACTAGAAATCTCACCCTCCCCACAGCTAAACTGTCTGCAAGGCCACACATGCAGACCCCTTCATTCAGCCTCTAAAAGGGCGAGAAACTTTCCCTCCACCACCTGTTGCTCTCTCAGCTCTCCAGAGAAGAACTGTTGAGACATTTCAGGGGCTGGCTAAATGTGCCCAAACTTCCTCTGTGCCCTTCTGCATCCCGTGCAAGATGACTACAGGGTACACCATCAACAATGAGAGGTGTGTGAGACTGACCGCAGAGAGATGCGGGAACAGCCAGGCTGTGCTTGGGAGCCACGCTCTGAATGACGGACACTTGGCCATGTTTGCGACTAGAACGTCTCCTCCCCACGCATTTCTAATGTCCACCCACCATCCACGGCCTGGCTGACATTGCACCACCTCCACGATGCCATCCAGACATTGGAGCCACCACAGTAATTGCTCCTCATCTCCTTGCAGGCGTCCCAGAGCCCAGGACCTGCCATCAAGTGCCACTTTGTAAGAGTCCCTTTTTCATCACCAATTTGCCCCTTAACAGGCTAAAGCTGAAAACATTAGATGAAAAGGGAGCTGAAGTGACTTGTTCGTAATAAGTAAAGTGTAAATTTTACAATTGGTTTCAATAGAATAATAACCACAAATTAGATTTTTGCTACAAGATTTTAATTTAAAATAACTGGTAGTCTAATTTTTGCCTGGAGAGCCCAGTCCCTACATCCACTTGACCAACTCTGACGGTCACTTGAGACTGGAGCATGCAGCCTGGTCTGTGATGCCAGGGCACCCAGATGCCTTCTCTCCCGCAGATGCTGAGGCTGGCAGAGGGGAGCAGGCTTGGCTGTTAGCACAAAGACCCCCCCGCCCCACACCACTTCTCTGCCATCAGTGTGCACAGAAGTCCGTCTGGGGGTGAGAGTCTGTAATCCTGAAGGTCCCTCTTGTCCAGGAACCTTATCAGGCTCTGAATCTCAGAGTCTTTGTAAAGATACACTATTTGGTGTGAAAAGAACATACTGGATACTCCATTTTGCAGCTTAAACAAAGCCTAGAACTGTGTTCCTTTGGTTCTATTCCACCTTGCTGAGAAGGATCACCATAGCCTTTGCTCAGGCCATTGTGCCCTCCTCCAGAGCTACCACACGGGCTGTATTCACATGGGACTCAGGGCGACAGGTACACTCCAAAGAAGTGCCCACCCAAATCAGGCCGCACCTTTTAAAGGGGTGCGGAGCTTTTCAAGATGTAGGTTCTCAGGCCTCACTCAGAGCTGGGCTCTGGGGGGTGGACCTGGGAGTCTACACCTTTAGAAGCCAGGCGTTCAGGAATCACTGCGTGTCATCCAGCACTCAACAGTTGCTTAAGTAGTTCTGTTAAATAAATAAGTCACCATGTCAACAAAATGAAAAATGAAATGAAAAAGGTGATCTTTTCAAAACAGATCTATTTTTTCACCTAAAGAAGTTCTCCTGTCTCCCTTTCCCTCCACACATGTCCCCGTACTATCCGAAGGAAAGATGTGAAAATCCCACTCATGGACCGAAGGGACAGCTCCCCTGCAGTAACTAACGTGCGCTCACCACCAGGCTTCGTCGCCATCACCCTGCACAGGAACCACAAGGAAACGAAGGCAAGTCAACGTGATGGTGCTGGGTCCCTCTCCTATAAGGACGTCCTTTGAGGACCTAACGCGTCCCACTATCGAATTCCTACTTTTTCCCCTTTCTCTGTATTGTCTTGTGCCACTGGTTGCACTGGGGGCAGAGGGGGCATGAGGGAAAATACATACATGTATTAGTGTGTGTGATTACACAAATACACATATATAATTTCCTCTCTTTTTCTCTCTCAAGCCTACAGGAAGAAAGAGGATTTAAGTGGGACAGAAAACAGTTTTGATGCGGAAATGATAAATTCAGTTTTGACTATGTCCCACCAATACCTCAACTCAGAATGTTCAAAATCAAACTTGCCTTCTTTCTACTCTCCTTTGCCCCACTAATGGCATCACCACCCACCTAGTCTGGATGTACAACTACAAATCTTTCTTGTCCCCATGTTTCGTGTTTGGTCAGTGCCACAAGCCACCTCGTCCTCTGCTGAAGTCCCATCATCTGTAGCCCTTTCCCACCCTCACTGCCTCCCACTGTCAGGCCCCATCCCTTCCCACTCACCCAACATAATATCCTCCCTAAATGCTTTCCCTGCCTCCAGCCGCTGAGCTCTTCAGCTCCTTCTTCTCATTAGCTGAGTTCAAATCTAGCCATTTCTATTTTCTTGCTAAACTAAACTTCTGTGAACAAATCATTGTAGTCATATGAGCTAGTTTTCTATGCTCCCTACATGTCAGGAACTATGCTAAAAGGCTTTTATTTTTTAATTTAATCCTCATTAAAGCTCCAAGTTACCTTTTATTATTCGTTATATTTTACAAATGAGAAAAAAAGAGAAGGAAGGGAGTTTGCCAAAGTTGTAGAACAAGGATCCACACTCGGGTTTGTCTCTCACATGCTAAACTGCCCCTGGGAGAAAATGAGGACCAGACTGCTGGTACTAACTAGTCCAGACCTGGAGACTCCTCCTCTGGAGAAACTGCACTCCAGCGACACTCCCCAGCTGAGCGCAGCTCGGTCTCTCAGATCACCTCTTCCCTCTCCTGTGGTTCCCCTGGGCAGGACCTACCAGAATCACACTCATCCACAAGGGCCCATTCAAATGATCTCTTTCCCATGGCACTGCTCTCAATCACTTCCAGCCCACTATAGCTGTCTCTCACAGAAGTATGTTAGTTCATTTATTACACCACTTACTTTATGTTGCATTCTTTTTCATTTATTACATAAATATTTACTGATCATCTACTATACATCAGCCCCTAAGGTAGGGCACTCAGGGTGGTGAACTAGCATGCCTCTGTCTTCTTCACCTTTGAATAAGCTGTGTCTGATAAAATATCTAGTAAATAATGGTTGCTCAGTGCTTTGATGCCAACATGGTTCAAAAAGAGCTGAAATGTGAGTTGTTTGGTTTTCACCATATTCGTCAATGATCTCAGTTTGTCTGTTTTCAACTTGTCCTAGAATTCTAAACTGTATCTCAGGTACATGCCCAAAGAGACTCAAGCAAAGGCAAATATTTTTAGTTCCTAACTCCCTGTATATTATACTACATACTCTTTGCAAAGTGACAGGCAGTCCTTTTACAAGTAACTTCCATTACTTCAGTTTGTATAAGACAGTGTCCATCCCAAACAACTAAACACCACCAGCCCAGAGATAAAATGAGCCACCTACAGTGTGCGTACTGTGCTGGTACTGGAATGGGGAAGAGGGTGCCTTACCTTTGGGCTTTGGGTCTGCTGCTCAGCCACCTGGGTGAGGCCGTGGGCAGACTGTCTAATCACCGTACCAGAGAGTATGCACTAGCCCTGGAATCGGGGAGCATATGACAACCCACTAGTAATTCTCTGTGCATTTTAAAGGGTGAAAAATACCTGTTCTCTCTCATATGGAAAGAATTGGTGAAATCATGCTTGAAAAATAATCAAAACTCTTTGGGAAGAAAATATGGCATGAACCCAAAGCAAAATAATTGGGTTTTATAGATTCTCTGAAAGACATCTGTGATTTCATTCCTATTTGATAGCTTTAATTCTCCTAATTCTGGAAGAGGAGTTATTTAAAGTTATAATGTAAGGGATTTTTTAAACACCAAAAACAATGTGGAGGAAAAAATTAATTTTCAGCCCTAAGGAGAATTTTCACAAAAATGGAAAAGAAGGAAGCCCAAATGGCAAAGTAATCAACTCAAAATCATGACTATTAATTTCCTACCTTGCATGCTAGTCTGTGTGAGCAATTTACACAGGTAGGCAAGTATGAAGGTGAACTCTACCTTCAAGGACCTATAAAACTTAAGCTCCCTGAAAATTATATGAGCAATGTAGGTAACTGAGACTAAATTGTACATGAATTACTAAAATCTTTTCTATGTAAACACTCTACCTCAACAATAACTTCAGAGGACCATCTTCAGCCTTAAGAAGAGCCATCACTCACATTCAAGACAATCCATCTTACCTGCTTTGGACACGAAGCCTCACCATCCCACTCTTTCTCCTCAGCAAACCGGAACTGTGAGAAGGAGTCCCCTAGAAACAGAAAAAAACATACAACTTTATGCAAAAGCCAAAGGAGAACACTCAGTTCTCTACACTCCCCTTTCAGAATAAAAGTACCATTTGTGAAGAGCTAACCATCCTGAACTCTGTGATATCTTTCAATGGAAGGACCTGGCTTCCACATCATCACACAGCAATCTGTGCATGGTGGACACTTGAAAATATTGTCAACAATGCATTTACTGTCCCATTCAGGCCTCAGTAAGTCACTATCCTACATGCTGGCCTGAACTGTACAGACCAGCAGATATGGCCATCTACCCATATTTAGCATATTGTCATCTTATCTGCTTAAGGCAGGGTTGTCAAACTCATTTTTACCGGGGACCACATCAGCCTCACAGTTGCCTTCAAAGGGCCCAATGTAATTTCAACTCCTTAACAGTTAAGGAGTAGTTACATTTATATACTCCTAAAATTATTTCAGTTCTTTGAAGGCAACCACAAGGCTGATGTGGCCCCCAGTGAAAATGAGTTTGACACCCCTGGCTTAAGGTAAGCAAGGAAACTTACAGTTATGATTTTGGGGTGGGTACAGCAGAAAAGGATGGAGAAGAACAGAAATGAAGGGAAGTAGTTCTAGACTGATCCACAATACAACAGACTTAAAATATCTCTTTGAGGTAAGGTTATGAACCTCAATCATCACTCCAAAAATCAACTGCTTAGAATGTCAAATGCAAGAAAAAATCAAAGAATGTGTATTAGATAGTTAATGTGAATCATAGTACACTGCTCTGATCTCTCGGAATAAAGGAATATCAAGTTGTAAGACAGACATAAGCATGCATGAAAGAAAATCCTGTACAGCAAGCTTTGACATAGACTTATTTTGTAAATGTGTACTTATCTGATTATTTGCATGAAAAACAGCTAATTTATAAATGAAGAATTATTTCTTGGCCTAGCTTTCAGGATCCTCCAAAATGTGGTCCTACCTCATTAACCCACATTTACTGCCTATTTCTTCAGACTTTCTGCTCCAGAGTGAGCCTTTTCCATATTCCAAACATACTTCATATTCCACACTGGCCTCACTTCTGTTTTAATCCTTCACTCTCATCTGGAAGATCCACACACTTCTACCCAGTTATATTCTATTTATACGTCAAAAACTCAGGTACAACCCACTTCCTCTACCTCTGATACCCCTGTGGGGATTTAACCATATATTTGTTCTTTACTTCTACATTAAAAGGAGGGGAAAATGAAGAACTCAAAATTAAAGAGACAAAGATAAATTTAAAGATGAAAACTATGCCAATCCCACCAATCCCAAAACACATGGATCACAACGTTAACATTTGACAAGCTCAAATTCAAGGCCAAAAGGACCGAGAATGACACTCTTTATCATGAAAAAGGGTAAAATCACTACTCATATTCCATGGTAAAACAATCTGATCCCCCAAAAAGTATGATACAAAGAATCTGAATAATATAATTAATAAGGTCTTGCATATGGATGTAGATGTATGTGTATTTGTGCATGTATGTACTATGATTGAATATATGAGGTCTGTCCGGATAAAGTCCAGCCATTATTAATATAACGAGAGTGGTTTGCATGACATTGATGCAACCTGGCAGCCAAGGAGAGAAGACTGGAATGTGCGTGCATAAACAATGATGACTTCACTGTACTAGTCAGTGGTGGGGGAAGGGGTATTACACCATCGAGTGAGCACGTATACTATGTGGCTATCGCATTCAAAATGACTGAGCAAGTAGAGCAACAAGTCTGCATCAAATTTTGTGTTAAGCTTGAACATTCCTCTGCTGAAACTATTCAGATGATTCACAAGTCTTTTGGAAATGATGCAATGAGTACAGCGCAAATAAAAGTGTGGCAGAGATGCTTTAAAGATGGTGGAGAATCTGTTGAAGGTGATCCCCGCTCTGGAAGGCCTGTAACAAGCAGTGCACCTGAGAATGTTGAACGTGTCCAGGCTGCAATCAACAAAGATCAGAAACTGACAGTGCAAGAACTAGAAGCTAATTTGGGGATTCCAAAATCTACTGTGTCTGAGATTTTGACACAGGATCTTGGCATGAAACGTGTCAGGGCAGAATTCGTTCCCTGGCTTTTGCTGCCAGAGCACAAGGAGCATCGTGCTGCATTTGCTAATGACCTAATTCAAACCCCTACCAAGGAACTGGATTTCTTCAAGAAGGTCATAATTTTGAAGGGGACCAAGGTGTCACTGTCCTATGTACAATGTGTCTTGTATCTGGTGTTTTCTCCAATAAAGGCATTTTTCATTTTACATGGCTGGATAATTTCTGGACACACCTTGTATGTGTATACTTTATAAATATCTGTGCAACATTAATTTTTAAAGGTACTATAAAAAGGCCACAAAACTTCAACAAATCCTAAAATGTAATAGTTATATAAACCATATTCACTATTGATAAATATCTGTAGCACATATTGGTAAAGAGCATCTCTTACATAAAAAGAACTTTGTTCAATCAGAATAAAACCATCAAATAGAAAAAAAAGGGGGTGAGAATATATATGCATGATCTATATAGATTTATATGTATAAATCTATTGTTATATATACATATGAAATAAATAATAAATGAATAAATTAAAGATCAATCTGGCTACCTGATATCAAACATACAAGAAGTCTGTAATAGTAAAAACAGCATGGTACTGGCACAAAAACAGACACATAGATCAATGAAACAGAATACAGAGCCCAAAAATAAACCAACAGTATATGACAAAGGAGGCAAGAACATACAATAGGTAAAGACAGTCAATTCGATACATGGTACAAAATTAGACCACTTTTGTACTAAAAACAAAATTAGACGTTTTTTTATCCTCACTCAAAGATATATTCATTGATTTCAGAGAGGAAGGAAGACAGAAAGAAACATTTATGTGAGAGAGAAACAGCAATTGGTTGTGTCCTGTATGAACCCCAACTGGGGATCAAACCCACAACCTTTGCAGATCAAATCTGCAATCTTTTGGTGTATGGGACAATGCTCCAATCAGCTGAGCCACCCAGCCAGAGCTATACCTTCTTACACCATGTACAAGAATAAACTCAAAATGAATTAAAGACTTACATGTAAGACTTGAAACTATAAAACCCCTAGAAGAAAACACAGGCAGTAAAATCTCTGACATTTCTCTTAGCAGTATTTTTCCTGATATATTTCCTTAGGCAAGGGAAACAAATGAAAAACAAATAGGACTGCATCAAACTAAAAATGTTTTGCACAGCAAAAGAAACTGTCAACAAAATGAAAAGACATCCTACTGAATGGGAGAAGATATTCACCAATGATATATCCAATAAGGGGTTAATATCCAAAATATATAAAGAACTCAAACTACAACAACAAAAAAACAAACCAATTAAAAAATGGGCTCACAGCCAATAAACATATCAAAAGGCACTCAGTGTCACTAAGCATCAGGGAGATGCAAATTAAAATCACAATGAGACAACACCTCAGACCTGTCAAAATGGCTATCATCAATAAATCAACAAACTACTAGTGTTGGTGAGGATATGGAGAAAAGAGAACCCTCATGCACTGTTGGTAGGAAAGCAGATTGGTGTAACCATTATGGAAAACAGTGTAGGGTCTCCTCAAAAAATTAAAAATGGAACTGCCTTATGACCCAGAAATTCCACTTCTGGGTATATGCCAAAGAAACCCAAAACACTAATTTGAAAGAATATGTGTACCTCTATGGTCACTGCAGTGTTATTTACAAGAGCCGAGCCATGGAAGCAACCCAAGTGCCCATCAATAGATGAGTGGATAAAAATGTTGTGGTACGCCCTGGCTGGCGTAGCTCAGTGGATTGAGCTTGGGCTGCAAACCAAAGCATCATAGGTTTGATTCCCAGCCAGGGCACATGCTTAGATTGCAGGCCACAGCCCCCAGCAACCGCACATTGATGTCTCTCTCTCTCTCCCTCTCTCTCTCCCTCTCTCTCCCTCTCTCTCCCTCTCTCCCTCCCTTCCCTCTCTAAAAATAAATAAATAAAATCTTTTTTAAAATCTTAAAAAAAAAAGAATTGTAAAAAAAGATGAAAAAAAAAGTTGTGGTACAAAGATGCAATGGAATATTACTCAGCCATAAAAAAGGAAATCTTACCATTTGTGTAAACATGGATGGACCTAGAGGGCAATATGCTAAATAAAATAAGTCACACAGAGAAAAACAGCTACCATATAATTTCACTTATATGTGGAAGCTAAAGAACAAAATAAATAAACAAAATAGAAACAGACTCATAGAGGCAGAGAACAGACTAATGGTTGCCAGAAGGAAGCAGCATTGGGGATCGGGTAAAAAAAATGAGGGATTAAGAAGTACAAATTGGTAGTTACCAAATAGTCACAGGTATGTAAAGTACAGCATAGGGAATACAGTCAACAATATTGTAATGACTATGCATGGTGCCAGGTGGGTACTTGAAATATCAGGGGGACCACTTTGTAAATAGGATTCACTAACAACTATACTGTACACCTGAAGCAAATACAAAATAATATTAAATATAAAATGTAATTGAAAAACATTTTTTAAAAAAGAAAGGAATTTAAAATGGCAATAAAATCAGAGGTACTCTTAAAAAGGAAAAAATCAATCTGGTAGATTTTTAAAACCTAACCAAATAGCTAAATACCTTATTCAGTGTTATTTTTGGCACTCACGAACTTTTATATTATAAATGATCCTATGATTGCACAAATTACTATAATATATAATCAGCATAAGATAACAGTAATGCAAACAAAGCATGCTATGTGTAGTTAATATCTGAATATTTACTTTCAAATACAGGTAAGATTCCACCAATAGCTAAATAGCTTGTTACAAACTAATCCTCTTGCTGAGAACTAGGAACACTACGCCAAACCAAATAATAATAATAATAATAACAACAACAACAACAACAACAACCTACCTGAAGACATTATGTAACA